CTTTACTCTAGTTTTTTAATTTATTATAATATATTTAATTATTTATAAAAATTCTTAGAAAATAATAAAATTATATTTATTTTAATTATTCTTAATCTTTTTATAATAACTTTGTAATTAGTCTTAAAAAATTAAAAAACCTTTTAGAAATATAATTTTAATAAATTATCTTATAGATTTTAAGTAATAAACTTATAAAAATATATATTAAAATAATATAAAAAAATATATTTATTATAAAATTAAGATAATATCTATATTATTTAAAATATTATTATTTATTTTTTATCTAGCTTTTTTTATAAATAAATATATTTATAAAAATTCTATAAATTATATATTATACTAGTATAATTATTTTATAAGAGACTGTCTCTATAGTATAGATATTTCTTATAATATATTATATTATAAGTATAATAAGGATTACTATTCTTATATAATTATAATAACAAAGAGATTATAAAGCTTGAATATTTATTTATATCTAAATATATATAATATTATTAAATTAAGAAAAAGCTTAATCTTTTTTCTCTAATAATATTTTATTTTTAAAATTATTATTAAGATTATTTATATTCTTATTTTTATTAATATAAAAGATTATTATTAATTTATTATTTTTTTTAATTCTTAATTATAAATATAATAGAATCTAAAGTAAAATTTTTAAAAATATTCTAATATTTTTTAATAATAATAAAATAATTAATATATATTTAGAATATAAATATTTTAATAGTCTTAAAATACAGGCAGCTGTAGGAATAATAATAAATATTTTAAAAATTATTAAAAAAACTATTTAATATTAATATTATTAATTATAATAATTAGAAAGTCTCTAGTTATATAATAAAAAATAGAAAACTAATTAGAATAAGATTTTTAATAAATAAAAATATTAAAATAGCTAGTAATTTCTAGATAATTATTAATATAAGACTAATTATAAAAATTATTAATTTAATATTTTAGTTTTTAATATTCTATATATTTTTAATATTAAAATAAATCTTAAGTTTTTTAAATATTATTATAAAAAATAAAAGCTTTTAATATTTTAAAATATTATAAAAGCTTTTATTCAGATTTAAGAATATACTAGAGATTATAAATAATATATTAATATTAAATTTTTATTAATAATAAAAATAAAAGATCTTTTTAAAGATTATTTAATATTTAAAATATTAATTAATATTATTATCTAGTCAGATATTCTTCTTAAATCTTTTTTAATTTTAATATAAGACTTAGTCTCTTAGAATAATTATAATGATATAAATATAATCTTTTTAATAATAATATTTATAAAGCTTCTAATATATATTTTTTAGATTTTAAAGAAGTTTTTTCTTCTAGAATATCTATTTTTATATTAGTTAATTAATAAACTAATTAAAATAATTCAAGAGATTATTATAAATCTTATAAATCTTAAATTATAGATCTACTATTCTCTAATAAATAAAAAATAAAAGAATATATATAAAGACTTCAGTAGATACTTTCACTATTTTTGTTTTATTTTAATAAAATAAAAATAATTAATATTATTATAATTTTAATATTATACAAAGTTCTTAATAGCTAGTTATAGTTTAATTATATATTAAATTATAAAATAGATTAAGTTTTATTAGATTTTATAATTAAGAAGAAGATAGTATACTAAAATAGATTTTTATTATTATATAAATTAAAACTTCTTTTAATATTAAAAAGTTATATTTATAAATTATATAATTTTCTAAATATATTATTAAAAATCAGAATAATAGACAAAAATATTAAATAAATATATAAAAATATTTATAAAAATCTTTTATAAATTATTTCTAAAGATTTTTATAAAAGAGTTTTATAAATAATTTTTAGAGAATCTTATAAAAATCTCTTATAAATAATTCTTATTATATATTTTTTTACTTATTTAAAAAATATCAGCAAAAATCTTAAGTTTATTATTATTATTTTTTTATATATATTTAACAGTTTTATTGTAGTCTTAATTTAGAGTTTTTTTAAAGAAATATTAATAAAAAGCTAAATAATATAAGCAAGACAGAATATATAATATTAATTTTAAATAATCTTTATAAGATTAGAATTTACTAAAATATTATAAAAATAATTATTTTAATTAAGTTAAGCTTAAAGTTCTGTTATAATAATATTTAATATATTATTATTAGTATTAATATTATCAGTAATTATATTTAATAGCTAATAAATAAATTTATATTTTTATAGAATTTCTAAGATAATCTTAATCAGATTTTTATTAATATAAAATTTAAATATTAATTAAAAATTTAATAAAATCTTATAAAAGTCTATTTTTTTATTAGAAAATATTTAATTAAAATCATAAATATTTTCTAATCTAAACTAGCTTAATATTTCATTATAATTAATATATATTTACTATTTAAAAATTTTAATAATAGCTAAATATAAAATTTTTTTAATAATTTTAAAAAATATTCTTTAATTTATATTTAATAAAAAAATATTTAAGAAAATACTATAGCAGTAAGATTAATTATTTTTTTAAATTAAATATATTTAATAATTTAAAATAATAAACAGCAGATAATAAGAAAATATAATATTTAACTAAATTTTTTTATTATAAATAATAAAGATCTAGAGATATTATAGTAGATATTAATAATAATAATTTATTAAAAAATTTAGAAATCTTATATAAAAATAAAATTTTAAGATTAATATTTATAAAAATACTGCTGGTGATTGTATATTTATAATAAATCTTTATTTAATATCTATTTAATAATTTATTTAAAAATATATTAAAATATTAATTTCTTATAGCTCTTATAAACATAATAGCTTATAAAACTAGTTTTAATATTATTACTTATTAAATATTATAAAATATATAAATATATAATATAAAAAATATAAAATATTCTATTAAAAATAATATATCTTCTTAAAAATAAGTTTATATTATTACTATTTGTTTAATTAAATTAGAAAAATAATTTTTAATTTTAAATATAAGTCTGATAAAAAGCAGATATTTATTATTGATTATAAAAAATAAAAACCTTTTTTTAAAAGAGCTAAATATAAGATAATTTTCTAACTCTTTATTATATATTTAATATTAAGATTTGGAGAAGAAAAAATAATATAAATTAAAAAATTATACTCTGTCTAAATTCTATTATAATTTATAAAGATTTATAAAATAAAGAAAGAAAAATTTAATAATTTTCTCTAAGAATAGATTTAATAATTATAATTAATTTATAATAATCTATTTATATATATAAATAATAGAAAAAAAATAAAGAATTAGAAATATTCTACTATTCTAATATAATATTATTTTATTTTTAAATCTATATTAATAAATATATAATTTATTATATTTATATATATTAGAGTTATATAATAATAATAAGTTTTTATTAAAGATATTTTTTAATTTTATTTATAAATAAGATAGTATAGTATCTAATAATTATTATATAAAATAAATTTATAAAAGCTGTCTATAAAAATCTTTTATAAATAATTTTTGAAATTCTTTATAAAAAACCTTTATAGACAGTTTCTAGAGAATTTTATAAAAATTCTTTTTTTAAATAATAAATCTTTCTAGAATACTACTTAAATCTATTTATTATACATTTTAAAAAATATAGATTTTTAAATAGATTAAATAAATAGAATAACACAGAATATTATAATTAAATAATATAAATAATTTAGATTATCTAAATTTATAATAAGTATTTAAAAAACTTTTTAAATTAATAAAATAAATAATTAATTAAAATATTATTATATAAAAGAATTTACTAAGAGATTTATTAATCTTAGAAAATTATTTAAAAAATATTAATAATTTATAAATAATATATAGCTTAAATAGAGCTATAAATATATATATATATATTATTATTTTATATTATAAAAATAATCTTTTATTAAAAGCTTAATTTTTATTATTATTTAAGATAATCTTAAATTAGTCAGAATAATATTAAATAAAATATATTATTTTTTTTTAACTATTTTTATAATTAAGAAAATTTATCTTATATAAACTATTAGTAAAAATATAAATAATTAAAATAAATAAAGATTAATCTAAGTATATTTTATTTAAATTAAGATCTAAAAAAATATAATAGATTAATCTTAATATTAAGAATAATTAAAATAATTAATTATTTTATTTTTAACTATTCTACAGTTAGATATAAGATAATATTATATCTAATTATTAATCTGACAGCAGATATAAATTTTTCTATTAATCTACTCTATCCTGAGTCCTGACTGTTAGCCACTCTAGGCTGAGTAAGTATATATTCTGATAATTATTAAAAGAATCTGTCAGTAATCACTAGCTAGAAGCACTCAAGCACTCTACTATTAATACTATAACTCTAAGAAGTATTATTTTACTAGCATCCTATTCCTGCTCCTGTGTCTTAGGCTGTGCACAGGTGAAGGCCCCGGGTGAAGCATCTGGAAGCCCCTACACCCCTGAGTAGAGTGGTTAACAGTTAAAATATAGATTAAAAATCAATCTTTTAAAAAATATATTTAGATCTAAATAAATTATAAATTATAAGTTCTAAAATAAAGTTTAAAAAATCTAATATTTATTTATAAATTATATTTTAATTATTATTTAATATAATTAATCTATATTCAATATATAATTAATTAATTCTGGATTTATTTTATATAATAATTTCTAATTATTATTAAATATTTTATAATAATATTTATATATTATACAATTTAGGAAATAATTATATAATTATCTAATTTAAATTATATTTATTTTAATTTTTATAAAATATTTTAATTATTATCTAAATTTCTTAATTATTTATTATTAACCTACCCTGGCTGTTAACCACTCTACCCCTGAGAGATCCACCTCAGTTAGTTACCAGTGTGTGCACTTACTAAGCCGGAGACGGAATAACTATGTTCCACCCATAGCGACCAATTGGATCATATCAGGGAGGAAGCGGCCTGATCACATCTGCATATTGTTCATATCATTGTTGTAACTCAGAAAACATGTAGGTTTGACAGCAATATGGGCTTACTTGGGAGCTCCATCACATGCTAATGTTGGGAACCAGCCTAGATGTAATTGATCTAATTTTATAATTCTCGAAGGTGTGGGATTAGCATGATACTAGACTGGTTCAAATGCCAGAGTCCTAACTTCTTGACTTCTATTACCGACTTTGATGCTTACCAATGATCAATTCTCAAATTTGCTATCCATCATCATGACCCTCTCCGGGAAAGACTATAGAACTAGTCGTGGTGGTGATGAATCATGTGACACAGAGCTTCACTCTCAAGATACAACCAAAAATCTCAAAGATCATGATTGGAATCAGCTTGAAGAAGAGTACATCGATTCCATGGAAAAGCATGGGGGGGCTGAACAAGCCTTATGCATTCGTGTTTCCAAATTGCTTGAGGTACCATACAGTATCTTTGTTTTGTGATCTTCATCTAACCCTTTACTTAGATTTTTACTGCTTGGTCTGAGACAACCATCACACGTGATGAGATCAGAGCGTTGAAACGGTTTGTCCATCTAACCTTGAAGCCATGACATATCGATTTGCTGATTCAACATGGCTAGGTTTAAAACACAAGTGCAACATGTTCAGACATCTGAAGAGAACTTGGAGAAGAAGCGTAAACATTGTACGCAAAATCATTTAGCATACATACACTCCTTCCCGTGGGCGCTTCTACTAACTTCCTTGATCAGACATCGATGTTGTCAAGGCATTTGAGAGTGCCCTCGCGCTGTTGAACGATCGTGTAAAGCCATGAGGATAGATTATGGGGTGCTTGCATGTTTCTAGCCGCACTCCACACCACGCTCAAAATGGAGAAATGAATGCCGGACTTGAGTACTGCGTGCCTGATACATTATTTCATACCTTGTATAGTAAACAATGCCGTAAACACCATTCAGCACAGGAAGACCTACTACTGGTGGATTATGAGTAGAAAATGTACGGTAAATACTGGAAGATGAGCATTAAGAGTCTATTCCCTTGTGCCCCTAATGCTACTCTGCCCGCCTGCTCTATCAATAATGCCGTGCCAAGTGGCATCGACATGTATTCCGGTATTCGACAGTAAGCTTTCTTCTTCGGCCTCTTCGGCATCTTGGTCAAACAAACGCTCATCAAATCTGGGAGGGCGGACAACAGAGGGGATAAAAACAAGCAAAAAAATGGCTGGATAGTGTAATTTACATTAGTATACGCAGGCAAAGTCAAACTAGAATGAGCTGTGTTCACTTACCAAGAAATATGAATTGCGACCAAAAGAATACCGTACCAAAGAAGGGAAAGTTTATAGTCACGCGGTTGAGGAAGGTGCTAGCGATGGTAGGTGTACAGACTCGCTTCGCAGCGACATTATCCGTCTCTTCTGAGCATGGCTTGACAAGATGCCTACTATTTGAGCAGTTCGGTAGGTTTCCAAGAGAGCTTGGGAGGCGATCACAGAAAGTTTGTGGTCCAAACGTTGCATACTGTGGTGCGACAAGCATGGGAACAGAATACTCCAATGCCAATATAATCAAAATCAAAATCCCAGTTGTCGACAGGAGGGCCTGTGGGGATGTATGACCCTTTCTGATTCGAAATATCTGAATCCACAGAAAACGAATGCCGATAGTAGAGATCCCGATAACCGAGCTGCAAAAGAGCAGTAAAACAAGCAGGATAAAAATGGCATAGTCAACTGGGAAGACTTTCGCTGATTGAACAAAGGCCCAGTTGACAGGGTTGAAGACACTTATGCGGCTGAGTATGTATCCACAATGATGTTTGCAAACTGAATTCTTGGCTTTATCAATTGCTGTCAGAAGCATTGAGAGCCAGATCATAAGTGCAATAATTGCCAGGACGATGCCACCCAGAAGCTTGAATGGTTGCAAGAATCTCGTAATCGTCAGCCACACTTGTATTAAGAGGCTTCGACCTTCACCACGAGCTTCATCTGCTATGCGTTGTCGTCGAATGAGTGTTCTTTCATCCCGCACAAGAGCATCTAACTCTCTACGGTCTTTAGAAGAGAGGAGGACAGGGTTCCCTCTACATCGGCCTTCCAATTGGCCTTGTCGCTCTCGGTTAAAATCAAGCTGTGCAGCTGTAGTCGCTTTCCGCGTCTCATCCGAAGCAGGTAAACACGCCCCAATCATCCTAATGGGGAGAAGAGCAAGGCCTGATGAAGTATATACGACATAAAGAACCAGGCCGATGGTTATCAGTAGGCCGAATGCAAATGCAAGGGCCCTCTCTCCCCCTAGCAGACTTGATTAGTTCCACAACAGTACAAAACAGCGGTTGAGAAGTAAGAGAAAATGACGGGCAGGAAGTGGGAAAACAAGTTGGGAAGGGAAAGTGTCTCACGATTTTCAGCCAGCAACTTCCTCAAATATTCGGGGTTCTTGCTGTCTTTGGCATTTGCAATAGGGACAAGGAGTCCAACAATAATAACCACAGCCAGTATCGCGATGAATGAGATGGTGTATTTAAATGCAGTCCAGAGACGTTTACCAGCAGATTGTTCGCCTGCTTCGGCTGCCACTTCGTCATACTCTTCGTACCAAAAGTAGACGAAAGGAATGACGATGAAACACAGAGATGCGTCAACAGAATAAAGTATGTAATAAATAACGGTTAACAAGGACGTAATCTTGTTAACTTGTTCGGGAGTTGCCCAGGACTTCCTCTGGCCAAGCGTCGATGATGTTGTAGAAGAGACTAGAGCGACATCAACGGGCAGTAAAAGAAGCGTGGCAAGTAGACTTGTGATCGCAACAATACACGTCAAGTTCACGACCGAAGAGCGATCTCGAGGAGTCTGATAAATATTTATGAAGATCGACGCTGTCATAGCCAGAACGACTATAACAATCGCATACACAATCCATATGAGTGAAGTTTGCAGGAGGGCCATACTGGCAAGACGGGGAGATCGAACCCCCCCCCCCTCTGAGATCAAGAGCTTTAAACAAGACAGAGGATCCGTATGATCAAGATAGCTTGAAAATATGTATTTTAAGGTTTGATGGGTGTCAAGAAGATTGATAATTGTGTTGGAGGAGGAGTGTGCCATACAAAACGCATATCCCGGAAGCTTGTGCTCATGTCTTTAGAGGTTGAAAAACAAACATCATGATGCAGTATGAAATATTAACATGGAGAGAATGAGACCTTGTTCAAGAAGTCCGCATGTTAGTTAAGTTGTTATCATGCCTTACGTCATCGGGTCACTTGGCCAGGGACATCACGTGCACTATCGTTCCCGGCATGCAAGACTCGGAGCTGGAAATAATGTCGCGATAACTTCTGCTTCCTAATTGAAGCCACTCTCCCGTTTAGTAATTGGCTGTCTTAACAACCGTCCCTCGGCCCTTTTATTTTCTGTTGCAACACTTGTTCTTTCGGAAATGCCAATTTATGCTCAGGCCAGCTGCGGAAATTGGGTTTGATGGGAAGACCTAGAACCGCAACCAAAACAGTTTTTCCGATTACCTTGCGATACTCATGCAGTGTTATACAGAGTTGATACCCCCGACTGGGGTCACTCATGCATTGGCTCTCCCATTTCTCAGCGCAACAGCGAACAACTTAATTGTCGCTAGAACATCCCTACTTCAGATTTATTCCTTGCATACCATTTGTCCTCCACCTGAAGGGGTCGAGGCACGACAGGAGCAGGAAACGACGAAGCTTCTTCTGGAAAAAGAGTACCCTGTCCCTGGCATAGTGACTGGTCTATGCCGGGTCAAGATTCTCAATACCAAGAGCGGAGGGGAAGCTGTTCTTCTTGCTTTTCGGAATGCCAAACTTAGCTTGATTGAATGGGACCCGGAACGTCGTGGCATCTCCACCATTTCCATTCATTTTTATGAACGAGATGATCTGACCCGTAGTCCGTGGGTTCCTGACTTGAACAATTGTGACAGCATTCTCAGTGTGGACCCAAGCAGTAGATGTGCGATATTCAACTTTGGCATTCGAAATCTCGCCATTATCCCATTTCACCAACCAGGAGATGACTTGGTGATGGATGAATATGACTCAAACCTTGGAGTGGAAAAGCCAACCGACCATGGAATCCGAGGTAGTTCTGGCGCCGATAGAACCAAAGAGGGCATTGTGCATCAAACCCCGTATGCTCCATCATTTGTTCTGCCTTTGACAGCTCTGGAACCTTCAATACTTCATCCAATAAGTCTTGCTTTTCTATACGAATATAGGGAACCAACATTTGGCATATTGTATTCACAAGTTGCAACATCGAACGCCCTCCTGCATGAAAGAAAAGATGTGGTTTTCTATACTGTGTTCACACTAGATTTGGAACAGCGAGCTTCTACGACATTACTCTCAGTCCCTAGACTACCTAGCGATCTCTTTAGGGTGGTAGCCCTTCCGCCTCCTGTTGGCGGGGCCCTGCTTATTGGATCAAACGAATTGGTACATGTTGACCAGGGAGGCAAGACAAATGCTGTCGGAGTCAATGAATTTGCAAGACAGGTCTCGGCATTTTCCATGACTGATCAGTCTGATTTGGCACTACGTCTTGAGGGTTGCGTCATTGAGTGTCTTTCTAATAGCAGTGGAGATCTGCTTTTGGTACTTTCTACGGGAGACATGGCCGTTGTGAAATTTAGATTAGATGGCAGATCAGTCTCTGGAATTTCGGTTCAGTTATTACCTGCTCATGCCGGTATCACCTCCATGGCCTCTGCCGCAACATGTTCAGCCTTTGTTGCGCACGGGAGACTCTTCTTTGGCAGCGAAGAAGCTGACTCGATTCTTCTGGGCTGCTCTTACCTGTCTTCAAGCACCAAGAAACATCGAATGCAATTAAGGCAACTCGTGGATGATCCGGTAGACGCCTCAGAGGAAGATCAGAGTGAGGTTGATGCTTATGAGGATGATCTCTATTCTACGTCTCCAGGGACGGCAGTCAATGGCCGCGACTCACCAGCTGAATCATCTGCTTACGGACCGTATGACTTCCGAGTCCATGATAAACTTGTCAACATTGGGCCTCTGAGGGATATCACACTTGGTGCGCGCCCCCTTGCTAATCAAGGACAGGGAAGCAATTGTGCTCATGAATTTCCGCCAGAGCTGCAGTTAGTGGCTTCCCAAGGCTCTGATAGTAGTGGGGGCTTGGTGGTACTGAAGCGTGAGATCGATCCCCATGTGACCGCCTCTTTGATGATGGAATCAATCGACTTCCTCTGGACAGCCATTCTACCTCAGGAAAATACAATTGTGCCAGACATTATTGAGGGAGCTGGGCAGCAACCGCAATGTTACGTCATGGCGTCGAGAGCAAAAGGTTCCGATAAGGAAGAGTCGCTTGTCTTCGTCATGGATAATTATAGTCTGAGCCCCTTCAGAGCCCCCGACTTTAATCCAAATGAGGATGTCACTATTGAAATCGGGACGCAGGCGAGCAGGAGACGCGTGGTTCAGGTTTTGAAGAATGAGGTCCGAAGTTACGATAGCGGTGAGCCTCTACCCTAAGATTCTGCTGGAGCAATTCTTATAACAAGGCAGATCTGGCTCTGGCCCAAATATATCCCATATGGGATGAGGATACCAACGACGAACGGACAGCCGTCAGCGCTAGCTTGGTTGATCCTTATATTGCCATTCTTCGAGATGATTCAACACTGTTGCTCCTCGGAGCGGATGGTAGTGGGGACCTCGATGAAGTTCTGCTTGGTGAGGATGTATCGTGTAGTAAATGGCTATCCTGTTGTTTATACTCCGATAAAACTGGGCTTTTTTCGTCCTTCGACACTGATGTTTCATTTCAAAGAGGCATGTTCCTCTTCCTTCTGAGTCAAGATTGCAGGCTTCTTGTAAGTCTCGGGATGCATTTTCTGAGAGAGAATCTTATCTTGCTTCCCTCCAATTCTTATTTCTTGTTCTTATTGCTTACGAACCGCTTAGATGTATCGCCTTGGTGATCAAAAACTATTGTCAGTAATAGAAGGCGTTGACAGCCTTCCGCCTCTCCTTTCTGAAGAGCCGCCAAAGCGATTCGGTACACGGGAGAGCTTGATAGAGGCCGTTGTTGCGGATCTTGGAGACCCATGGAGCGCTTTGCCTTATCTAATTGTATGATGCCATAACTAGTTTGGCCGCTACTTTCCCTCAAGACTTGATATGCTAATGAAGATGAACGGTAGTTGCGGTCCGAAAATGATGATCTCTTTATATATAAGCCGTTTGTGATTCCCGCTGGCTCAAGGAAAGATGCTCCCTGCTTGGGGTTTTCTAAAGAGGCCAACAATACCCTACCAAACGTGACTTCTGGCCTTGAGTCAAGACAGTTTGACAACACGCAGTACAGAGCCAGATCTTTGCGTGTACTGCCCAATATATCAGGATTGAGCACTGTATTCATGCCTGGGGTTTCGGCAGGCTTCGTCCTCAGGACATCTACGAGTTCGCCCCATTTTCTACGCCTCAGAGGGGAATGTATCCTGAGCCTAAGTGGCTTTGATACCCCCGACTGCAGCAAAGGCTTTATTTATCTAGATTCTAAGGTCCGTGATTTCCTTGGTGGTTCCAGGACATCATATTAAAGGCTATACAGAATATTGCTCGCCTGTGCCAGTTACCTCCCCAAACGCAATTTGAATATCAGTGGACATTGCAAAAGGTACCCCTAGGGGAGCAGATCGATCACTTGGCTCATTCCTCGTCATCTGGGACTTACGTTTTGGGGACATGTCAAAAAACGGACTTTAAACTACCCGCGGATGATGAGTTGCATCCTGAGTGGCGTAACGAAGGTTTGTTGCGGATCTATTCTTTGTGAAGACCAAGCTCACAAACATAAGCCATTTCATTTTTGCCTATAGGGCATAGAAGTTTCATTAAGCTTGTCAGCCCGAAAACTTGGACAATTATTGACAGGTATGATGTCATCATATTCTTTGTTTTGGTTGACACTGACTGTTTACTGCTTAATCTAAAGTTATGCACTGGGTCCAACCGAACATGTGATGGCAGTGAAGAACATGAGCCTTGAAGTATCTGAAAACACACATGAACGTAAAGACATGGTTGTCGTGGGAACAGCATTTGCACGAGGAGAAGATATCCCTTCACGTGGCTGCATATATGTATTCGAGGTTGTGGAGGTGGTTCCGGATCCCGATGACCCCGGGACCGATCGCAAGTTGAAACTCATTGGGAAAGAACCAGTGAAGGGTGCTGTGACTGCCCTGTCTGAAATTGGTGGACAGGGTTTTGTTCTTGTTGCACAAGGGCAGAAGTGTATGGTCAGAGGCCTTAAAGAGGATGGTAGCCTTCTTCCAGTTGCTTTCATGGATATGCAATGTTATGTCAGCGTGGTGAAGGAGCTCAAGGGCACTGGAATGTGCTTACTTGGTGATGCTGTCAAAGGACTTTGGTTCGCTGGCTACTCGGTACTGTCCCCATATTCCTTGCATCATCAGACTACTATGAATAGGCTACTGACAACTTCTATCTTTGAAGGAGGAACCATACAAGATGAGCCTTTTCGCGAAAGACCTTGATTACGTTGAAGTTTCAACCGCAGAGTTTCTCCCTGATGGCAAGAAACTGTTCATAGTCGTCGCGGACAGCGATTGCAACGTTCATGTTTTGCAATATGACCCTGAGGGTAGGTGCAAAGACAGTCGGAAACTTAACCCGTGACTCCACTAATCGGAAATAGATCCTAAGTCATCAAATGGTGACCGGCTTTTAAGCCGCAGTAAATTCCACACGGGAAACTTTATCTCCACGCTGACCCTTTTGCCTCGTACAATCGTCTCTTCCGAGAGGGCAGTTTCTGATGCAGATGAGATGGATCTGGACAACCAGAGGCCTTTCTACCAAATCCTTATGACGACGCAGAACGGCTCCTTTGGCTTGATCACATGCATTCCCGAAGAATCCTACCGCAGATTGTCCGCTTTGCAGTCTCAGCTGACAAATACTGTTGAACACCCCTGCGGTCTTAACCCCCGGGCTTTCCGCGCTGTGGAGAGTGATGGCACCGCTGGAAGGGGCATGCTTGATGGCAATCTTTTGTTCCAATGGCTGAATATGAGCAAGCAGCGCAAAACGGAAATAGCGGGTCGAGTGGGCGCACATGAATGGGAGATCAAGGCCGATCTTGAGGCTATTAGTGGAGATGGGCTTGGCTATCTTTGAAAGATACCAGCCAGCCCTTCCAGTCTATCGCATGTACTTGGGCTGCCGGCCAGAGTGTAGACCCGCCAAAGCCCTACGCGTGCTTTAGCCAAGCAAATATAGTCAAGTCAATTTACAACATGAAAAGGCCTTCAATGCAGACGGCGTTCCTCAATTACTATAAAACGGTGGAGCTGTCATTGATCTTCCATATAGGGGGGAGCTTTGCCATGTAGTCAACATAATTGGGGCTAGTCCCCCATATCTCATTCGTTCAGCGACGATGATAATTATACGAGGGCGCGTTCTCAGTGAGCCAGGGTAGTATATATGAACGCAGTAGACGAGCAAACTTCAAACACTGACCGACAGAGTCAATGCAAGACATTTCTTGGTACAGATGTCTTAAAAACGGCCAGTCGAGTATCAATCTTCCTTCCGTCTTCTAATCGACGAAAGTATTCACCAACCCACAAAACCGCACTTGGAATATATTCAACCCAGAAAGGGAAAAACTGAAAGGGCAAAACAAGAGAAGTACAAAGTAGAGGATGAGACCAGGAAGAGCAGACCAAGAGCTCAATTCATATCCCATGAAAGGTGACTCCATCACGCCATGACCGATCTTTTTAACTCGCAGTGATCCTTTACGTAGCCGTACATTCCGATAATGAGAAGGATAGATGATTTATAGGGGAGATAGGTTGGCCATTAGCAGTAATAGATTCCTGAAAATTATATCCAGCTCGACGAGAAATGTGTGGGGTAGGAGTCGAGGAAATGGATAGCACGGCGGGTAGATAATAAGAAATTCCCAAAGTATTATAAGTCTCTTGCAAGAAACATGGCTTATGTGGAAGCGTTATCACAGCCTATGGATCCCGCCCAAAGACTCTTATCTCAGCCTTCTCTGGCCTATCCCGCATGTGTCATCAAAAGACATCTTCTGCAGCAAAATATCGTTTGTTTCGTCCACGAGCCGTAACGAATTTCACTTCAGGCAGGTTGGTATGATGCACTACATGCGGTCGATATACGGCATCGACGGGTGCTTGCCAATCATCCAGGCCCAAGGGGAAATATTCGTAAAGCAGATCAGCACTTTCATTTGGGAATGGAAGTGTTGAAGCGAAAGGCTGCATGCTGGTAGTAGTGTTCAACAATGGTACCGAGGAGGCAGTGCTTCGCGATGACGCTTGAGGCAAGCCATGAGATAGCTTGCGCAACTTCGCCGGCGGTGCTGAATTTTTCATCTTTAAGTTCTCGTGCGAGATATCATTTGAGTATGAAGAAGCCGACCTGGCTGGACCAGCCGGGTGGACTGATTCGCCGCCATGGTTGTCATCAACTTCCCCACCCTCCTCATCGAGAAGGGACAGGTTGATGGGAGCAGCTACCGTGGTAGGATGTGGCTGAGACTCTGCCGGCCGCGAAAACTCCGGGCTAGACTGTGAATATACAGTCGAGTGAGGCAAAGTGGTTGATGGGAGTGCACATCCCATAGGAGGCGGAATTTGCGTCCAACCCGGAGAAGCTTGTTGTGGAACCCCACCACCTTGGGAAGCAGCCGTCTCCGGGGAGCTACTTTTAAGTGTAGCTTTGGTCCTGGCTGGCGTCATGTTGGATTGCGGCACGGAATCACTAGTGGGAGTCCGAGTAACAGTAGCCGATTGAGCGGCCTGTGCACTTTTCCGCGATGCAGCAGCACTTCCACTCAAAGGAAGGTCCTTGCGAGACTGGAAATTGCGCGGACTCCGTCCTCGCACGATTACGGGTCCCGAGTGCACCTCGCAGATTGGTATCTTAGCTCCAGTGGACAAGGTGGCTACAACCTTCAGTCGAACGACGAAATGCTGCTGTAGCTCTTTTCGCCGTCCGTTATTTGCAGTAGCGACGCGGAACTGCAGCCGTTTCCATGCAATAGGGAATGTAGCGTAGTCGGTATCGAGATCTTGGCCAGCCATGATATCTAACGGAATCGGAGGGGGCTCCTTTTCGACTTTGAGGTTTGTGTTGTTATTGTTGTTAGTGCTGCCACCGCTCCCGCCGCTGGGGTGGTTGGTATCCTCGGCTGTAGGGTTGCTGTTCACAGCAGGGGTCTTCCAGGGCACCGAGATGATCTTGACAGAATTGCCCTCGACAGACTCGGTAGCGGACACGGTGAGTTCCTGGGCAAGGATAGGAATCCGATCGCCTTGCTCCGTCATTATGTAGCGCAAACTTCGTGGAAGGGTAACCGAGCCCGTGATTTGGAACAGATTCCGGCGGTAGCACGTAAGCTCTGCTCCTTGCTGGGGCGGACTGTTTTCTGTAGGCGAGGTTGTCCAAGGCGACTCCGCAAGAAAAAACATGCCATGCAGTTGAGCGGAAAGAGATATGGAGGTACGCCGCAATGAGTAATCCAACAGGGTGAAATTGTACGCAGGCATGGAGAAGCTCAGCAGCTTATTGTTATGATCAATGGATGCATCGGGAGGCTGCTCGGGCGGTGCAGGTTCAAACGGGGTCACCATGTCCGTGAAAGGGTCTTCATAGCTGGCGGGGAACCGTTTCAGGGTTGGAGGCAAAGCGTGTTGTGCAAAAGATATATCGTCGCTACTGCCCCAGGGATTATGTTAGATGTGTGATGTCCTGGTGGGATAGGTTTAAGAGGCTTGCTTACCTTACGAATGTTTCCGAATCGAAATTGGAGCGCTGATCCGGCATATCCATGCCAGGTATTGGATTGAGGTATTCAGGGCCCTGGATATTGCCGAGGGATAGCGGGCTGGCCAGGTAAGGCATGGTCATAGTATCAAAGCCCTCCATAGCGGGGGCTAAGCATAGGAGTTTTGCAAGATAGCCGAGACGGGCCTGGCAACTGTTGGTCGAACAGCAATAAGCACCAACGGAGACACTTGGTGCAGGCGAAGTGTGGCGGTGGAAGTTATGGAGCCGAAAAGAATCGAGTGAGGACTGTGGTCGCAAAAAAGCGCGGAGGATGCGGAAGGACCTAACGCGAGGAGCACATCGGGAGAGGAGGGGGGTCGAAATGGGTTGTACCGCCTCAAACCAAAAGGACTAAGAAGTGGGTGTGACTGGCGCCAGAGGCAATTAATTGAGCAGCAAGAAAGACAGAAGAAAAGAACAGATAATCCCAATCTATAAGGGAAGAGAGACAAATAGAAGAAGAAGAAGAAGAAGAAGAAGAAGAAGCAGCAGGAGTAGAAGCGGTAGCAGTTGTACTGTACTTGGGGTTGTAGTGTTAAGAGGTAGAAGCGGGCCCGTAATGTAGAAGTAGAAGTCCAGGTCCAGGTCCAGGTCCAGGTCGAAGTCGAGGTCGAAGTAGAAGTAGAAGAAGGTGGTACTAGTGATAGCAGGAGCAGCCTTGAGTGGATCGGATTCGCCCGAAGTCAGTGCACGGAAGAACAGCTCTGGTTGGTGGACCCGGAGTGATTTGTCCCAAGAAAGAGAGTCCCAAATCCAAACTCCAGGCGATTCAGAGTAGACACTAGACAAGATCCGGAGTGAGCCTAGGTTGAGTGGAGCGGGAAGGGAGATAAGGGGTACTAGATAGCATATAGATAGATGGATAGATGGATATAAAGAGGGAAAGCCAGGCAGATGCCAGACGGACCCGGCGATGGGGCCGCAGCAGCAGGAGCCAGCCAGCAGGAGGGGGGCGGGCGGATGGTGGAGAAATGGCAGGAAAAGAGGGTAGAGAGCAGACGGAAGGAGGGGGGAAAGTCTGGGAGCAGATCTGGGACAGGGTGGAACTCCGGACGCCAAACCGGCCAGACGTTTCGAGGAACTCGGTTCCCTGGAACCTGGATCGAGTTTAGCTTGAAGAAGGAATTATTACTAAGGTACATACCCAACGAATGAAGGACGAGCTGATGGGTCGTACAGCCAAGTCAACGGGCGAAAGCAAGAGAAGTAAGAATCAGAAGAAGCCCGCTGCGGAGAGCCGTCCGTTCTGCGGGAGGAAAATCTGACCGGAGACGGAGAGACATCCTGCTACCTTCCTTCTCTTCTACATCCGTCTAGAACAGGGGGTACTGGAGAGACCGAGAGAGAGAGAGCCCGGACGAGTTCGACCAACTGCTTTTAGTGTCCGCGGCTTATCCGTCATTCCCCTCGGATTCGTCAAATAATGCCCGGTGATGATGTGAAAAATTACCATACTCAGTTCAGTACCTAGGTAAGGTACTTACTTACTAGGAGTAAGAGGTACATACTAGGTACTTACTCCGGTACGGATGATTACTGCATACTGCACCTACTACCTAGTACCTAGGCAGTACTAGATACTACCTACTGTAGTGTCTACTATAGCTTTACTCCGTCCTCCGTACTGTGTACCTAAACTACTACTGGCTACTACATACTTACCTTAGTACCCCTAGTATCTACAGATGGCCCACATCGGATGATTGATGATTAGGACTCCGACTTTCTCTAACCTGGTCAGGGGCCCAGGGCCGTTCAGATAGATTTTAGAACCTGCCGGATCAGGAGATGCTCTGTTGCGCCCGGCCGTTGGGCATGATGGTTTGAATATTCAAGTCTCAAATTGGCTAGGTACTAAGGAAGGCCCACCAAAACCCGGGGAACATCGAACTAGTCGTAGTACCTGGGGGTCTGTACCAATCCTAATCCAGCACCTAAGCCCAGGCCTGCTGTTTTCGGGATGATCCAGGTAGGTCAACTGCTTACTAGGAGGCTATGAGACCTCCTAGATCATAGATTACCGGACATTTGAGAAAAATGAAAGAAGAAGAAGAAGAAGAAGAAGAAAAGCCCCTGGGCAGAGAAGGCTGTCCTCGCGCAACTACCGCGATTACTCAGGCTTAAACTTTCTAGGTTAGCATCGGCCGGGCGGAAACGTTGGCCTACTTCTACACAATATCTACTTGATTCTACCCGTAGCAGAAATCCACGACTCACAGGAACCAGGTAGCTGATTGAGAGGAAGAGGGTGGGGGATAATGGAAGGTTGATTTTTTATGTGACTGGACGATCTTGTACGGAGTATAAGAATCAATCATCAAGTCTAAGCAAGCTAAGTAGTTGCATCCATGCGCCTAAAAGACAGAGAAATACAGATCTGTGCAGCTAGAGTGCGTGTGCCAGTAAGATACTGTTCTCTACTCTATAGTCCCTCAGAGCATCACCAGTACTTATATGCACTTAGTGGTTACTATCTATTTACATTATTTATGGGTGGTGAATTGTTAAGCTAAAGCTCATGCTCATATAATACAAGTATATCTTCCGGTAGAACTACTAGATACTAGCAAGTAGATACTGACAGGAAGGGGGATCACAAGCCCGTGTTTGTCGGTGGGACCAGCGGGAAAGTTAAACACTGCAGCCTTATGCTTCCCCAAGTGTACTCCGTATTCAGGCTGCACATATTATTATTAAATAGGTACAAAGTAATATCTACCTTAGATTACATACACTATACCTAAGCTGTGACTGAAACCCTTGACGCCTCGCCTCACCTCGCCTCTCACCTCTCATCTGATGCTGCTGGTGGTGGTGGTGGTGTTGTTCTCTGCACACAGGTGTGGAGTTCTGTGTACTGTGTGTACTGTAAGGGAGGAGTGGTACGGAGTACTACCTCTGTACGTACCTAGGTACTCCGTACCTCGGTCCCCATCAACCTTACTACTAACCTTCTCCAGTTATAACAGCGGGTACTGTAACCGCAACCGGCCGGACTGCCAACCACAAAGTACCTAACTACCTAGTAGGTACTCAGTACTAAATACTCCGTACTACTAGGTAGTTCTGCGGAGCTGCGGAGTAGGAGGGTCGTTGCTTTGCATTGACCGGACCCAGATTGGCCCCGATGTCCGAAAACAGTGGCAGGGATAGTAGTCCTTCTTCCTTACTCTCCTGCTCCCTCAAGGCTCCAGTCGAGGTTGCACATAGTCAAAAACTCCGAACCATGCGGGCTGCAGAGGGCTGGATAGTAGAAGATAGATTGGGCGCGACAATTCGATCGTCGGTCGTTCTGGCGTGGGCAGGGTCTGGAGCATTTGACTGAACAACTGATCTGCGCAGAAATTCTCCCAGGCCAGCTCCCCACCCCAAGGAAAACTGCCGCCACTATCCATCTACCGCCCGGTTCGTCCTAATGTCGATCTGCTCTCCCCGCAACTCCTACGTACATACGTGCGAATTTGGCTCATTTACGATCACTCGTTTAAGGGCCCTGTTGAGTTTCCTAGTGGGTTATTCCACGGCAATTTACCATTTGTATGCCACATTTGGATCATGACTGGGGTGGTGGCTTCAAGAGTGGCTGCTCCAAGAGAGATAAATATCCACAGCACCCCCCCGGACCCCGTCTCAAAGAATATATATATATATATATTAAGGACTGGGAAGGCACTGAGGCACAAGCAGCCCCAGAACACGATCATTGAAGGGGGAAAACTATACAGTGGATATCGTATGTACGATGCCGAATCGTCTAATAGAATCACATGTCAACTAGAAAAGACAAGAAGGAGAGGAAGAATAGGGCTCGAATAGAAGAACGAGGCCGGTCAGGAGGTAGTAGACACCATAGTCCATGTCGCCGCGTCACAATTGACCTCCTCAAAGCTGTGCAGAGTGACGAAGCCCATCCCTGACAAGCAATCGAAATTGCTGTCGCCGTCAACCTACATCTCAATCTGTCAACATGGAAGGCTCCACTGCAAACAAGCCAGGAGAGGAATGGTCACTTACACAATCCATAATTACAGCCTCAGCGCCGTGCTTCCGGACTTGCTTAATCCCCAGCAGAATCAACCCCTGCATGACCGTAGCGTACTCGCCCACTGATGGTGAAATGACTGGCGACGAGATGCCGCCTGCTAAGACCTGCGTAGACCTCAATACCGGCATATGCTCCGCCAAAACTGCTTGTCCATTGTATACGACTACACTGCCCAGGATAGCCCCGTCAATGGGCCGTGTTGCCCGAATGATTCCACAATTCGGTGCCCCCCCCAGTGCTACTCTGTATATGTCTATTACCCCTTGTCGCGAGTTGGTCTTGACATGGTGAAGAATGGATTCAGCGTAATCCCATCCATAAACAAGGTCATAGGCCACGTCTGGGCTCTGGAGTCCGTGAATAAGTCCATCGGGCGGCACCCAGGAAGGCAGGTTGCGCAGCACCACGCTGCAAACAGGCCGTGAAAGAGCGGTATTCCAACCCAAGTTTGCAAACCACTGCCGCAACCTCTTCCGCTCTACTGGGTTCGCCGATGGGATACCTAGATATATTCCAGGTAGTCGAGAGCCTAGTTGGAACCTTTTCATCCCTTGTCGCTGAAGAAGGGTTCGGATAGCCCGGTTGTGGAGTGAATTACCAATCGACAGCTTTCGCCTCGCAGGGTGAACTATCAAGGATCCAATGACGCCGGTGCCTGTAGACCGGAAGGAATATGTGGAACAGAATCCGTACAGGGCCTGTGTACTGCTATTCCGGACAACAAAATGCGCTTCATCAATCTCTTCCCGCCGGAGCAGGAAGCTACTCGATGTTACGCCCAACAACTCAGACCGTTGCCCCTGCCCGCAATCCTCTCTGACGGCTGTCAAAAGGGAATCTAGAGCATGTGCGTCCCTATCCTCATTCCAATTTTCCACTAGCCAGTGTTGTCTGGCCTGATGAAGCTTCTGACTGCGGCTGATAGAACCTGGCAGCGAACCGACGGGGTTCAGCTCCCCGTATAGAACTTTAACCAGGGCCTCCAGAGCTGTCTCAGTGAAATCATAGGTGCAAACATATGTTTCGATGGACGGATCCATCGCGAAATCGTACGGAGAACTAGCAGCGACGACAACAAGAGGCTTTTCACAAGGCTCCCCAGAAGGAGAAAACTGCGACCTACAGATCATGGAGATATGTTTAGTAAAACCATGCTGATACAGGTTTCTGTTGGCATCTGCAGTGACGACGATGATTGCACTAGCCCGGTCTATGAGGTTTTCGTGAATCGGGCGGACGCCGTTAGCAGTGTAGGATGTGTGAAGGACACGGCCACTTCTTTGCCGGGATAGAGACCTCCCGAGCTCCTTGAACACACTTTCACCGCTGAGTACTGAAGCCGTCCGATCCCAGGCGATTGGGTCGAGGGACATATTCGAATGCTCAGTCACAGAGCGAGACACGGCGGAAGCGGGAAGCGGTTTTACCAACGGGGTCAAAAGGAGCAACTCTTCGTTCGGTTCAACAATGTTGGAAAGGGGCAGGAGAACCTTCTTATCCCGTACAACCGATATGGAGCTGTTATATGCCCTCTTGGAGAGGTTGGTATGGGATGGTTGCATCTGTATGAGAGAAGGAAGACCGGGGGGGTTGAGGGCCTGCTCCCAAGACGTACACTTCGATTTAAGGGTGAGGACTCTGCGCAATGACTGCTCTATGCGCATTCGACCAATAATGCCATTTTCGACGCCGAGCTTTAAGCCATTGATGGCCTCCTGCTGCGCTTGGAATGACCGGCAGAGGAGCATGATGTCACAGCCCGCGTTTTTCGCCATCACCGTTCCGCCGCCGACGCCGATATTATGTGTAAGTGCTTCCATTTCCAGGCACTCTGAGACGACTACGCCTTCGAATTTCAAATCCTTCCGCAGAAGATCATCAACTACCTGCTCACTGAGACAGGCATGCATCACGTTAACACCAGCCGAGGACATCGAAACGCCCCCAACCATCATGGAATCCAGACCATGGACAATGGCATTTCGAAAGGGCACCAATGCGGTTAGACTGAGCTGCTCCAGTGACTCGGTAATAATGGGTACGTCCGTTTGAGATCCGAGAAACTCCAAATTACCATATGAAGGGAAATGCTTGCCACATGTCACCAACCCAGCCTTCTGATAACCTTTCATGGATTCCACACCATACTGGGATACCTCTTGAGGATCATCACCTGTGGTGCGCACGCCCAAGGGCTGAGTTCGTACGTTTGTCAACACGTCTAGAACAGGGCCAAGGATCCAATTGACACCGACAGCTTTGAGCTCTTGGGCTGTGGCCGTTGCAACTTCATGCGCCAGAGCTTTTGACCCAGTTGCGGCAATTCCCATAGCGCTAGGGTACTGTCGAATATAAATATCATCATATAGGCTGTTCACGCCTCCATTTTCTTGGTCTAAGGCGATGAGCAGAGGCACCGGATGACCGGCATCCCGAGCAATGGTCTGAAGCTCAAGGACCAGTCGCGTCGCATCTTCCGCAGCTAGACGTGGATTAGTGTCTTGATCAACATGCTGAAAGGTGACATGACTGCAAGACAGCCTTGATCATTGGAATTGGAATACGGAGCGACAGAGGCGGTGATACATTTCAAATTTTTGGCAGACAGTAAAACCGAACCCAAGTGGTAGTTCTCGATAAGGGAGCGGATCTGAGGGCTAACGGACGTTCCATCAAATCCCATCATAAAGAGCTGCCCCATCTGCCTGTAGACGACATGGGAGCCTCATTGTCAGTCATGATCAATAGCCAAATAAATAGAAGGGGGGGGGGGGGGGGGGAGGTCCAGAAGAGGGTGCGGACACCAAGGTACCGTACCAAACTACTAGGTAGTAGATAGTAGGCAGGTAGATACCTAGCTAGGTACTACTTAGTAGGGAAACAGGCCGGAAAGAGAAATAGGCAACAGAGTTACTTTTACTAACTGCAGCAGGAGAACAGAGAGGAAAGAAGAAACACAGGGCGAAGTGTGCCAAGGCTGGTGGTACCTTGTTACCTACCTGTTCAGATCCTCCCAGCCAGGCGGCAGCATGTCCTCTTTGGGGGCCATGAGGGCCCGGCGTGGAAGGAATGCCACTGCAAGCAGAGCCTGGTGTAATGGAGTCCACGACCTAGATACCTAGGTAGGTGTGGTATGGGATGGGGGTCGGGGGCCTGGAACGCAACACTGATCGGTCGAAGCGAGGAGTCCCGGTCAGGAAGAAGGGATCGAGACAAAAAAAAAAGGTGGATGATCGTTGCAAACGTCAAGGAAGTGGGCGGATGAGCGCCGGCACCGGCAGTTAATACCTAGTGGCACCAAGCTACCCTGATCAGCTTAAGTTGCTTAGGCTTACCGGACAGAAGCATAGTACTCCGTACAGTGAAATCCCATTAGTACTGTAGTGGGTAGGCAGGCAGGCAGGCAAGAAGGTACTAGTAGCTTAGGGTCTGTCCACCTACAGTCCTGAGGTAGGAGGAATAGTCAAAAGAGAGCGGTAGAAGTCCCGGGAGTAGCAGCTCCCAAGCCCTCACGTTTGAGTCCACTCGCACTGGATCGGGGGGGGGGGGGGGGTGGGAAGGAGTAGATAGCTGTCTTGTTGACAGCAATACAGCCCGTACCCAGCGGGAGGCTTGGCGCAAGAACGGGATGGGCTGGAAGAATGATATTCCCTAAATCACGTGTCGTAGTATTGATATCACCGGCATACCGTACCGAACCATAACGAACAGGTCTGATTTTAGATACAGTACCAGTATTGTCTAGTAATGACCATACAAGGGCCGCCCCCCGTCAACCGTCAGAATCAGATGCGCGCGGTACTGACCCGGGAGAAGGAAACTGGAACGGGAGCTTGAGTGTATCTATCTAGTGTACCTTAGTTACTAGTAGGGTAAGTACGGTAGTAGTATCTATCTATTATCTACTACCGCCTATCTATATTCTAGCTATCTACTCTGTCCTAAAAGTATCTATCTGCTATCCACTCCGTAGTACTCTAAATACTCTAAGCGGTACCAGGGTTGCATGGGCCCACTGGCCGAATGCAACGGCAACGGCCGTTGACAGACTCGTGATGAATCAGTCCAATGGAACGTAACCCGAGCTACTAAGTTACGGCACCTGACAGCAAATGGGACGCTGCCTGTTAGGCGCCCCCTCAGATCCCACCCACTTTTCCGATTCTTATCAGTCTGTCCCGATACTAGTAGAGTATACTCCGTACCATCTACTACCACCACCATCACCACCACCATTACATACATTAGTGATCCGGATACTACTCCGTAGTTGTCCGCACTTACTCACATCCCGCAGTGTAGTCACCTGCCTTGGCTGCTGACTGGGGGGGCCGCGGGGGAGGGATCGATCCCTTTGGCGAGCTTCCATCATCGCGCATCGTCAAAGCCGATTCTCCATATGCCACCTCGGTCTGCAACGTCATGTTCCTGCTGTGGACGATTCCATTCACGACAAAGGCTTTTTCCTCCACCATGTCCCATTCCCGGTTCTTCTTCATCCTTGGACACCGGGATGGCGGCTTTGATTGGTGGCCTTTGAAGGGCATTAAGTGGCAGCAACTTGCTAGCTAGATACTAGGTACCTGTGACTGTCCTTACTAAGGTAATTAGTAACTACTACTACCTACTTAGTACCTAGTAGGTGGTATACTCCTCGGCGCGTCATCGGTATGGGAGGTGCTCAATGAACAGTCCTGGATACCTACTCACTGTAGGCTTCATGCGCCCCTTCGCGGGGGATGATAGCACCCGAAAAAGTGAACGATGACGACAGTGCTAATGATGATGAATGATGAATACCAACTTTGGTAGGGATATTCTGTGTATGCATACTAAGACTCTCTGTAGGGGGAAGAATGGACAGCCTCCCCGTGACTACTACTACTACTAGTGGTGGTGGTGGTGGTGGGAGGTATGTATGTATCCTGTCATACTCCACCTGGCCGATCGATCCAGACTGGACTGACAGGCAGGCCTTGGAACTGTAACAGAGCCATGGTTGGGATGATGCAGGCTGATCTAACAATCATTTTATTAAATCAACTCATCTGCCCCCCTTCACCCACCCTGCAACATCTCCGACCTCAGATAACTTCCCCCTCCCCTTTCTTCTTCATTTATCCTTTATTACACCCCTCACCCTCGGGTTACTTATCATCAACAAGAACTAACTACCTATTAATATTGAACCCCCCCCCAAACACCCCTCAACCATCCTGACTGTTATCGGTGACGTACTACTCAGTCGACTCTCCCCTCCTCCCCCCTCCCTCACCATGTACGGTTCTCTCCCTGGAATACCCGCCTCCCCCAAAATAAAACAAAATCATCAACGACTCTTTCTATCTTGGACTGACCTCCGTTCTTATCTAGGAGAGTGATCATCCGAGAAACAAGTCTCGAGGCTTCTGAATACATTGCCGATTATATCATCAGTGCGTCCCCACCGTCTGCAATCTCAAATAACACTGCTCTTTTTCATATTCCCCCATACCAGCGGTTAGACGGACTCTGGTGCTTAACATACTTCCTTACAATGATCTTTTCCATCTGTCAGGTCGCATCAAGTCATTCAAGCCGACTGAAGACCAGCCCTTCGTTCTTGGTCTCCCGACCGGTAGCAGCCCCGAAATCATCTATAGGACTCTGGTACGTCGACACAGAAACGGCGAAATCTCATTCAAAAATGTCGTGACATTCAATATGGTATGTAGAACCCTTCTCCAAGAAGGACTTGTTGGTAAATGCGTAGCACGCTGATTTGAAAAGGATGAGTATGTTGGGTTGCCTCGCGATCATCCCGAATCATATCACAGCTTTATGTATAAGCACTTCTTCTCCCATGTGGATATTCCACCTCAGAATATCAACATCCTGGACGGGAATGCCCACGACCTTGCAGCAGAGTGTGCATCGTTCGAGGCACGGATTGCTCGCTACGGTGGCATCGAGCTATTCCTAGGTGGCGTGGGGCCAGACGGGCATATTGCATTCAACGAGCCAGGTTCCTCTTTGAGCAGTCACACCCGTGTGAAAACCTTGGCATATGACACAATCCTGGCCAACTCACGGTTCTTCGGAAATGAAGTGAGTCAGGTACCACGAAGGGCGCTTACCGTTGGGATTCAGACTATTATGGATGCCCGCGAAGTAGTCATCGTGGCTACAGGTGCTCACAAGGCTCTCGCCGTGGAAAAGGGTCTTGAAGGTGGCATAAACCACATGTGGACGCTTTCAGCACTGCAGCTGCATCCGTACGCATTGATTGTTTGTGACCGGGACGCAACCTTGGAGCTCAAGGTCAAAACAGTCCGATATTTTGAGTCGATCGAACAATCTGGCACGGATGCACGAACTCAAGGCCCGCCTCTTCTCTACCGCCCCAAGACTTACGTTCCTGCTCCAGTCGGAATTGGAAAAATTCAGCCGTCTCAGCTTACCCCCCAAACTACCCCTCAGAAAATACCCAAGGACCTCAGAATTAACACGGAGCTGAACCAGTCGATGGAGGATGACGAATTAACCCCTGATAGCATGTCGTCGCGGATGGTAGACTCGGCGATTGGTGGGCTGGACTCGACTTTGAAGGGGGATTTGTTTTTCGATCCTATGGGGGCGCGGGTCGTATCACATTGATCTGGATCGATATGGGATCAGCTCCTATCTATACGGGGGTCCCTGACGTTGCTGCATGGACGAAATAGCCGATTCACTTTTGATTTGCTGCCAAAGGGAACGTGGGATGGGATGATTTGCTTGAAGATTCGTTGGCTTTTGGCTACCAGGTCGTGAATCCTTTATATTTCGACTCTTTCCCCCCTCTGATACTCATGGACTATTTTTGCTATGCATGTGTTTGAGGATCATAGATGGCATGATATGGTGTTCGTTGCTGAAAAAGAAACAGAGTGGCCGTGAGTTTAAGAATAATAAATAGACCGACGATAGTCCGTTGGATTTTCCCCCTGTGTGGGCTGTCGTATCTTTATATTTTATGCCGATAAGAAGTAAATATTCTGTGTGCTACGGGATCATGATGGAGTGGTACAAATTTTATAAGACGGGCAGCAAATAAAATGCTTGATCTCATACTTTGGTCCTTATTCACCCGCAAGATCTATATACTCGGAATATAGCCAGCCCATGTACAATTTTGGTTGCATCTATGTACTAGTACGTACTAGGGTCATGATTTAATTACAGCTTGGCAAAAACGGTGGCAATCGCGCCATTCGTGTCTACCAGAGTACTCTTATTCTTCACCCAGGCTTCAATGCCCCGACGTCCATTCTCCACACCCACGCCACTGTTCTTCCACCCACCCACGGCCATGTCAGCTGGACTCTCGCCCCAGGTGTTGATCCAGGTGATGCCCGCCTGCAGTTGGTCGATGATACGATGGGCCAAGTTGAGGTTCTTGGTAAAGACACCCGCAGCTAATCCGAGCTCGGTGGTATTTGCCCGCTCGACTGCTTCTTCTACCGTCTCGTAGGAGAGGATCGACATGACAGGGCCAAAGATCTCCTCCTTGACAATCTTCATGTCATCCGTGCAGTTAGTGAAGACAGTAGGTCGGACCCAGAATCCAGCTTCCAACTCTTTCGGGACCGATGGCTTGCCCAGTCCGCCGAAGAGGAGGGTAGCTTTGTCCGTTTCAATTCCATGGCGGATGTACGAGGCCACTTTCTCCGCATGAATTGCCGAGCTCAGAGGGCCAAAGTTTGTAGCGTCATCGAACAAAGGTCCAGGGCGGATGTACTGCATCTTCTCCAAAAGGCGTTGCTCAAAAGCGGCCTTCATGCTGGCAGGCACAAAGACTCGGGTGCCATTGGTACAAACCTGACCGGTGCTGTAGAAGTTGGCCATCATGGCTCCGTCGACCGCATTGTCCAGCTCTGCGTCAGGAAGGATGATGAGAGGACTCTTGCCTCCAAGCTCCATAGTCACATACTTCATATTTCCAGCCGCAGAACCAGCGACTTTCATTCCCGTGGTCACCTGGCCCGTGAAGGAAACTTTGGCAATGGTCGGGTGGGCGGTCAAGTACGCACCGACGTCGCCCGCACCGTACACCACGTTAAAGACGCCCGCGGGAAGTCCAGCTTCCCTGTAGATCTCTGCCAGAGTCTGCGCGTGAAGGGGGGTGAATTCGCTCGGCTTGTAGACTAAGGTGTTTCCTGCAGCCAGGCAAGGGGCGGATTTCCAAAGCGCACTAGATTGATCTTATTAGAGTCACATTTCCGACTTGCCTGTCCGTGAGGGGACGTCCAAGGCTAAGGGAGTCTTACATTTGGATGGGATAGTTCCAGGCACCGATGGCAGCACAAACGCCCAATGGGGCCTTCTTCGTGTAGACCCAAGCATCCTCCCTTAACTGCGTGGTCTCTCCGTTCAGACCACCACCTCCAACCAGGTTTGCATAGTATTCCAGGGTATCGGCCCCCGTGACAACATCGACAGTGCTCGTCTCGGTGAACGCCTTCCCCGAGTCCAGCGTCTCGACACGAGCAATTTCATCGTTCCGTTCGCGCAACAGAGCGACGGCTTTTTGAAGGATTCGGGCACGGGCAATAGGCGGGGTTTGAGACCACGAGGAAAATGCACGGTCGGCAGCGGCAATGGCTGCATCTATATCGGCATGCGCGGCGACCTGGATTTCAGCCAGCGGGGTAGCGTTGGAGGGATCAATGGATTCAAAGGTCTTTCCGGAAGAGGCAGGCCAAAGTTTGCCATCGTAGTAGAGTTGACGCGTAGGAAACGAGGAAGGCGGCATGATTTGGGAATAGAAATCGAGAGGAAGAAACGAAGGGATCTAGAGGTCAAGTCGGGAGAGGCAGGATCGAGGGCAAAAGAAGAGGGTTTGGTTACAAAGTACCTCCGGAGAACAGAGTGCTAGCCTAACTAGTACTAGTAACGCCTGCAAGTGTAATCATAAAGTATTGTATTTAGACACACTGTACCTTACCAAGTAAAGTAAGGTAAATTACTCATGGTCCTGTAAGCATCTTGTAGCAGTATTCTATATTTGAGTACTTAGTAGGGAAAGAATGACTCGGGCGGTAGGTACAGTATCGGTATGGAATATAGATCACTGATAAGCATAACAGGCACCAACATGTACGGTAAAGACAGTCTTGGGCAACGGATCCGCTGCTACACCGCCAATCCGATGATTTGCTGAGGCGGCCGGTGACGTAATAGGCCTACACATGGAACGAGGATCTTCCAGTCGGCATTATTATTCTTATTGAAGGCGGAAAGAGGAATGAATGATCCTCAAAGGTATTGGTGCTCATCAAATTGAGTGGAAAGTACAGCTGAAAGTAAGATATCCAGGTAGGAACTCCCAGGGTACTTACTACCCAATCCAGGGTGTTTGTGACTTTTGTATATCCAAACCCAAGCAGGCAATCCGATCCCGGATGAATTATCTCAACCTCTGGGATGCCATGTCCTGAAGAGGGTTTCGGCCCTGCATATGCGATGGATTTAACCGTTGGTTAGCGCACAGCTCGGTGGGATCGTGGCGTGGCCTATCTTGTCTCAGGTAAGTTACGGAGTATGGAGTACGGTACTATGGAGCATGTACGGTACGTACATGGTAAGGTGGTACTGGTATCTCTGAGCCCAGTACCTTAAGGTACTGAACTGAGTACTCCCTTCTAGTAGTACTACTACATAGTACCTTAGTATGTACTAGGTAAGTAGTAGTAGGCACTATGTACCTTGCTTATGGCGGGGACAGTTGAACGAGGCCTCGAAACTTCTTTTGTTGACCTGCTGGTCATACTCCCGCCCTATATATACACACACATGTTGATTTCAATTACTTCTCGGGCCGTTTAAGATTGGAGTAATGACTTGGCTTATGTACTTCTTTCTGCCTAGGTATACACACTACACGGTACATATCTAGATAAGGTAGACAAATAAGTACGCATTCTGACCCGATCAGGGAATAATACGTGCTATGTTGTCCGTACTCGTAAACCCGTCCTAAGTGGACCTTTTTTCCCTAATTAAGCGTACCGTACTGACTAAGAAGCCCACCCGATAGCCCCACCCCACGCCAGCCATTGGTGAGCCGACTCTTTCTAAGTGGGACCGGGCTGGCCTTTGACGAGTCACAGTACTAGTACCTAGTAAAGGTGTAAAAAAAAAAGAGAGAGAGAGGGAAAGAAGACAGAAACACTGCTCCTCCGTGAGAAACAGAACGAAATGAAAAACGTAAGTGGATGATGGATGTGGATGCCCGCATTGACGGATGGCCTGATGGTTCGACCTTGATAGAGAGCATCTCTGGCCCTCCAATTTAAAGCCCCGAGTTTCATCCTTCCTCGTTACGTTCCTTTCCCTCTCTCTCCTCTTCTCCCGTCCGGTTCCTTCGGTGTCCATCCACCTTCTCACCCTCCTCCTTCCTTCCGCCCCTCCTCTCTCCTTGAAACCCTACGCTCCTCCAAGGCCTTGCTTATCACCCATTCAAGATGGCTACCACGAATGAATTCTCTGCCAGCGATGTCAACAGCTACGACTATGTAATCGTCGGAGGTGGTACAGCAGGCTGTGTCATTGCCAGTCGATTGGCAGAGTACCTGCCCAACAAGCGCATCCTGATCATTGAGGGTGGCCCCAGTGACTACATGGATGACCGGGTCCTCAATTTGAGGGAATGGCTTAACTTGCTTGGAGGCGAGTTGGACTACGACTATCCCACCACGGAACAACCTATGGGTATGTGCAGAAGCCGAGGGTCCCTGTGCCATCTTAGCCGACTTCTAATATGTGCTTTTGCTTCACAGGTAACAGTCATATCCGTCATTCCCGCGCGAAGGTTTTGGGCGGGTGCTCCAGCCACAACACCCTCATCTCTTTCCGTCCCTTTGAGTACGACTGCAAGAGGTGGGAGCAGGCCGGTTGCACGGGCTGGTCATTCGAGACCTTCACCCGGGTTCTCGATAACCTGCGCAACACTGTTCAGCCCGTCCACAGTCGTCACCGCAATCAGCTCTGCCAGGACTGGGTCCAGGCATGCTCCAGCGCTATGAACATCCCCATCATCCCCGACTTCAACAAGGAGATCCGTTCCAAGGGCGAATTGACTGAAGGCGTGGGTTTCTTCTCCGTTTCCTACAACCCGGATGATGGCCGTCGCAGCAGCGCTAGTGTCGCTTACATCCACCCAATTCTCCGCGGCGAGGAGAAGCGTCCCAACCTGACGATTCTCACCAATGCCTGGGTCTCCCATGTCAATGTTAGCGGGGATACCGTGACTGGTGTTGATGTGACCCTCCAGTCTGGCATTAAGCATACTCTGCGGGCCAAAAGGGAGACCATCCTGTGCGCTGGCGCCGTCGACACCCCCAGATTGATGTTGCTGTCCGGTCTGGGTCCTCGTGAGCAGCTGAGTTCGCTTGGAATTCCGGTCGTGAGGGATATCCCGGGTGTCGGTGAGAACCTCCTCGACCACCCAGAAAGTATCATCATCTGGGAGCTGAAACGCCCCGTACCTCCGAACCAGACCACCATGGACTCCGATGCGGGTATTTTTTTGCGTCGTGAGCTACCCAATGCTCATGGTTTCGATGGCCGCGCTGCCGATGTCATGATGCACTGCTACCAAATTCCATTCTGTCTCAACACCACCAGACTGGGATATGACACTCCGGTCGATGCTTTCTGCATGACCCCTAACATTCCCCGCCCCCGATCTCGTGGTCGTATCTACCTCACCTCGGCAGACCCTAACGTCAAGCCGGCCTTGGACTTCCGTTATTTCACTGACCCGGAGGGCTACGACGCTGCCACTATTGTTTCTGGTCTTAAGGCTGCCCGTGAGATTGCCCAGCAGTCGCCTTTCAAAGAGTGGATTAAGCGCGAGGTTGCCCCTGGCCCTAAGGTGCAGACTGATGAAGAACTATCCGAGTATGGCCGCCGCGTGGCCCACACCGTCTATCACCCGGCTGGAACGACCAAAATGGGTAATTTGACTCGTGACCCAATGGCTGTCGTCGACAGCCAGCTGAAGGTCCGGGGACTAAAGAATGTCCGTGTCGCGGATGCCGGTGTCTTCCCTGAGATGCCCACCATTAATCCCATGCTTACTGTGTTGGCTATTGGCGAGCGTGCTGCGGAGCTGATTGCGGAAGAGGCTGGTTGGAAGCGTGAGCAGCCCCGTCTGTAAGCCATGCACATTGTCCTCGCTTCTACAAATATTCCCCTGCGTTAGCCTTTTTTTACAAAGGAAACAGGGAGTCGGGTTTGAAACGGCTCATGTGTGGGAGAGGGATCCTTCTTCCGAGTAGGGGAGGAGTTACGGTCGAGAGATGCAAGCATTTTTAACGGAGTTTACTCTCTTACATGATTTACGATTCACGATCTAGAGGAGGATTAGAAAAGCCAGAGAAAGATCTAGTCCCCTGCAAGGATTGATGTGTGGTGCTATGTCCGCTAATCTTGTCAAGTTTTGGGGGTAAATGGTGTGGCTGTATCATTATCTCATACACAGAGTTCTGAGCGGTCATCTCAAGTACTATCTGTTTGTATCATATAGCACCTGCGCCACGCAGCAAGTATAAAAGAACTGTTTTTTTAGGGAAAAAAGGCCAGTAGATATATAAACTTCCCAAAGGTTCTTTCAAAGCCAGGTATCAGCGTTATCTTTCTATGTAAAGCTAGGAGCTATTTGTCTAATAATTTCTATGCCCATGATTTAGATAGCAAATGTGCACTAGATGCGGGGAATCCAGATAAGCATCCCCCTCCCCCCTCCGCCACCTATACGGTAAAACGTAATAACCAACAAGCAAGAAGTAATCAAAATCGAAACAAGAAATTTAGGGAATAACCTGCAATGCAATCTTCTAATCTGACAAGGGCCAAAAACTCCCAAGCTTGCTGGAATACAATAAGAAGCGGCGGCTAGCATGGTGCCCTGCACCTTGCATCTTCAATTGGCAACTGTAGCGTTCTTGTCGGTGTCATATATCTTAATTCCGCGCTTCCATACTTGCCGTACCGACAAGGTGGGGCCCGAAAAAGGATCGTCTGTATCGTCCAGGACGAGTAGGTCCGCATCCGCACCGCTATCCAAAGACCCTTTGATGCCTTGCAGACCCAGGAGGCGCGCAGGCATGGCCGTGGCGGCATTGAGGGCCTCTGCGGTGGATGCCCCCGACCACCGCCGGAAATTGTTGATGCACTCGATCAGGGTGGCCGAGCTTCCAGCAATCTTGTCGGACCCCTCGAGAGTTAGCCGGGCGCCGGTTTTGATGATGCGCTCGCCATTGGTCCATTCATAGACTCCGTCTGGCAGACCACATAGCTTCATGGCATCAGTGACAAGAATGAGCCCGTCTGGGTAGGCGTTATATGCGATGCGGATCGAGGTGGGATGCAGGTGGATTCCATCAGCGATAACCCCATAGAAGGGACGTCGGCATTCGTTCTGGCCTAGGAGGCCGAAGATACCCGGGTTCCGATGATAGAAGGGTCGCATTGCGTTGAAGAGATGAGTGATCATGGTGGCGCCTTGCTGGGTGGCTGTGAGAGCTTGCTCATATGTTGCATCTGAATGTCCGATGGAGTAGATAATGTCATTAGATGCGATTGAGGAGATATTGGCCAGCATGTCGCCGACCTCCGGCGCCGCAGTAATCATGCGGACGGATTTGGAAAACCCGATCATATTTTCCTTGCCATAGCAAGCAACAATATCGTCGAAGGTGGCGGCCGCACGAAGGACCTCCGTCTTGTGCACCCCGTTGCGGCCAGTACTGATGAATGGGCCTTCCACATGAGCGCCTAGAGACTCGGCCCCGTCTTCTGCCCGATGACTGCTACCAGAGGGGCCCAGCGATGGAAGTACCTATATTGTCAGTAGGCTCAGTCATTCTGTCCCCCCTTTGGCTGAAGCGCTTTTGGGAGGCATACCTTCCAGTAGACTTCCGGAGTCGAGCTCACTACTGTCGGAAGGTAGGATGTGACTCCTGTCCTGGCCAAACCTTTATTGACCATGCGCAACCCCTCGTCATATTCGTCCTTGGAGATCTGGGGAACGGAGAAGTCGAAGCCCTGGGCACCGTTGAGCTGAACGTCGATGAGCCCGGGTGCAAGGATACGCCCGCCTAAGTCGATGACTTCATCGGGGGAGAGTTGCAAGCCGTAGAACGCTTCTTGGTCTTTGAGAATCTTCCCGGAGAACGAATCGATCCAGACATCCTGCTCGATGAGGGTGGGACCCTTGACAATCCGGCAGTTGGTAAATTTGGTGATGCGGGGAGGAGAGGAGGCTGTTTTGCCGGGCATGATGGAAATAAAGCGAGCCCCGCGAGGGTAGCCAAGCAGGAGGATGATTGTTGAATTTTAGAAGGATTGGATGCGAAAGACACCCCTCAGAGATAAAGAGTGAAGAAAAGAGAAGAGAAGGGGAGGGAGGGGGAGGGGGTAAGGGAAGGTGGGAAGCGATACTATGTACAACTACTAGGTACTACTACATGGTGACATCCCACCAGGAACCGTGATGGACTGACTGATATTGTTCAAGCAAGGAAATGACGTTGCCTTTTCCCCTTTCCTTCTTCTCCTACTCCTTCCTTCGGTCTTTTCTTCCCTCGGCGACGAGGAAATATGGAATGTGACGTTGATCCGATCGGATCGGACTTTTTTGCGGGGCGGGGTGACATTTCCCTGGGGGACCATCCATGGTTGTTAACCTCTACTCTACATGACGACCTTATGTAGAAGTACAGAATGTCGTAGTCTGATTACTACCTATATACTCCGTACCTGCTATAGGGTCTACCTACCCACTTTACGGAGGAGGCACGTCGATGGATACAAGATAGTACTACAATATACTACTTACTACTTACCGATCGGCAATTGGATGGGTCCGTCAGATGAGGTCATGTTGCAGATGGCGGAGATCCAAATACCGTCACGTCTGATTACCGGGCAGCTTCCATACTTGCCCAGACCGGTCTGGTATCTTACCGGTCACCCGAGGAACGATACCCCCCAGTACCCACGATACCTGGTGGTAGTACCGCAGTAAGGGTCCAACCTCATCACCTGATCGATCCCGCACGATCTTTTTAGTTTGATCAAATGTGATCATCTTATTATTATCATCATCAACTAATAATTGTTTTACAGAAGTCTCCGTAAATGCTCACCTAGGGACGAAGTACTCCGTACATACACTGACTATCTAGATACCGTCTTAGAATTCATATTAAATACTATCTATCTACTATCTAGTATCTGTCAATCCGAATGCTACCCTCCCCCCCCCGGCCTGCCCCTCCCCGCATCCGGCTAAGCTCCCAGTGGCCGATGTTACCGTCGCCTTGCTTGGGCCGACCATTCACTTGTTTCCCGCTCGGGGAGTTGGATGTTGGGTTATTGGATAGCCCGCCGGAGGCTGATGGGCGGCCTGACCAGTCTTGTTTTGTTGTTGCATTTCTCCATCCCCGACAACGGAACACCATCATTGACTGACTGATCTCGACGGAGTATCATGCAATAGAATTGAGGTCTGTTCCCACCCAATCTTTCTTGCCATCTCTGTCCCTTTCCTTTCTTTCGCTCCTATCTGGGAGATAAGCACCACGCACGCGGTTCTTCACGATCCTATTCTCCTTCCTCTCCGTCCGCGTGGTTGTCACTTGGCTTGCATTGGTCCCCTCAGTACTCCTACTATCTATCTGATCGTCGGCTCTCCCCGATCGGCTCCCAACTCCGCATTTTCATTATTGCTCTCTCTTCCGCCCTTCTTCTTCTTCTTCTTCTTCTTCTTATGGCCGTGAGGTGAACGAATGCGCGAATACTGGTTATAACTAGACTACTTAAGACACTGCTACTCAGTCTTCCTTCCCTCTTCGTTCCACTGGGCGAGGAGGATGACCACTATCTGACCGTCTGAGTGCCCACACCAACCAACCCGTCCGTCACTGACTGGTAGATACTAAAGTACTAACAAACACTACCGCCGACTATTAGTAGTACGCGAGCTAGTACTAGATAGTTATCTCCTGCACTGCTTACTAGATATCTTGTCGGTTCGCAGGCCCAGAGATAAGGTACGGCTGGTCATTCATTCATTCCCTCCTCTCTTTCTTTCATCCCCCCTCCACTCATCCCCCAACCTGTTTATCATCGTGGTATCTCGGTCTCTCCCACCGTGGTATTCACCAGTCAATCCCTCACAATCAGCTGGGGGTTGCATTTCGTATCTGCGCCGAGCACAGGACATGATATGCCAGGCTGCTGATCGTCTAATGGATGTTCGCCCGAATCCTTACCCTTCCGGGCCTTAAAATCTCACCACTCACTGCGATGGGGTCCGCATGGGCCAAGGGTTTCACTTGAGGGACTCGTGACGGTCGGACTATTTGTTTTCGTGTCCACCCCTTCATTCTTACCCCGGATCATCCAAAACATCCCATCCCTTCCCTTCCAGACTCTTGCTCCTGCATCAGTGCACACTGCTGGTGGCTTAAAATATTCCAAGGACCCGGCCGGTCCTTTTTCTTTCCTACATATCTTGGCCTCCACCTCCTGCTTCTCCCGGGGTTGCTCAATTGTGATCTCCTCGAGTGCCATACCCTTTCTCCGTATTCTTTCTGCTGAGGGCTCCTGGTTCATTCTCTTCTTTGATTTGGTCCCATTTCGCCCGCCCCTTTCTCTGAACATATCTATCCCCTTCCCTTCTACTGTTGATAGCTGCACATACGTCCTTGGACTCACCTACATATGCCCTACTGTGCAAATTGAGAGCCTCTGCTGACCTTCCGATAAGTCGCGTGGATCGATAAGTCTTCCCGCTGCCGTTACAATACTTCCTACATCCAGGCTTGCTGTCGCCAACAGCAATGGCTACACCCACCACGGAACAGGAGGACCGTCGTCCTGAGAAAGAGGTCCCCGCGGTCACCTCGGATCCTGAGGCTGGCCATGATGCCCCCGTCACCGGAAAACCTTGGATGTATAGGCCGCTGAAGGTTGGCCCTTGGACCTTGCCCTACTTCGCCTCCCCAGAAATGCAGCTCCTCCTGGTCTCCTTCGTGTGCTTCCTCTGCCCTGGTATGTACAACGCGGTCACTGGTCTAGGCGGCGGTGGTCAGCTGGACCCTACCGACGTCAGTGATGCCAACACGGCCCTGTACAGCACTTTCGCGGTGGTGGGATTCTTCGCAGGCTCCATCGCGAACCGTATTGGCCTCCGCCTTACTCTGTCCCTCGGTGGTTTCGGTTATTTCCTCTATGTGGCTTCGCTTCTGTCGTATAACCACAATAAAAACTCCGGCTTCCTAATCTTTGCTGGTGCACTACTGGGTGTCTGTGGCGGTTTGCTGTGGTGCGCGCAGGGTGCAGTCATGATGAGCTACCCAAACGAAAAGGACAAGGGGAAATTTATTGCCATTTTTTGGGTAATTTTCAACCTGGGTGGTGTGATTGGCAGTTTGGTAAGTACATGTCTGCTACTTATTACCAGTCCTGCATCTCTGCTTGTTCTTGCAATGAAGATTCTCATGGCATCCCGGTCTATACACACAGGTACCATTGGGTCAAAATCTACACTCCGAGGCAGGCCAGGTGAATGATGGCACCTACATTGCCTTTATGGTGCTCATGGCTGCCGGATTTGTCCTTGCCTGGGGCCTTTCGGACTCTAAGTATGTTAAACGCAGCGATGGTTCTCATGTCATTGTGATGAAGAACCCAACCTGGAAATCAGAGCTCAAAGGTCTTTATGACACCCTTCTCACCGACTATTACATTGTTCTGTTTTTCCCGATGTTCCTGGCGAGCAACTGGTTTTCTGCCTATCAATTCAACAGTGTCAATGGCGCTTATTTTAACATTCGAACCCGGGCCCTCAACAATCTTCTTTACTGGCTCATGCAGATGGTTGGCGCTTTTGTCTTCGGGCAGCTTTTGGACGTGAAGTTTCTTTCCCGCCCATCCCGAGCCAAGCTTGGCCTTATTCTCCTTTTCATTATCACCATGGGTGTTTGGGGTGGTGGGTATGCGTTCCAAACAGGATACACCCGAGCAACAGTGCAGGCCGATACCGACTGGACGACGAGTGGTTTTGTTGGACCCATGTTCCTGTACATGTTCTACGGGTTTTACGATGCGGCTTTCCAGACTTGCGCATACTGGTCAGTAATCTTAGATCGTTTTTTCTTCTCTCTCTGCTATACCTTCATGCGGAGAGTGTGGTTCATTGACTGATGTGAGCATTGTAGGTTTATGGGCTCACTTACCAATAACGGCCGCAAGTTGGCCAACTTCGCTGGCTTCTACAAAGGAATCCAATCTGCTGGCGCCGCTGGCATGTGGCGGTGAGTACTACGAAAATCATACTCTTAAAACCAGGCAATTCTGTATTGGGGTGGTTGTTGCAGCAGCTAATAGCGTTTCCGCAGGATGGATGCTGAGAAGACTCCTTATATGACCGAACTGGCCTCTTGTTGGGGACTCCTCGCAGCCAGTCTCCTCATTGCAGCCCCAGTGGTGTTTTTAAAGATCAAGGATCATACAGATATGGAAATTGATCTCAAGTTTTCGGATGAAACCGCTCAGGAGGTGGGCGTTCCGCTGCAAGAGCAAACCTCGGTGAAGAAGGATGATGAGAAGGGAGAATCTCTTACTTAATCATGACTGGATCTTTGACACGCACCACATTTCGTCTTTAAGGCGGTAACTGGGATTTCAATGGCGGTGGATAATGAGGCTTTCGATGATCACGTGTGTTGTTGGCTAGATTTCCCAGGGTCTGAATGAGCCTGAAGTGCTGGGAATCTGGCTTCAGTCACTCCATACAAGCTGTCAGCTAGATACTACTATTTAATAATCTCAATTGACTGACAACATGTGACTGCTGCTCTCTTTCTCTAACATTACATGGGTCTATTACCAAGGTCTTGTGATTATTCTGTAAACGACTTTCGCCCAAAAATTCCCACGCCCGCACATTCAGGGGGGGGGGGGGGGGGGTGGGGCTGCCCACCATTTGGACCTTCATTATGATCATGGGTTTTAGGAAGCTGGTGCCACTGTGACACATGTAACACTGCTGAATGTTATACAACTAAGCAACCCCCCCCAGAAGAGTCATTGAAATTAGCTGATCAGCATGGTTAATGACACAAAGAATTCGGTCTCTACTTATAACCCTGTCAATGCCGCCACTACTATATGTATCCGGGAGCGATTTGTTTTGCGCCCGCGGCAATATCCCAGCCGAACAAGGTGCGGTTGAACAACTGCAACGCCGCGACAGGCTGGTAGTACGGGACCTCGTGGCCAGCCTGGTAGACACGAGTGAAGGAGAAGTTACCAGACTCACGAGTTTGGCCGTACTCGACCCCGTCCACGGTCATGGGCGTGTACGCGGCCGTGCGGAACTCGGGCGCATGCGCGTACTCCACCGCCAGCGAGACAGCCTGGCCACCTAACCAGTTACAAATGTAGTCGGCATCGCCGTAGATCAAAGACACGCGCACGGGAAGGCGAAGGATCTCCTCGAGGTCGTCCATGAAGTTAGGCCATACGAAATCCCCCGTCTGCTGGAATGCGTAGAACACCTCGCTGCTGGATTGGGTGTAATTCAAGTCTACCCCGATGGCATCCATGACCGAGCCCTTCTGAAGATACTTGGTGTAGTAGGACGGGGGAGTCGGGTCCTACATACATATCCACGGTAAGCTTCGTCCCCACCCCCTCCTCCCGCTCCCCATTTCCTCTCTCTTGGTACTTACATCGTATGGGTGTCGGATATCGTATACACCGTGTCCACCAAACTGGTAATACGGCCCCTCTGGGGAGATTCTTCGCTCAGCCGTCGTCTCCAGCCATACATATATGGGGGTACGGAACTTGTCCCTTGTTCTACTTACCGACGTTGTCCCTGCACATATTGGTGGCTTCTGTGCAGATGGCATAATCGGCAAGTGAGGATCTGTTTGTGTGCTTACAGGAGTCGATTTGATCCTGGCATCCATTGGGCATCTCGTAGGCAAACTTCATGTAGTTGTAGACTGTCTCGTTGACCTGTTTCACATGAGCGGCGGCTGTTCTGATGCCTTGCCTCCATTGCCAGGGGGAAGAAACCTACCGCCTTGATCCCGTATGTGTTGTTTACCGCGAATTCGGGGTAGTATTTAGCCTGTTGGTTCGAGTCGGGTGCGTCAGTGGTGGTGGAACCCGTGGGACAAACAAAGCCAGCCACCGTGCGTGGAACCGATCCATTACTTTGCAGCATACCTGAATCGCTTCGTCGATGATACCGTTGATGATTCCAAGGGAGTTAAATCGCAAGTGCACGCCATCGACGGTTCCTTGAGCAACTTTCTCATTTTGCTCGTGGAAATAGTCGAAGAACTAGAAAGGATCGTCAGTGTCGTGGGCCTACAGTGGCGGACGGCTCAACTCACAGCCGGTCCGTAGTGCCTAAGGCAGGCAGGTCGGTCAGTCTACACCTCGGATCCCCCCAAGGATTGGGACTAACCCTCCATAGCTCTCCGTCCAGAGATTGAATTCCTTGGACTTGATGTTCGGGTCCAGCTGGGGTAGACCGCCGAGGAACCCCTGCAGTACTTCCCAGGTAGCGCGTGCAGCAAGGTCCGTGGTGTCTTTGGATAGATACTATATGTCAGGACAGTGTCTCCCCGACACCCAGGCCCCAATGCGACTTACCAATCAATGTGGCGTTGATGACTGGGAATCGACCCTGAACGCCAGCAAAGGAAGCATTTTCGACCACTCCTGTGAGGGGATTCAGGGACCCAGGCTCGGTCTCACTGTAAGAAAAGCCTATATGTATATAGCAGACACACACATGCAACGATCCATTGATTAGCGGGGAACACACTGAACACACTGAATACACACACACATACACACACACACCCGACGGACAGGAATCCATACATACCAACCCCGAGTGGCTGTGACAGGAAGAGAAGGTTCGAGACCTCGTTCCACGAGTAAGGGTTGATAACAGATTCAAGACGAGAGTTGATATGACAGGGACCCAATTCTAGTTTCCCTCGACGTCAGCCAGCCAGCCAGCCAGTTACCCCCTCGTCTTTCTATAAAGCACAGCTAGGGGAGGGAGAGAGATGGAAGCGGACGCAATCCAACCTTCAAACAGCCCGATCAACGAGTCACTCCCGGGGCCCCCGTTCAACCACAGAGTGACAGGATCGTTCGCGGGGTCTCGCCGAGACTCAAAGAACCAGAAAAAGGTATGCGCGTCCGGGGCCAGATCCACGTATCCGGAGTACGACTTCACCCCCGGGGTGGTCTCGCAGATTCCCTGGTTGCCGGGCTCCTTGTACCGGATGGTGATGTTGTTGGGGGTCGTGATTGACTTGACGTCGGTGGGAGCGCTGGGCAGCTGTCGTTTCATCCCAGATGCAGATGGCCGGGCATCGTCGGGTCGAGCCCAGTGGGGGGCAGCCAGGGATAGCGAGAGCGAGAGCGAGAGCGAGAGCGAGAGCAGGGATACCAACCGAGAGCCACGCATCATGTTTCCGATCCAGGATACAGAGGCGAAAACGGATTGAGGAGGTGTGTGTGGAAGGGGAAGAGGGGAGGGGAGGCATCCTGCTTAAGTAGGGCGACCTGGGGATCCCCAGATCGAATACCCCGAATGCCCCGGCTTCATGCATGTTAACATGAGGGGAACCTGGCCTGAGAAGCATCACCATCAAATGGCTTGCTTGGGATGGTGGATGCGGTGTGACTTGGGGATTCCGGCGTCACCCTACTTACTCACCGGGGTAGTACAGTGTACTGTGCAAGGGGTGGAAACGGTTGTGTGATCAGTCAGGTCATTCATTTCTTCATGTCGTATAGTCTAGTTTACCTAGCTACTTTCGACTCTGTACAGATGATGCAGATGCAGTGCAGTGGGAATGCGTATGTACCAGGTACATGCGTGCATGAACCCCCCATCCAAAATAGTTCAAAACGCCAGGCACCTTTCCCTTTGATGCTCCCAGAATGTGAAAGAAACTAGACAGATTGCCCCGCAACAAACACACAGACAGCGGAGACAAGTCCAAGGAGAAGTCAGCCCCCTCCTTATAGGTTTAATCCAAGCTCCGCATCAAGGTCTGCCGTGATGGCATTCGTCTCGGTCTGTGGTGCCGCGCTGCGATCGTCGGCCAGCTGACCGTCTCCCAGGCCAGACAAGGTAACCCCCTTGCTCTCCGTATCAAACCCCATCATGTCGGATAGACTGCCCATGGCACTCATCCCAAAGCCATAGCTTTTCCCATTGGCATTCCCATTCGAGCCCAGACCGTCATCGCCCGTCAAGAAGTCGGCGCCGGCATCATCAAAGTTGATCAGGGCGTCGAAGTCGTTCTGTGTCACCTCGGCATCGTTCGCCAGGTCCATCAGCTGGCTTATGCTCAGCTCTGGATCGAAGTTGGGGATAGTGAACGCATCCTGGTGATAGCTCGAGTTCACGTTACTGGTACTCCCGTTCTCGCTACCGTCCGAGGGTGGTGGCGTTGATGCGAACAGAGGTCCGCCGCTTCCCTCGGCAAGCTGCCCAGCAATGCCTGCCCCGTCAGATTTCGGATATGTCAGATCCGGGATTTTCTGTGCCAGCGAGTCGGGAGGCGGGGTCAGGGTGCTGACACGCGCTGTCGCATCGAGAGTGCTGCTAGCCCGTGCTTGCACATCCTGTGGTGCCACCGTGAGTTGGATGCCGGCCTTCCGGATGGCAGCCTCCAGGAATGACGTCGCGAAGTCTGCCGACGCATAGATCTCTCTTAGGCGCTGCAGAATTCGCATGCACTGGTAAAACCGTTGCAGGCTGGTCATCCGGATGGTGGCATCGCTGGACTTGATGTCAAGGAGATGAATAATGACCGCGGGGAGTAGCACTGTGACACCGGTCGTAGGGAAATATCGGGTCAGATTCAAACTATGTAGGTCCTGCGCAATATTCGTGATCTCGATTGCCGCAAACCGCACCTTGTTCCTCGATATTTCTTGCAGTTCCGCGTCCATTGACGGAAGCGGTATAGCTGGGAGGACCTGGGGCCGATGGAGCGCGCTTGACGTAGTCAAATAGACCATTTTGAGAAGCGCGCGGTGGGAGTGAAGGACTTCTTGCGCCTCAGTCAACTTGGATGGCGCAGCGGGAGCGTATCGAATCTCCGCCGGAAGATGGGCCCGCCAGTCTTCCAGCTCTTGATCGCAACGGCGAACTTCAAAGGTCTCCGCCGCCGATTTTTTGGGCACCAACATCATGGTCGTCTCCATTGTACCGCCAAACTTATGACTCAGGACCGAGTACTGAGCGGATAGAACATGGCTAACGCAGAGACAGAGCTTCGCCTTCTCAATGAACATCAAGGCGAGTTCTTTCTGGTAGCTCACGCTTTGGAGAATCTCAGAATTCCCGACGATGCTGACGATCTCCGGTGAAAATGGGCGGAACTCAAAGTCGTCCAGGGTTAACATAGGGACATCGCAGTCGTCGTCTTTGACGCGCATCGGACGTCTCATTCCCAAGGCGATCAGACGGTCACGGGTATATGTGCTCCACCAGATCCGTTTCCACATCCGCTGGCGCCGAAGATCCATACGGGAATTTCCAGGGTCGCGATGCAAGCCGATGGTATGTGCCAGGGACAAACTCACGCCCATCCAATGCCAGGTGTCCTTCTGATCATCGGGCGTCTCATACCAATAGGTCATGAGTAACAAGGATTGAACGAGCGAGATGCGGTCGACTTCATAGTCGAAGTCGTAGAGAAGTCTGGCACGTTGAAAGAATGCTTTTCGCGCAGCCTTTCGGGTCGGATAACCGGCCGCGTGTAGATGTTTTAGGTCGATAAAAGCAGTGCCGGCAAACATCACGGCTTGAAACAATAGTAGGCTCATGCGACGGGTGCCATCGTTCTGAACAATCGTCTGCAGGAAGTCCTCCAGGTCAAGAAGGGGCATATACGTGTGCACGTAGTGGAGATAGCTCTTCAGCAATTCGTTCCGCAGTCCAACGTCGGGAACGGTCAACGCCCCCTTCATGGACAAATAGTCAATGTCCTCCTTCTGTAGGCGAGGCGGCAACCCGCGAATGTAGTCCGGTAGGGAGACCCCACCGGATCTGGCACTGGCGAAGGAAGGATCCAACAGCTGTTGGATCTGCGAGGTCACATGGTGCAACGGGAGAGTCGCTGGCACGGTAGGAGTGGGAGCCATTCTTCGATGGTAGCGGTCCCCCGATCCAATCCTGTTCACCTGGCTCTGATCTACAAGCTGGGTGTTAGCATCATTGCAGAATGGCAGGAAGTCAGCGACAAGACACACATAAAAGATGCGGCATGTGCTGCCCTTGCTCCAGATCAATTGAATGCTGCGATGGAGAGGCGGGGACCATATCGGGAAGCCCATGGCACTCGCTCAGCCTCCTGAACAGGCTTGCCCCGTCGTCTGGGATCTCTGCAGGCGACTGGGACAGCCGATGAGGGTTTACATTGTCAACCTCAACGCGTGATTTCCTGGAGAGTGGCAACAAGGCGCGCTCATGGTTAGCCGGCACTTCTGGGGAGTGGAAATCAAACGGGAGGCATGTATTCGATGTGGACGAACTTTCTCCTCTTGCTTTCAGTGACGATGCACTCTACTTGGTCTAGCCGGCAATTCGTACAGGGCGATCCGTTTTCGACCACATCACACCGCACTTTGCGCGCGCGGCAGCAACAGCACGCCTTCGACGCCCGCCGTTTTACAGGACGGGAATTGGCGGGCAGGCCGGCCGTCGAGGCTTTCCTCTTCGTCTTGGGATCCGCCTCAAACGACGCCGGAGGGGATGTTGTTGATACAGCAATGTCAGCCATTATGCGAAGTGTGATTCAGTAAATTCCGTTCATCCGTAGACAGGCCAGTTTCACGGGTCAATGGCGGGCGGGAAGAAGGAGGAAGAGACGACAGCGAACGGTAGATGGAAAAGATGAGGAAGATGAGGGTGAGGATATAGTCAAAATCAATTAATGATCAATCGGGGGGGAACGAGGATTAAAGGCGCAAGAGTAAAAAAGGGGAGGAATGAAAAGGAACAAGGAGTTTAATCGTGAAGAGAGAGAGAGAGAGAGAGAGAGAGGAAATCCGGAGCGTGACCCAACAAAAGACACAAGAGTGGAGAGACTTCTTTTTTTCTTTTTTTGTTTTCCTAATTAGAATAATTCATATGGGGAATTAGGTTATGGTCTTCCTTCCGGGGGAAAGGGGATCACAGGACCACGTTCCAATCTTTCCGTCCAAAAGGGACAAAAATCGAGGTGCGACCTGGGGCCGGGGAGGAGAATGCTTAAGTATTAGAACGATGCGTACTCCGTACTATGCACTATTACGTCCGTAGCAGGCAAGCGGCAGCAGGCCTTGTCCAAGTTCCAACCGTCAGTCAGTCAAGTCAGTCAGGAGGCGCTGGCGTTGGGGACGATGAGCCCCAGATCCACTTCTTGCCCAGTGTCGCCTCCCCCAGACCAGACCGAACCGTGGGATTCCGTCTGGAAACCTAGACGCGGAGTCTGTGTGTGGGCTCCATAATACGGAGGGCCGGCCTATTTGCTAGTTGACCGTGACCGTCATTGTCAACACTGAACACAGTCGTCTCATCAAGTGCCATTGTATTTGTGGGAGGAGTCTGAATGATCCATCCAGGTGGAGAGTTGATAGCATAGCATGTATACTCCGTAAATCGTACCCTCTACTGTAAGACTATAGTTAGTCAGTCAGTCAGTAGGTATGGTATGTATGTATCTATCTTGCTAAGTTGAGAGTCACGCTGGCCAGAAAAGAAGGCCGGCGCTAGTTACGGCGAAGACTAGTCCCAATCCAGCTGTTGGACTTGGAGGAGACCTGGGAGCGGGCCAAGGTCCAGTGGTGGGGGTGGACGGGCGGGCAATCAGATTGGCAATTGCAATGCTTTGCACCAGTCGTTGCCGCTGCTTACTGCGCAGACCCCGCCAACCACGCCAACCACGCCAATGAGCATCCACCCCCCACCCCACGCAAGAACTTCAAGAAGTTCAGCCCCCCGAGGAGGGAAAATTCCCAAAAAGAATTATTGGGGTTTGGAAGCCGTTTCCACCTCCGGTCCGGTTTCTTTTAGCGGACTACTCACTCCCTTACTCCGTACCTAGTCTTAGTCTTGTATCCTTAGCCCTTCACCCCACCTTCACCACAACAGACCCAATGAGCTGAGAATGGTAATTAGAAGAATAATTCATGATTACAATAACAACAAAAATGTGTACGATCATAAAAGTGAAGGAAATAGTATTCCGTAGTAGTCCCAGAGCTGAGGAAATGGCAGGCAGATTTCTAATCCCATCCCCCTTCCCGATTTGGGTCCCGTCGGCCCGGTCACGTTACCTACATACGGGGCTGGAGTTGGTAGTAACCGTGTCTGGCCGCCACAACTCCACAGCCAGTCAACCGGCTTGGCCACCACCGGAGGGGACCGGGAGCGAAATGACGGCCCTGTCATTGGTAGGCACTACTTACCTAGTATCTAGGTAGTATCTACTGCATAGACCCCGACGTCAACGGGGACCATTCATCCATGATGGACGGAATAATTGTACTTGAAAGTATTCTGCGGCACATTGGTTGTATGAGCAAACGCCCCCTCCGACGGGATTATCCCGTTGGATGCAGCCTGGAAATTCTGGTGCGAGACCTGCCGGACAGTGACGGGAATGATAGGCAGCTGCGTCATATTTGTTCGGAAAAGATTCCGGGGTCTGCCTCTGTCGGCACCAGCACCAGCACCAGTTACGGTAGCCCCTGCGATGATACATCATGCCCCCCTGCAAGACCAGGAACCGCGAGTAAGACACCAGGAGTTGGACCAGGCCGGGTTCTCTGGGATTGTCTCGATTCCTCCAGTTACTGTGCACTGCATCTAGCATCAAAACGAGAGCCTTTTCGTCATCCAATCCGAAGGCGAATCCGACAAGGGTGCAACCTGCTGTCCGCGCAAGTACTAAGTACTACTTAGTACTCGGTTACCATGCATACAGTAGATAGGATGGCTGGATATGTACTCCGGCAACCTGTCAAGTAGAAAAACTGTATATGCCATGCATTATCAAAGCGAGACCGATCTCCTGTGCCTACCAACATACTACTTAAGTAATGTTAGTACAGTGCTCAAGTCCTCCGAGCTTACTTGGTACTGGTCGCCGTCCTTAAGTGTGTACTCCTCCGTACGGAGTATCGAGTATCTAGTAGATTATAATAGAGAGACCCCTGTGTGGGAAGTCTGGCCAGCCGGCGGGAATTGAAACGAGATTGGCATCGCCATGGCGCTGATGGATTAATAATGGGCTCCCGGATTGTCGCTGGGCTCCGGCATCGAGACCGGCAGAGACCACCATTTGCTCCGGAGTCCCAACTCGCCGCTAGGCCCAAGTAGGATTTAGTCACGGAACGCATGCGGGAGGAGCAGGACGAGCAGTCACGCTCGCCCCGCCCACTGCCCAATGTAGAATCGCAGCCGATCCCGCATGCCGATGGAGTACGAATCGCTGGGTCGGTCCAAACTGCGGTAACGACTGCTACCTTGGAACCAACCCTAGTGGTTTACCAGGCACTGGATACTGGAGTGGCCACAGAAGTCGGTTATGGATCATCACGACCCGCAGGTAAAGAACTGGGGAAGGCTCGGAAGGAGATGTTGCAACCGATCACCAATGCTTCCACCAGGGACAAGTCGACGTCAGACTTTTTCATTTCTTTCTCATCCTTGCCCTGAATTTTCGATGTTCTCAGGGGAGAATGATATCGCGCCGCAGATGGATCAGCTCAAATTCGGGGCGCTACTACAAAAATTGTGCACTCAGTCAGTCAGATGCTTGGTCTTACGTATCAACAGCCAGCCAGATTGAAAGGCGGGCAAATTAAATCTCGCAACAGGGTTGACGAACTCTCCCTCTCTTGCTCTCTCCCTGCAGCGCATTTACAGGACAATTGTTCCATCCCGAATCCATCCCCCTTCCTGAGCGTGAATAAACAAGCTCTTCCACGTGAGACTTCGCCGACTTCCAGCCGAATATCGAAACATGGCCGATGACACGTGTGGTAGCGCCGACAAGCGGCGCTTTCTGAACTCACCAAGGCAGCCACAGCAGCCCAGAATCGGTGCAGCAACTGCGGATGACCTTCGATCTGTCCCAGGTGGGTTGGCGTCACCGGCTGGCTTGATGCCCAAGTGGAGTCGGAACGAACAGACTACGTAGGACCAAAGGCTATTATTGTGCTCGGTTGGCAAGGGAGGGCCATCCTCTACCAGCGATAATCGGAGGAAACCGTCAGCCCCCTTCCCCCCCCCCCCCCCCACACATCAGATAGGTGGAAATACGGAGTAGGCTAGCAGCAGCGGGAGATGACTACCTATACAGAGGGCGGAGTACGGAGTACTGGGGTAGCTAATAATAATGATAATAAGAAGAAGAAGAATATTAATAATAATCAACCAGGCACCTGACTCTGAGGTCTCTCTCCCTAGATACCGAGTCCCTAACTTCTAGGGACTCCCGGAGCTCTGGGGGTGCGGACTGTTTCATGTACAGTGTCGTAATGCGTTGAGTTTCGAGTACGTACCTTAGTGTTGACTTGAGGAGCAGACGGTTCCTTGCTGAAACCATGCGCCGTCACAACATCTTGCATGCTGCTACTGGGGAGAGTACATGTCATTGGATGTGTTCGCAGTTGATCGATAAAACTGCCTGCTAAGGTCGGGGTATTTACCCTACGTATGTAAGTAGTGCGCAGCTTCGAAGTTCAACGCCTCATATCGTGATCTGTCGGGCCTGGAATAATACTACGGGGCAGGAACGGACTGGGTAGATTAGTAAAGTAGTTAGGACCTACCCAAGTAGGACTGGCTGATGGAATCATGGAAGGAACCACTACTACGACTAGTAGGTACGGCCCCAACAATTCTGAACACAGTTTGAAGGCGCATCCAGCCTGATTGGCCCAGTGGATAATTTCCGACCTTCACGAGGGATTTTTCAGAGTTTCCCCCAAATCCCCCCACGCCAATCACTGACACCTGGACGGATCCCCATGTGGGGACCCGGGGAGAGGAACTGAGGAAGGGGCTGGGGCCTGGGGGGGGGGATGACTAACCGACAGTCGGCTCGCCAGCGACTGCGGGTTGGCAGCCAATGACAGGCTGCGCAAAGGCAGCCGAGCTGAGCAAGGGTGGGCGACTAATCCCGATCAGGCAAGGTGGGTATGGGCATGGATCTGGATGGATTGATGGAAACAATGAATGGAGTCTTTCGAGTTTCGACCCTAGAGCGATAATTAATTATTTGCCTGCTGCGGCGAATGATCGAACCTTCCAGCTCCCGTCTTCCCCAGTCTCACCCCCTTTTTCTGATCTTGGGGGAGACCGGGGCAGATGACGGGATGTATGATATCATTCTCACTAACTACTACCGTGTACTCCTACTAGCAAGTCCCAGTGAGTTTACCTTATCTACACCAATGGAGGAGGCAATTGAGCCGTCTGATAGAGTACCACTTACTGTGCAGGCGCACATGTCCTGGTTTAAATGTCTCACGTCCTTCCTCCCGTGTCTCGCAATCTCCCAGACTTCCTTCCACTCGGCCCAGCAAGGAAGGGAATCCCCCGCACTTGGGTCTAGTTCCGCCTAACCCTTTACCCTAAAGGTATAGGCAGCACTCCGTACGCCGTACTACTACTAGTAGTAGTAAGTAGGCACACACAAGGACCGCCGTGTGGCTGCACTACTCCGTACGTACTTAGTACTCGGACATCTTCCCGAGCCAAGCAACAAGCACAGCGATCCGAGCTCTCGCCATCCACCAACAAACCCCCCACTCTCTCCCTCCCCCTCCCCCACGTTCTGTCAAATTGGCTGTCATGCAGGTGCCAGGCTGGCCCACCACCGCAGCATAGTATAGGCCATCCCCCATCTATAAGAGGACGGAGAGGATACCACTCCGTACCTTACGGCCCGGGTATACATACACACACAATATCAGGGAGGCAGATGGAACTGCAACCACCATCAAGTCCACTGGCAGTCCTTGTGCCCTGCATGGCTGCGCAGGGATCCCGGCTGATCCGAGAGGCCCGTGTCAGAAGACTCGCGTGCTCGAGGGACCAGGGAACTGTCGCCTGCCCTCCCTCCTAATCGAGCTGGTCTCCGTCTGAATCATCATCCGCATTCCGACTATTCAGGATCCTTGCATGCAGTCAATCCTTCAAGTTGGGCGCGAGCATCGCCTGGACCGAGTCCTCAAGGGCTGAGATCTCGCATGATCCCTGGGGTGACTGGGCCCTTGGAGAGACCCGGTAGCAGGGGATATGGTGTACTCTTACTCGTACTCCGTACTCCGTACTCGGTACTCCGTACATCCGTCCTCTTCGTCTACCTGGAGCGAGGCGGATCATGGGGCAGTGCCGTTTCCGGAGCGCTTGAATACCAGTGGCTATCAATGCCCGTGTGTGCATCGAGAGGTCTTGCCCTCGTCACCCTTTTCCGTTATGGTATCTGTTCCCCTGACTACCGGGTGCACAGCTTGAGTAGAATGATGGTTGATGATACTCATCAAACTCCTCCGTATCATTACTCCTTACTTCCACACTCCTGTTCTTGACTATACGAGAAAGCACAGTTTGGACTCATCGGTCATAATTAGGGCATAATCACATTGCGTCAATAAATTCATTCGATGACTGAACCACAGTCCTCGGTTCCCATAGCTCTCGGCCAAAACGCCTTTTCGGGATATCTCAATCAGGAAGAAATATGTGCCCAGCCAACAGCCAAACCAATATACAGCAAACAAGTAACTACCGGTACGTTGGGGCAACAGAAACAAGGGCCACCAGGAAAGGTTAAAAGGAAGGAAAATAGACAAAATAAAACACAAAATCCCTCTGCATCCGTTAAGCACCACCACGGCCCATTCGTTCAATGGACCCCATGATGCCGCTGCGGCCGGGCCCGAAGACTGCAATCCCGGACTTGCCGCCGCTGGTCCCCCGAAGATGTTGCCCAGGGGCTCTTATCTTGGAGATTTTCTTCTCGCCAGGGGCGGAGGTCGTGCTCGGGGGGCGAATGCCGCTCGAGGTGCTGGAATGGCTAACACTCCGCTGGAAGTTCTCGGAGGACGCTTCTGTTGCGGCCGGCACCGGCTCTGGCGACTCGATCTCTTGATCTGGAGAGGACTGGGAGGCGCTAGGCGCCGGTGGTTGATTCTGCTGAATAGACAACCATTCATCCACGGCGGCCACCAGATCGCCTTTTTCTGCTCGCTCCTGTTTCAATTCAGTGCGCAAATTCTCGCTGTCGTTCTTGAGAGCTGCCATTTCTTGCTGCAGGCCTTTGATCTGCGCCTCTAGCACGCGTTTCTCTGCCTCGTGTTCATCGCGTTCTTGGGAAATCAGGCTGGTGTCGATACGCGGAGCTTCTGGCACAGTCGCATCCCGCTCCGTTCTCAGGCGCTCGTTTTCTTCGTTGGCAGTCGCCAACTTATTCTCAGCCTCGCGCAAGCGCTTTTCCCAGCGAGCCTCGTAGCTCTTCTTCAAGGCAGCTACTTTCGTTTCGTGCTTGCCCTTGTACAACGTGTGAAGCTCACGTGCAACTTTCTCAACAGCATCCTGCACCTCCTTGGCAGTTTCTTCGGGAGACTTGGTGTGGATAGTGCTCCCCGAAGGCACACTTGCCGTGGACGCAGACTGCAGCGCAGCAGCCAATTGACTCTCCAATTCCACCACTTTACCTTCCAACTGCTCCTTGGCCTTCTCCACTTCATCCACCTTCTTCACCAACCGGTCTTTCTCCTGCTCGCCGTCGACAATTTCGGCCCTCACGTTTCGAAGTACGGCTTCCATTTCCTGGCCTCGTCGCTGCCATTCTGCTTGCTCGATCTCCAGAGACTCCACGCGGGCGATCTCGTTACGGACCTCTTCCAATGCCTCCCCAACACGCCGCTCCGCATCTGCAACCGCCTGCTTGAGACTAGCAACCTCTGCCTCCTTCCCACTCAGTGTAGCCTTGAGAGACGAGATTTCCGACAGAAAGCCGGATTTCAAGGATTCCAGCTCCCGAGGTGTTACCGTCGGGATGGACCGGGGTGTAGGAGCGCTGGGGATGTCGAAGTCCAAGAGTGAAACCTTTCCAGGGGACCGCGCTGGGTCTCTAGCGGCTCGCAACGGTGACCGTCGGGACGGGGAGTATCGCTCATTCTGTACGCTATAGCGGTGACGAGGGAAAAGGTTGGGCTGATCGGTCAAGTCGAGCAAATTGGGCGTCTCGTTTGAGTCTCTTACTTCCCGCCTTCGAGGCGTGGGAGAAGCCATAGGTGTGCCGAACTCACTCAGCAGGGTGCTCTTTCTTGGGGATTTCCTCGCGGTAGTAGGTGTAGCCGGTTCGACGCTCTGACGAAGAGAGTCCTCTGGCCTGGCGGGATTGCTCGGGAGAGGCCGCTTGACTTTGAACGGGGAATCACTTCGTAGTTGTGCAAACGTAGTCATATCCGGGATCGCGGAGAAAGTGCTCAGGCAAGTCTCGTCCATGGACTCATTGGGGTCTTCAATCATAACATCATCTTCGTGCAAGTCGTGCAAGTCGAGAACCTCCTGCTCTTCCTGCATGCCACCGTTGTCATTTTCGTGGAGAACAGTGCTCATGCCTTCGTTATGTTTCTCTTCCATCATACTATTGACAACTTCCGGGCCAGCACCTTCTGATGCTCTCTGTTCCCCAGCGATCTCGCAGTCCTCGTCGTAGACAGTGATCTCCGGAACACCTCTGGGTCCAGTCCCCTTCTTGTGTCTATCCGCGGGACCATCCTCATCGTCGAGATCGTCGGGCGCATGTTCATAGGAGCGCTTCCTGGGAGTCGCAGAGTGTTCGCTTGGGCCTACCGAGGCCTGCCGATTGAGAGCTCGCAGCCTCTGAAAGTCCACCGTTTCATCTCTCGCATCAATCCGAAAGGGCGAGCTAGGGGCGACTTGTGGCGAGCTGGCATAATCATCATTTTCATTTCCATTTTCATGTTCAACAAGCTGATCGTGCCCCTCATACGCATCATCAGGACTCGGATCTTCCTGGACCGCAACCTCAGCAACCACTTTCAGGGGGCTCGAGAGAATGTTTTCCTGCGCATCGGCCGCTGCCAGATACGCATCCATATCGATCTCATCGGCATCCATGGTGGTCGGATTGGCATAGTCCGGCGACAAGGCTTGCGAGTTCTGGCGCGAGGACGGTAAAGGGGAGAGGGGCGCAGACATGGCAGCCTGGGTGGGGGGAGAAGATAGGTTGTTATGTAACTGAGCAGTCGACAGATGTTGTCGCAGATCAACTTTGCGAACAACACAAATGCCCCGATACCAACAGATGACGATAACGAGGTTCGTGACGTCCCAGAAGTTGAGCGAGTGCGGCTCGGAGATGGTTTATTATGATTATTTTCGGGGCCGTTGCCCGGATCGTGGTAAACAAACCTAGTCCTAGAGCGGACTAGCGGCACCGTGCACGGTGGGCGGTGAGGCGCGGTAAGTGCCCCCCTGGCTTGCTCACCGCCTTGCGTACACCATACAGCAGTGGGCACAATGCAGAGTGGAGCCTACACTGCTATCTAAGATGGAGAGATGTGGGAACTGGGGATGCGCAAGGCTAGGAGGCTCAAATGGTATCTAGTACGTCCACTGCATTATCAAATGGGGCGCTAATGGCCTGAAGTATATTTGTTATGTAGTATGTGTATCATCTCATCTACATACATCGGGCACCGAAACACCGTGCATCCGCTAACAAGTGCAGAACCCTAAAAAATATATTTGACATGGATGGTATCCCGCATTTGTCACAACCTTTGAGTGGACCTGCCAAAGAAAGAAGAAGAAGAAGAAGAAATCAGGCACAGAAATCAACGACAGAAAAAGGACGGGTCTATGTAAGCGCCATGACGGGTCGCAAATATGCAGAACAACAAGGCAAGCTACGCATTGTCGTCCCTGTCGCTATCAGTGTCCGTTACAATGATATGAACAACCTCGTCTTTGACGGGTGATATATCTGAGGTGTAGCGGCAATGTGCATGTGGTTTTATAGTGACGGAGACATGCTTCTTCTGTTCAATGAAGCAGACTTGCACCGCACCAACGAGTGCGATGAAGGCGCTTGACCACCAGGCGAGGGCAGTAAGTTCGATCCTGGCACCAGCGCTGTAGAGATAGCCAGCAATGGGAGGCGCAAGCGTGCGTGCAAGAGCGCCGGTGGAGGCTGCGAGGCCATTGATTTTCCCCATGACCAAATCGGAAGGACTCGCTTGTTTGATAAGGATGAGAAGGACCGGAAAAGCGACGATCGAGAGAATGTTGCGAACCACCAGACAAGTGTAAATGCCAAACATCACATATCTGCTGGACAAAAAGACAAGGAACGGTACCATTAAATAAGCCAACGGATGGAGAACAGTGACGATGATGAACAGTTTCCAAACACCTAGACGCTCAGCCAGAAGAGGGAAAATGAAGATTTGGATGACCAGCGCTATAAGGCCGTCGGTGGACATGATCAGCCCAACGGTTTGTGTTGAGAGGCCCACGCCCCCTGGGAATCTGAAAACCGATGCCGAGAATGCGGAGATATCACTGAAATTCCGGTCCTGCAGGAAGATAGGTAGCAAGTGGTCGTATGTCATCGAGTGATAAGTAAAAATGGCCAAGGCAAGGATAAGCATGCTTTGCCGCCATGTAAAGATAGAGTGTTTCTGCGAGGTGGATTCTGGGTTTGAAAAATCTGCGCGCACAGCCCAATGCTCGTCCTCATGGAGACGGACCTGGTCGAAAGTTCCATAGGACTCGATGTGCAGGTTCGTTCCGGCGTTGGCCGTGGCCTGCGCGGCTATGAGAAGAGGACGATCCGCGGAACACCTGTCAAGGTCATCTGGTGCAACTTGGGGTTGCATATCCGGGTGAGTCTCGTTGAGTAAGAGCCAGCTGAGGATGATGCTACAGAGCAGTAAGACGGAACAAACAAGATTAGGCAGGAGGTAAGGGAATTTGCCAAACAGGCCATCGCGAGAGAAGAGCGAGGGGAAACCTTCGGCAGGCTTTACAAGCAACCCTCCAATGGCTGCAGGAGACGCAAGGCGATTAATACCCATTTCCACGAGGCGCCACGGGGAAAGTATCAGCACACTGACCTGGTCCCATGATGGTACCTATCGACCAAACGAATGGCATGACAGCATAGGCTCGAGCTACATACACCCACGGTTAGCGACAGCTGCAACCACGAGAGTATCCAACCGTTAAGATATCCTTACGCTCATGTTCGGGCCTTTTGACCAATTCGCCAACGATGGTCTGGATGACACCAATGTTCCCATTCAGGGCCCCCCCAAGAGCGCGGCCGAAGAGTGCCACCCAAAAATTAGGGGCGAACCCGACCAGGAGGAGAGACAGCAAGGTCCCGAAACAACCGGAGATCAGGACGGGTTTACGCCCGATACGGTCTGAAAGACCCCCCCAGAACATGCCGGTGAGGGCTTCAGCCAGCGAAAAGGTGGAGACGAGAATGCCCGCATAGAAGGAGGCGTTGTCGGGGCCGGCCACCTGGAAGTCCCTAACCATCACCCAGGAATATGGGAAGATGGAGGTCAGGGCGATGGGCTCTGCGACGCGACATATTGCTAGAAGGAACAGCTGGACGGTGGGGAATTTGTCGTCGTCGTCGTCGGCGGTTGGTCTTTTCTGCAGTGTCAATACCATCTTCGGTGGAATCGTCAAAGACTCTTACGGCAACAAGACTTTTCTCTGTCTTGAGTCCTTTTAATGTCTCGTGTTGTACTATATACCCCGCACGATCTTTCAACTTTTTCTCCACGTTTGGGGGGTGGGGGATAGACAGGAAGAAGAAAGGAGATTGCTCAGTGGAAGATAGAGATGAGTTGAAGATGGGAGGAGAGAGAGAGAGAGAGAGAGAGAGAGAGAGAGAGAGAGAGAGAGAAGAAAATATAGTAGTGAAAGAGTGAAGGGACCCGGTCACCAACCGCGGTCGGACAAGCCCCATGGAACGCCTCCCCCGTTATCCAGCACTCTTGATTTGCGCACCAGACTTGCGACCGTCAGCAAAGTTTTCGACTTTCGGTCGAGATCGAGATAGGCCACTAGATACTACTAGTAGTCTGGGGGGTGATATATTGAGAGGATTGGAGATATCTCTTATATTTCATCAGCACGGAATACAGACCAGGCTTTCAGTTTCTTGACATCTTGACTGACTTCCTCCTCCTACTCCTCACCTGGCCAGGTACAATCGCAATTGGCTTCCTGGTTTCCCGGTTACTCCCCTCATGGGTGGCTGGTTGGTGTAACATGTCTTCCCGACGGTACTTCCGAGGGCAGAAACCCCCGAAGGTGGCGAGCATGTCTTTTCTTCCTCCTCCTCTGCCCTGCCTCCCCCCTCTTCCTCTGTGCCTTGCAGCTAGAAAGTTAAAACGCTTAAATGATCCAGAGCTACGACCACTGAGGGAGATACAGAGATCGCAAACTCAATTCCCCACAGGAAGCTAGCTCTCTATCGTCACATCATGAAACTTCAACAACTGCCACCGCGCCGATCGAACCATGGAACAGCGCCGAGTGCCATACGGAGCCCACATCTCCGATCTGTTCAGAGGCCAGGCTGGAACGAAAGACATTGATGACATGTCAAAAAGAGGGGGGGGGGAAAGGCATAAGCAATGGAATAAATTGCACGAATCTCATACCCAAGCAACTGCGCTGTTCTATTCATAGCAATGGTAGATACAAATGGCTGGGAGTTGTTGAAACAAAAGGCAGGGATTAATCAAGGAGATCGCATCTTCTAGTGAGAAATTGTTCCTTGGACTTAGTCGTCCTCGTTGCTCAAGGGGACACCATGACTGTGTGCCAGTTCGACAGTCCATGCCGTTACGCGAAGAGTGAAACGTACGGATATGGAAATGTGGTTCACACCAAGCCTCAGTCTCACGGGTGGGCTAGCATGCGGTCCTTTGAGGAAGGGATCCAGGTCTGGCCAGCCAGCCATGCGCCGGTGTATTTTGGTCTTTTGATGGGTGCGACATGCATGGGGCATGCATCTCTAATGGCCAGCATTTTCAGAGACAGGAATATATGATCGCCGCTCTCTTGCAGCCTGCATACTGAGTCAGCGCATCCATCCATGCCAGGGGCCCCTGCCAATCGATAACGAGTATTCCCCGATCAAACATACCTCAAGCCACTTTTCCACCCAAGGTTTGAATATAGCCCAAGCGAGAAGGCTGCCCGTGGCGATGATAAAGATGAACACTATCGCCTCATCCTTCCGGGAATCTCGTTCTGGACAGACGTGCAAGGTCAATGTGAGAACGGGCAATAGAGACGCCGGGCGTGGGGAACCAAATCATACGAAAACAAGTAGTGAAGACATCATCTTCCTTTGCACCATGACAGGTGGGCAAATCGTAATCCAGGCAAAATTTCCGGCTGCAATCGTTACAGTTCAAAGACCGATAGTTCTTGGCTCTTCCATCCAGGCCATGCGCATCATCACTGCGACCAAAGAACCGCAAGGCACCGTGTAGGCTCGAGCCGGAGCCCGAGGAGTCGGGATCGAGAGGGATGATCGTGCTATTGGAGAAGCAAGTGCACTTGCAAAATGATGCGGGCGCTGCGTTGGATAGCAATATGTCAGCCGGTCCTTATTGAGCCCTTATTCTCGGAGGATGCGCGGGGCGTTGGGGAGTCACTCACCGGAGGCTGTTGCGAAAGAAGAGCAGAGCAGAACGACAAGAAAAAGAGCCAGCACACGGGAGAGGGAGTCCCGTAGCAGCATCTCTGAGAAAGTTCGCCGTGTGGAAGGGGGGTGATTATCCCTTCGATCAACAGTTGACGTGTCGATTCATCGTGAGTTCGCATCGGCGAGGCCTCCGAGCCATCCCCGGATTCTTGGCAGCACGTGAGCGGCTGTATACTTATTCAGTACTTACCCCATGGTACGCAGTACGGATTATTACGCATTACGCAGTACGAATTTCTTCTACTATGTCTTCTTTGTCTTCGATCCCCGAAGGAACGCTTCCCGATAGATGCGGCAATGTTCCATGTCTATATGCGAAGTATAAATGGCAAGATAGTGCAACTTGCCAGCCAAAACGCCGATGATGATGATGATGATGATGATGATGATGATGCATGCATGCATGTACGCAGATATGTCAGGCACCAGCAACGCAGCCCTAGGATTTTCCTTTCATGCCCTTGCTGCGGTTGTCTCTCTGTCTGTGCTCCTTAGCAGCCTCGCGACGCCTCCTCTTCCAGGCGCGGTTGTTGTCACCACGGTTCTCCCAGAACCATTTCACAAACTCCGAGTCATCCGTCTCTTTAGCCGCGGCTTTGGGTATCGGTGTCGTCAGGTGCATTGCACCATCCAAGTCCATGGGATCAGCCGGTCCCAACCCATTCCAGTTAATACCCCGGCCAACTAGAGCTGTGTCAGGCGTTGGGGCAGCACTCCTTAACCCGCGGTTTTGCAGATCTCTCTTAGTAAAAGGCGTATGCGGACCGGCGGGCTTTTCTTCCACCTCTTCTTCGGACTCTATATCGTCTTGTCCAAAGAAGCTGAATGGCGCATTCTCCTCCGTGTCAGGCTTCACTTCAGAAGAGCCGGGTGCGGGTCTCTTGAAGAGTGCTTCCAACGGGTGGACGCCTTCCGAGGGTGTGTTGTCATTCTTTGTCTTATCTTGTTCGGGATGTACCGACTGATCGTCATCGCTACTGGATGACGAATCATCCGTTTCCTCCGTCGAACTAGATGAGTCGTCTCCGTCGCTTTCAGAGTCTGTAGAATCCTCTTCGGACGAGCTCTCGCCACTGGAGGAGGTCCAATCCTCCGACTCGTCTGCAGGTTCAGGTTCCTTGATGGTCTTCTGCGACTTGGACTTTCCCTTCTCCTTGGCCCCGGCCTTTTGTCCCGGTCTATACTGGTCTGTCCTTATCCGATCGCTGACGTTTTCCTTCACATTTCCGGCCTCATCCACCCAGCCCTTGCCTTGTTCAAAACCAGACGTAGGCGTGGACCCGTTGTTTTCGGATCGTAAGAAACTCGGCTGTGTAACTGTTTTGGAGAACTCATGAACAACGGTCTCCTGCGAAGACTTATTCTTCTTCTTGGTCTGTTTCTCAGATTTCTCGTCGACTGTAGATGCCTTATTTGGGGGGACCTTGGTGCGAAACAAGCACTCCGACTTCTCGGTATACTTCGATTTCGCTTGGGACTTTGCCGCCTTTTCATCCTTGCCCTTCTTGTTCCTCTTCTCGTCCTTGCGCCTTTCCTGTTTGGCATCTGCCGACTCTGTCCAGCCTCTCTTCACCTTGCGATCCGACGGGAGCTCAACCCCCTCCAGAACTTCCTCTCCCGCCTTTTGCTTCTTGGACTTCTTGTCTGACGAGGACTTGTGCGCAGCATGGCCGGCATCCTCTTCCTCGGTCCGAGATCTTTTTTTGGGCCTAGCGGTGTCCACCTTGAACTTTTTGCCTTTGAGGATGGAGCCGTTCAGCTTCTTCTTGATCTTGTCGGCCTCCATGGTTGGCAGGGTCACGTAACCGAAGTCGTTTTCTGGGAAGGTTGGAATGGAATGGAAGGAGATCTCGGTAGCGAGAGACCGAATCGACGCAGGCAGCACGGAAGGAAGAATGTCGGGGGAGAACGGGGTGATATGAAGACGTTTAGTATCGGACGTTGTGGTCGTCATTTGTCAGGTTTAGGTTGACAGATGGAGCAACTTGGGTGTATGGGGAAAATGGCAAGTCAATTAGAGAATCGCACCGACATCGCTTGCTGGGGGGTTATGTGAGAGGAATTCAGGTCGCGCAGAGAAAATGAGGTATGGATCTCGATTCCAAATCCTTGGAATGAATAGCGGGCGATACCTATCTATGAGTGAGGCCCAGGGTCAGTCACAATTGAAGCAAATGATCATGGCCAAAAAAATGATAGGGCCGATGGATTTTCCGTGGCGCCAAGGCCGCGGATGGGAGGATATGTGGCGCAGGTGGCAGCCCTCAGCCACCGGGTCTGCCAAACAATTACTACTACTAACTACGGAGTACCGTATTAGTTAGTATACCGCATCGCATCCTGGGCATCCCACATGTCAAATCAGTCAGTGAGAGTGCTAGTTAACTAATTACCGGGACTTACCTATAATGAAAGGGAATGCTTTCTAGACTCATGCGATGTCACTCTGGATACGAACAATTTGATAAGACCTGCCACATCCTTGCAATTGCGCTAGCCCAATACAGACTTGATACGATGTACTAGTCGGATCGATACCGTACCAAGCCGGTGGGTAAAGTACCTACCTACTATCAAGGTACCACTCACTTCTTACCTAGTAGATACTGCGCGCCTAGGTAGGTTGTAAGTCTAGATGGGAGTTAGCTCTCAGTAATAGTAGAACTACCCATGGTTACCAGGAAGAGAACATCCAATGTGTAGTAGTAATAATGGTTGAGGTCATCGATTTCTTGTGATTCCGCGGAACCCAGTACCTACAGGTAGGTAGGTAAGTACTAGGTAAAGGTACCTTACCCAGTGGCAGTAGTAAGGTAGTACAGATACAAACCCATACGAACGGCATAATTACTACCTGCCTAGTAGGTAGTAGTAGGAGACTAAGTACTTACCTAGTATTCTCTACCCTGCCACAGCCTCTCTAGTACTCCGTACCTGGGAGTAGTACCTTCTTACTGTACTACCTTACGCTTGATCGCTGTCATCTTCTCTCCGCTACCTCTCCCTTCTTCGCCTTCTTCGCCTTCTTCTTCTTCCTCCTCCTCCTCCTCCTCTTCCTCCTTCCTCCTCGCTTTATTCTTTCCGCCACTGTTCCCCATGGAACATTGCCCCCTCTGGTCTGGTTATACGACTGGAAGATCCCCCCCTCTAGCCCCTTTCCGGCCCCATACGTACCACCTACCCGCGGCTAACTAAAGCCCGCATTCTGATCTCATCGTTGCTTACAGCTTCGACGTCGTCGCTCACATGGCCACGTCGGATTCCTTGACATCGTCTTGCTCGCATCTCCACCCTAGCAACTGAGGGTCCTCCAGGCTCCAGCACGTGCTCCACTTTCCTCCTCTTTGTTTGATTTCGATCCGCGCTCTGTGACTTGCGCTTGGAGCCTTTTCTAATCCAGGCTTGCCTCTTCTACCACGTCCCTTACCCGGCCGGGAACTTCGCCTCTTCTCCGCTTTCTTATCCGGCCTCTTGCCAATCTGACCATCGATTCCACCCAACTCGCATACAATCAACGTTCAACCCCCCACCACCTACTATTGCCGCCTGAACACAACCCCCATCCTCGCTCGAGATGGGCAATTCTCAGACGAAAGAGTCCCGCCCGTCTCTTCCCTCGTCAAATCGTCGCAGTCATCACCATGGCCCCTACGGTGACCGCCATCACGCGGATGGCTCCCGATCAACACGAGGGAGTAGACCTGACCTATCTATCCTCGGAATTGGCGGAAGCTCGGAACGAGATCTGGCCTCCCTCGAACACCGACGAGAAACAAGACAGGAACGCGAGGCTCGCCGGCTAGAGAAGGAGCGGATAGCTCGGCTCAAGGAGCGAGACCGTAGTATGAAGGAGGAGCATGTCGATGGTGGCTATCTGGTAACCCAGGGTGTTTATACAGGAACAGAGGATTTCAATAAGGCCGTGGTCCGACAGCTAATGGTAAGAAGACTATGGCGCTACCCGTTCGGGTCCGGGGCTAACTGTTCCCTCACAGATTGAAAGACGACTTGCGCCCTTCTGGAGAGGCCTCAATGACTTCTCGGACTCGTGGACGGAGCATCAGCTCATGGCAGCCGCGCGTGGCCTCCCGATCCCCCCACCCGACGAGATCCCCCCAGAGCTGGAATATAAGAACCCCCCCAAAGCCGCGGAGGATGGGAAAGAGGCTTCCGATTCTGCTGCAGTCCAATACTTGATGGTCCCGATCACTGCAAGGTCCCAATCATACGGTTCCGACGCTTCCCAGTCATCTACACCGGCGCACTCACTGCCATCACCTACATCTCCCATTGCCTCCGGCACCTCGAGTTCACCTCTATTCCGAACCCGGGCAAAGACACTCGCATCTCTTACCACGTCTAAGCACGGTATTCAATCCGACACCACTTCTCGGGAGATTCAGCTGCCTCGCGATCCGTTCGTTAATGGGCAACCGATCGAGGCCTATCTGTACAAAGACGCGGCCGAGTGTCCCATCTGCTTCTTGTACTACCCTCCGTATCTAAACCGTACGAGATGCTGCGACCAGCCGATATGCTCCGAATGTTTCGTCCAGATTAAGCGCCCTGATCCCCACCCGCCAGAGCACGGGGAGGCAAGCCCGAACCCCCCTCCGGATGAGGCTGAGCATCCTGAGAGCCAAGACTGTCAACTGGTATCGGAACCATCAGCGTGTCCATTCTGTGTTCAGCCAGAGTTCGGTGTTACTTATGCGCCACCGTTATACCGTAGAGGATTGGCCTACGCGTCTGATCTCGGCGCTCGTCCCAATGTCGCTTCGCCACTCTCGTCCACATCTTCTCTCTCCTCCGGGAACACCCCCATCACAGGCCGCCGACGCGCGACCTCGTTATCTGCCAACGACCCGACGGTGATTACGACCGATAGGATCCGTCCTGACTGGGCTCAAAAGTTGGCGAATGCTCGGGCGCATGCGGCGCGACGGTCCGCGGCAGCAACTGCTCTTCACACGGCGGCTTATCTGATGAACTCCAATGGAAGTGGCAGCGAACCCCGGAATTTCGGTCTCGGAAGGAGAAGCGTTATGCGGAGAAACGGTGCCCCAGAGGCTCAAAATACATCTGCCCGCACTGGGTCCCAAGCGCTACAAGCCCTGGCGTTTCTGACAGATCGACGCGGACCAGGGCCTGAAACCGACTCCACAGAAGAAGGCCCTGGCCACTTGGCGCCGCCGCGCCAAAGTTCCAGGCGCAATCGCATTGATGATTTGGAAGAAATGATGATGATGGAGGCAATCAGGTTGAGCCTAGCCACCGAGGAGGATAGACGCAAGAAAGAGGAAAAGGAGGCGAAGAAGGAAGCCAAGAAGAAGGAGAAGGAAGCGAAAAAGGCGGAGAAGGTAGCGCGCAAAACGGGGCTTACGAGTAACAATGCGAGCAGTTCCGCCTTGGACGTACCCCCAGATGGGAGGCTTGGCCGGGTCACCAGCAGCTCCTCGTCGATGACCGGCGAAGAAACCGTGACTGGGGGGAAGGGCAAGGAGGTCGATCGGGTGTCTCCATCCGCAGCCACTGGTGCGCCTGCCGCCACCGCTGGCGTTGCAGAGGGTGTCCCCGTCCAGTCCGCCTCGGGGACATCGGCAGCCCCCGTCGACCAACCGCTGTCCTTGCCGGCTCCCCCCATCGTGCAGTCACCTCCCAGAGAGCTCACAAGGCCGTCTCACCTTCGGCATGTCTCGAGTGCATCCTCATCGTTGTCTTCGGTGGTTGAGTCGATGTCTGGTGATCATGCGGCACCACACTCGTCGACCGAGGGCGCAAGTTCGTTTGCCGAGCCCATGTTCAGTTTTCGAAGCCTGGCTGCGGTGATTGGCGACGAAGACAAGCCTGAGGACGCGACCGAGCATGTGGAGGATACGCTGTCAAACCCCACTGCGGAAGGGTCGGCCTACCACCCTGCCCCGATGACGAACGATGATGCGCCCTCTTCTGAAGAAGCCCCCGCCGCAGAATCCAGTGCGCCCCCTAGGGAGCAGGGGGACACTCTGATGCCAAAGGAGGTCGAAAGTCAGTCCGTGGAGATTACTGACACTACGCGTGATGCCGAAGCTACTTCTTGAAGTTGGAACTCAGGCTCCTGATGTTTTGTCGTGGTTGGATCCTTGCGTCCCCCGGACGGGGTGGTTAGGCAACAGCTTGTGCTGGCGCGACTGGCGCGAAAGGTGTCTTGGAGGGCAAAGTCTGCGATGAACACACTCCTTTTTTTTTTCTATTTTCTTTTTCTGTCCTGGGTTGCGATGGCGGGGAGCGCATGGTATCTTTCTTTCCTTATATACATACAGTTGCATAGAGTTGCCTTTTCCGGACCCCCTGTCCTCTTCTTTTTTTTTTTTTTTTCTTTTTTGTGTCCGTGGTCCCGTGCGCGTGTACTTATGCGCTCTTCAGATATGCGCCGAGATGAGGGAGCTGTGCAGATGACGGCATGGGTTGCTGATGATGGTTGACACCGCTGGAGCGGATGTAAGCCGGCCACCGGGTGGGTGATTGATTCGGTTGAATACAGCGTTGGATTAAAAGATGAATGATGATGGTCAGACTGCCCCAAGTCCTTTTTTTTTTTTTTTGTTTTTTCTCCTTCCGTTCTCGTCCGTGACCCTGTAGACGGACGGACCCTCGATCTCGTTTCAGCCGTGTGGACTGCGGCAAGCTCCACCGGGGCTGGGGGAAATGAGCCGACCCTGATGTTGAAATTTGCAGGACGGGGGGATTCGGCGATCCAAAGGGCCCCAGGGTTGTTGTCAGCAGACAGATGCAGGAGTATCTGTGGAATGCGTGAAGCACTCACTGTACATATCTATCTATCGATTTACTCTACCACCCCTGCTAACCAGATGCGGCGTAGTGTGGAGGGACTAGAGAGGCTAAGACGAGGCCGCAGGGTCCATCTCACAGTCCGTCCTCCGTATCTACTATCTATCTATCCAGACTAGTGAGTGAACGGGATTTTCTCCGGTGAGCCTGGGTTGTCTTTTGCCTTTGCCAGATCCTTCATTCCGGCCAAGCAGGCGGGATGCCGGGAAGTGACGCTATCGTCCACTAGTCAAGGCCGGACTGGCCCCGATTCCATTGTCGATAGATAGAAAGATAGCCCGATGCTTGTGAATTTTTGGCCTTTCTTTCTTTTTTCTCTGTCTGTCTGTTCATAAAGACAGGGGAGATAGATCAATCGATCGATCTATCTACTCCGGTACTCCGTGTCTCTCCGCCCATCTATCATCGCTAAGTATCTAGAATTCTCCATCCATGCGGTGCCCACATGGGATCCATCCGTGGTTCAGGCTTTCAGCTCGTTTCCCTGTTGCACTTGCGCGTTCCTGGATCGAATGCGACAATCCGGATTTATCTTGGGCCTCTCCACTTTTTGCGCCCCTCTCTGCTCCCCCCCCCGAACCATGATTTGCCCGCGACCTGCTGAGGAACTGCTGCCAGTGTCTTGGAATAGGATTGGTGCCTGGCAAAGATTTGCTCTGGATTTGTTTTCTTCCCTTTGGCGCTGGTCAGCCAGGTCTCAGGAGTCGCCTGTAGGGTTTGCCGATTCAGCCTGGAGTCCTTTTGCGCGCGCGCGCTGCCTCTCTTTCTTACTCTCTCGCTCTCTTGCTTTCTTGCTTTCTCGCTCACCCTCTCACCCTCTCACCCTCTCACCTTCTCTCACATATACATCCTCTTTATCTCTCCCTGCAGTCTCCCACTGGTCATCTTGAACCCGCATCCATCCAGATCATCAGCACAGATTCCCCGCGACTAGAGGTGGCTTGTGCAGAGAGCCCTCCTCCTACCACCCCCCACCACCACCATCATGGCCATCCTCGACAAGGAAAATCGCCCCCGCGGCTTGCGAGTCCCATCCTTTACCAGGAAGGGCTTCAAGCAGAAGTCCTCCGAGTCTCTGCCGCAGAAAGAGGTCCTTCAGAACCAGGTTCCGGCTCAACCAGACGCCGTCCCTGCTCGTCCTGCCCCGCCGTCTTCCGCCGCGCAGCCCCGACATTCAACATCCCCAGCCAGCCCCAGGATGGCCACATCCCAAACCCAAACCCCTCGATGGCCAACATCCATCCGGCGTACCGGGCCTACAGGCCGCAGCCGCAGCCTCCCGCCGTGCCAGCCGCCGTGCCAGCCGCCGTGCAACCAACTCCCCCGTCCAGCGAGGAAGACCCCGAGCGAATGCTTCAGCCTCGGGACGCAGAAGAGCCATTGGAAGATTTCATCCCCACGCCGGAGCCGGAACTGGACGGCACTGCCACACCCATGGAGCTGGTGTCCAGTGAAGAAAACAATGGACCATGGACGCCTCCCGAGATCGAGCCTGTTGCCGCGCCGCTGAACAAGTTGCACTTCGCGTGCTACCAGGACCATAAATCTATGCCCCCCGCCAACAATGTCTGGCATGCGCTACCCTGCATGACCTGCCAGAAGTTCGACCGGGAAGTCCGGTACCGCTGTGTCTTCTGCTGTCTGCGGATTTGCGCCGGTTGCTTCCAGACCTTGCAGAAGTCCCCAGATCGCTCGTTGGCGCAGCTGATGGAGTCCATCTCCACGCCGGCAGCCTGATATCTAATCATCTTTCATCTTTCCTCTTGATCATCTCATTTCTATGGCCCATATATTCATTTTCATCTTATTTCCACCTTCTAATGTTTACCCGCCGAGTCCCCGCATGGCAGGGAAGAGCGCTGTATTTACTTGCTATGCCTCTCTCGCTTCCAAAGGCTCATGGCTTTGATTTCGGCTACAGCCGTCGACGCCCAGTCCCCGGCTGATGGATTATAGTGCTTTTGCTGATACCACGGAAACCTCGGTTTCTCCCCGCTGCTTGCATTGTGGCCTTACGTTGAGTTGCTTATTTTTATCTTCGCTGTGTTTGTTTGATTCACCGCAGGCATGGCCCCAGTCCTGGCGATTGGGCTGCTGTATGGAAGGCTGTATACTGTCGAGAAGATTCCCAGTTGATATGATACCTAGTCGAGTTGTGAATTCAACGGTCGAGTTCCGAATACATATTATCGTAGAACGGCGATCATCCGTCATGGTCACAATAGCAATGTATAGTACAGCGCATGCCAGTCATTAGTCGTGATCTTCCTCTGTCACTCCGGGACATCCATCCATCTCTGCCGTCTCGTAGCGATATTTGCACCAGAAACAGTAGTGGTGTTGCTCGCGGAGATACTGGACCAGCCGGGAAAGCCGTTCGCCCGGTTCCAGCGCGTTAAACTCGTCCAGCTCGGGGTCTTCTTCTTCCAGCTCTTGCTCAAGGATCGTGGTGATATCCCGTCCCCCTCCGAGGGCCTCCTGGTCGTCTCGCTCGAGGGTTGGATCATCGTAGCCCGGTAACCGCGCATTCGGGAAGAACGACGACGGAAGAGAGGACTGTAATAGATGGCGGGTCTGCAAGTCACGTTCCTTTTCTTCGCGCGCGCGCACCAGTCCCCGGTAAAGGATGTTGATCTGAGATGTCGGTTTGACCTTGGCCTTGACTTTCTTCGGGCTAGGTTCGCGGGCTGGGTCGTCTCTGTGCGACTCTTCTCCCTCGTCCTCAGGGTTCTGTGCTGCTTGGGGCTGCCCTTCTCGAGAGGCAGATTCGGGGTCCGCCTCTGCTTCGGCATCTAATCGTTCGGCGACCTTCTGTCCAGCCTGAAATTGGGCCTCGAGCCGTCTCGTCTCGCGCTCCAGTCGTACCCGGTCGCGATAATCCCCCTCGTCTTGCTTCACCTTCTTTGTCACTTCTTCGGCCTCCTGGAGGAACTTGCGCTTCCGCTCGGCGTCCAGACCAATACCGCCGCGATCTTCCTTGAATATCAAATTGAGGGGCTCGGACCGGCCTCGCGACTGGGGATCGGTAGGTGTCGGACTCGAGGCGACTTTCTCGTTCTGGGGATCGGCCTGCTTCCCGAGAGTTTGTCCCGGCTTGAAGCCCAGTTTGGCCATCATCTGGAACCCCTTGTTGGAGGGGTCGAGCGTACTGGTGGATAAGGCCGCATCGCGACGGGCAGCTTCTTCGGCGGCGCGCTCGGCTTTGGATGGGACTCTGGCCCGGGCTTCGGCCTGGAAAGGAGGGTCAAGGGCGACCCGGGTTAGAGGGGGTTCATGGAATGGTCGCATCTTTTGGTGATGATGAAGGCAAGGCGTGCGTGTGCGTACTCACCTCGCGTTGCTGTCGGCGCTTCTTTTGCGCAAAAGTCTCCTTCTGCTGCGGCTCTTCAATCACCATGTTCATGTAGTCGTCATCTCCGTCATCGTCGTCTTCGGCGTCCGCTTTCCCCGACTTTGCGCGTGCGGGGGTCTCGGTGTACGGGTGAGGGGGCATGTCAGTCACACGCTCCTGGATAAGGTCGGAGTCGAGATAGAGGAGTCTGGAATTAAAACTGCCGAGGGAGGAGGGACAAGTGCGAGGGGACAATGCGCCAATTCTGTCAGATGAGCGACGATCGCAGGGGGGTGAAGAAAAGAGGAGAAATCGAAATGCGGAGGGCCGGCTTTTCCCTCTCCGCTTTCCTCCTCTTCTCTCCTCTTTCACCTCTGTTGTCTCCTCTTCTTCCATTGCCTTTTGACGCACAGACTGACTCACCTGTGACAATAATGCGCCTACTGACTACGTACAAACATCTTCTGATCATCCGAGTCTGACAGCTGCACTCCACTCCCCTCCCATTCCCCGCCCCTGGCGTCATCGGCCAGACTCACTGCCTGCCGAGCCCCCCTCCATCCTCCTAGGATATCCAGGACAACCCCTGCGTTGGCCCCGGGCACGATATTGGCCAGGGACGGCAGAGAGGGCAAGGATTCGCAGCAGATGACGGCACGTTGCAGGACGCTATTCTCCAATGTGGCTGCAACGGGGAAATTCTATCTGCTGGCTCACTTCGATAGTCACAATATTCCGTACCAGTCATTCATTCCATCCGCGTCGCCCCCAGCGGACTGACCGTCCCTTCAAACGTCGCCCCAAAGGGTCTTTCGCATTGGAGCTGGCTCAATCAGCCCGTCGGCCTATGATAAGGCACCGTTCAATCGATCCCGTCCGTTACATGGGGCCTACTCTGTCGCTTTCGGGCGACACAAGGCGTCCCACCCTCCATGCGCGCAAGGAGGGGAGAATCTCCCTGTCATCCGGGCATCCTCTGCACAGGACCCTGAATTCCCGCGGGCAGCCTTGCCTTGAATTGCTGCGCAAGGCTTTAAAATCAGGGCCGTTGCCCTCTGCCTGTAATCCATTGTATATCATCCCTAGCCACACCGTGGGTGATGAGCCTGAGTCTTGTGGGCCCCGACTCCCTTATTGTTCCCCCTCAGCATGACCCTTCTTTATCTCACGGCGTTTGTCTTCCTCGCCCGCCTCGTAGCATCGGCGCAGAACCTAACGGTAGACCTTGGCTACGCACGGTACAAAGGCCGAGGCCTGTCGGATGGCATTGCTCAATGGCTCGGAGTACGATACGCGGCCTCCCCTGTAGGGAGCTTGCGCTTCTCTGCACCGCAGGATCCGGAGGCGGTAGATGGTGTCCAAGAGGCATCTCAGGTAAACTCTTGGCCGCATTGGACCCTTCTCGACTTTGGGAATCAAACTTGTGCTGATGAATACTGGTCAGCATGGTCCTCTGTGTATCCCCACTGGCGATTCTCCAGCTCCGGCAGGAACATCTGAAGATTGTCTATTTCTCGACGTATACGCCCCTAGCGCATCAAAGAACAGCACGGGGCTACCCGTGTTTGTATGGATACAAGGGGGAGGCTTCAATACCAATTCGAATGCCAACTACAATGGGACAGGGTTGATCCAAGCGTCCGGCACGGGCATTGTGGTGGTCACTTTCAACTACCGAGTGGGCCCTTATGGCTTCCTGTCGGGACAGGAGGTGTTGAAGGGAGGAAGCGTGAACAATGGCCTGAAGGACCAGCTCAAAGTTCTGAACTGGGTCCAGACACATATCAGCAAGGTAGGATCTCCGTCCGTCGGGTACTGCCGCACGTCGCCGCTAACTCTGTCTCTGAAGTTTGGAGGCGATCCAAAACATGTTGTTATTGGTGGTGACAGTGCAGGGGCAGCCTCTGTCACACTTCTTCTTTCAGCCTACGGTGGCAAAGATCAAGGACTGTTCCATGCAGCAGCAGCAGAGTCGCAAAGCTTCGCCCCCATGCTGACTGTCAATCAGAGCCAATTCACATACAACAATCTTGTTATCCGCACTGGCTGCGCAAGCGAGACAGATACGCTCGCTTGCTTGCGCAACCTGGATACTGCGAGCCTGCAGAGCGAAAACTTCAATACCCCCTTTCCTACAGCCCAGAAAGCGCCTCTCTACATGTACGGACCTGTGCTCGACGGAGATCTTGTCCTTGACTACACATATCGCCTGTTCCACCAGGGGAAATTCATCAAAGTTCCCGTCATCTTCGGCGACGACACGAACGAAGGCACGATTTTCGTGCCCAAGAATACTTCTAGCGTTAGCGAAGCCGACACGTTCATACAGAGCCAGTTCCCTAACATAAGCCTGGTCCAGCTCGCCAAGATCAACAACTGGTATCTGACAGAGAACCAAACACGCCAGTTCCCTCATGCGAAGCCATACTGGAGGCCTGCCGGCAACGCATATGGCGAAATCCGCTACATTTGCCCCGGCATCGACATGTCAACCGTGTACTCCCAGGCGGGCGTGAACAGTTGGAACTACCACTATGATGTCCAGGACCCAGACGCAGAAGCCTCGGGAGATGGCGTTACCCATACCGTGGAGGCGAATGCCATCTGGGGCCCGCAGTACGTGAGTGGGACGCCGCCCTCCTCATACTTCACCTCGAACGCGCCCATTGTGCCGGTCATGCAGGGCTACTGGACCAGTTTTATCAAGACCTTCGATCCCAACCCTCATCGTTCCCTTGATAGTCCAGAGTGGAAGACCTGGGGTGTTGGCAATGAGAGCTACCATCGTATTTGGATCCGAACAAACCAAACTGCTATGGAGACAGTCCCGACGGACCAGCAAGAGCGATGCAAGTACTTGACCAGTATTGGGACGGATCTTCAGCAGTAAAATAACACCTGATTGCTTGGTTTGGTTTATACCTGGTGTCCAGCGCGGGCTGCTGTATATACACGACACCGTCCTTTACATATTGTGATCAACGCGCTACTGCTGTCTATATTACATGGCTGGCTGCATTTACATACAAGACAGACAAAGTATTGAGTAGAACAAAATAAACATTCTTTTGAGTTACCATTCCATCAAACCCATGATCGAATACGCAACCGGATATATACATACATCTATCAAGCGTTATACGACAAAGTTTAAGGACAAGAATGATTTGAAACCCACAGACCAGCAAGAACCCGCACGCAGAAAAGAACATGTAAAGTAACCAAGAAGCGATCGTATGGCGCGAGCCAAGAGAGAAGACAGACAAGCGAGAGAAGGGGGCGGATTACCGCTTGCCCTGACGCATCCTCTTCTCTCGTTCGTAGGCATTGGCCTCGCGACCCTCCTCGTTCTGCACCTCCGCGACAAGCCGCTTGTATTTCTTCTCGTACTCGGCATCGCGCTCCTTCTTCTCGCGCAGCTTCTCGCGGGCGATGAAGTTGGCGTCCTTGCGCAGCTCGCGCATGGCACCCTTGCGCTCGCGCTTGTACTCGGCCTTGAGGCGGTTGCTTTCGGCGCGCTCGCGATCCGGATCGTAGTGCTTGTTGGGGTTGAAAGACTCCTCGAATTTGGGGATGGCGGTCTTGATGGCGAGGGGGCGGTGGTTGTGCAGAAGGAGCGGGCGACGCGCCGCGCGCGCCTGCGGAAGCTGTCCGGTGATCTTGTCTAGGGTGGCTTGGAGGATTTGCCGGGCTGCGGGGGAGATCTTGCCCTTGCAGGAGCGGGTGAGGTGGTTGAGGACTTTCTGCACGGGCTCGAAGACCTCCGTGTAGGCGGACTTGTCCGTCCATAGGTCCGATGCAGTGCCGAGGAGGGTGGCAAGGGTGGTGATCAGGGAGAGCTTGGTTTCTTCGTGCGTGGTGGTGATGGTGGTGGTGGTGGTGGTGGTGGTGGAAGACAGATCGGTCATGTCCCAGAACTGGAGCTTTCGAGAGGAGACGGGCTTGGAGGAGGTCAGTCGGAGCGATGTTGCAGGGCTCCGGGAGGGAAAGTAGCCAAGGCTCTCGCTGGGCTCTTTGGGACTGAGATGGCAGAGGGTGTTGAGGGTGAAGTTGATGAACTCCGGCATGTACCGCTTGGAGACCGTCTGGTACTGGAGGAATAAGCTTGCCGCGTAGGTGCCCGTCGTGAGGTCGGCCAGCGTGCTGACGGCACCCTGACCCAGGTACCGCGCAAGGCAGAGATGCGCCGGAGTCGCAATGGCGTGGAAGTGATCCGAGGTCGGGAAGATGGTGGCGACGCCAGTTAGGATAATGAGATCGCTGGGACGGAGGTTGAGCGGACGGTCCGTGGCGATCTGGCGGAGACGGGCGCGGTAGGCCTGGCAGACATTGTCGGGATGGGTCTTTGCCAGGGAGTGGATGTGACGAAGGATGTTTTCCACCACGGCAAATGGAGGGTGTTCGGGTTGATCGGCCATGTATGAGACGTGCTCGACGAGGATTCCCGCGAAACGGCCAAGCTTCATCTTATTGTCCTTGTGAAGACGGGGGTGATGCAGGGCACGAATTCTCTGGACAACGGTGGGAAGATCTTGAATTGACACGGCCTCAATGATCTGGAGGAACTCTTCGTGACTGCCCGGACACGGATAGGTGTAGGCCAGTCCGTTGCTGGGCTCCTCGGTGTCGTTGGATGCCCCGGCGATATCGCCGGACTTGTGTTCGGGGAGAGTAAGTCCATTGATGAGCTCATCTTCCTGTGGGTCTTGTTCGTCTTCCGATTCCTCTTCGGATTCCATTTCTGAATCGCTTTCGATGAATGATAGACTGACGTCGGACCTTGTTTCAACAAGGTCGTCATCAATGACGAAGTCGTCTTCATCTTCGACCGCAAGTTCAGGGCGAGTGTTAGTCTGATCCGCCGGCAGCTGCAATCCAAAGGCCTTAGCATCGTCCGGCAAAGACTCCTCGTCCGATTCAGCGCTGCCATCCCCCTCACCTTCGCTCTCTTCCTCTTCGTCCTCATCTTCGTCCTCGCTGGGCTCATCGCCGCGCATTCGTCGAAGTCGTTCAGCTTCCAGGGCCTTCAGCCGTTGGGCGTCTTCCTCGGCCTTCTCCTCTGCAGTCTTTGTACGGTCCGTGGGCTGAGACCGCTTATCAAAGGTCAACTGCTTCAAGCGCTGGTCGTACTGGCTTTCGGGATCCTCTGGAGAATTTCCAGCCAGAAGTGCCGCACGCTCGGGGTTCATCGATGCAAGGTCATCCTTGGGAGTCTCCGGCTTCGGTGGAGGCTGCACGCCCCGTAGCATTTCAAAAAGATCTGGGAGACCTTTGTCAAGCTCCTCTCGAAGATCGTCGTCGTCCTCCTTGGCTTTTTGCCGCTCGAGTTTGTGGAACTTGGACTTGGCGATGACCTCTTTCATGACCTCGTGCTTGGATTTCTTCCGTTCAGGCAGCTCTTCCCCTTCCTCATCTTCGTCCAGGATTTCCGGTCCATCGTTCTCCTCGTCCGCAAACGCCCGTTTTCTCTTGCGGGAGAGTTCGGAGTCGGAATCCTCGTCTTCGTCCATATCACGCTCCTGGAAATCGTCTCCGATGTTGGCGCCATCAAGCGATAGGGACTGACCTCCGTGTGTAAGCTGGAACTCATCCTCATCCTCCTCCAGGTTGAACATGGACTCTTTCCGCAACTTCTTCTGACTTTCTCTGGCGAACCGTTCGGCGGCCCTCTCCTCCGGCGTCATCGTGGGATCATTCTCACCGAAACGGCGATCCAGGATACCACCGACTTTGTTCTTGCGGTCCATCTCCCGCAGAAGGGTTTGACGTCTCTGTGCAGAAAAAAAAAACACCCGTATTAATAACATGCTTGTCTCGGAGAACATAAGATATAGCGTACCCTTTCTTCACCAAGAGACTTCGTCACACCCGGTCTCGCTTGGCTCGCCGTCAACTTCGGCGCCTTATCCCGCGTCGTCACATCGAACTTGGCCCGGGAAGTGGTCTTGATTTCGAAAGGATTGAACCGATCGCGAATGGCCTGCAGGGCGGAATCGCGCTGGATGCGACTCTGCGCACTAGCTCCGGATTTCGCATTCTGGCGCTTCTGCTTCTTGGACTGCTGGGGACCCAGCAGCCCACCATCCCGAAGGGAGGATTTGAGCTGTTTGAGCTGTGACGGGGGCATTGCTGCGTGTGGACGACGACGACGTAAAAGCGATCCTGGATCTCCACCGAAATTTTTGGCCGAAGCGGGCTTGAGCCTCACCGCCGCGGTGGGTCGGCCGCCTTCTGCCGGCAGTACGGGGCTGCCTCGTGACTCCCCGCCTTTCCAGCGACGCATCACGAAGACCGTCATGACCGTTGCGACTTCTCCCAGTCCGTCTCGCCAGCGGTTTGCGAAACATGGACTCGCACCTGAATGACCGGCTTCTATGGCTGTGCTTGGGTAGGTCACGATCCTCGCGAGGCGTTGGAGCCACCTGAACTAATCCTCTCAGGCGTCTCGCTTTTCTTCGCCGTCCGCGGCATCACCACGGACCTCCGCCGAGTGCGCGAGTTGACGGAGCTCAAGCATGTCGAGAAGGAGGACAGAATGATCAGCGAGGGGACGGAAGATGGTGCGTGAGCATCACCGGAGATGGAGACTATCACAGGAACTCATGCCGTTACAGCCCTGAAGTTGGACACTCTGCTGAAGCTCTCCGAGAGCACCAGCCACGACCTCCGAGCAGCGTATGACCGGGCCTTGAACTGCTATCAGTCATTGTGCAGCTTCCAAACTGATACCTTTCTCTCACAGTGCTCTACGCATTATCGCCGAACGGTCTACCAAGGGTGAAACCCGTGATTTGCTTCTGAGAGATCTTGCAGGTAAAAACCAGCAGAGCCGGGGCAAAGCACTCAGCGCAATGTACTTCCTCGTCTCGAACCGAGCCCGTATGCACTTCCTCATCCTATCTGGCCTGCAGAAGAGGACTCACTAGATGCTGACTACCAACCTCAGTCTCGCGAACATCCGTCTGTGTCCGATTGAAAGATCTCTCCACCTACAACGCCCTCATCGACTGTCTATGCAATTTCCTTGACGAGCACACAGAAGAGACGACAACCACCGTGTCACCCATCTTGCCAAAAAGCCGGCCCCTGGGCGAGAAGAAGGCACTCGGGGTACTCAACATTATCCTCCAGGAAAATGTGCCGGCCGCACTGGAAGCGGGCATCGTCAGCCGTTGGCTGGTCAATTACCCGTTTCCATGTGCGCTTGCCGAGCCTTCGCGAAAACAAGATGTGGTCCTCCTGATGAAAACATGGTGGTCTGACGATGCTGTGATGAGCGCGATATTCGGCACGCTCTCCTCACATCCTGATGGGGCGAAGCAACTACGCAAATTTGGCCTGATGGGGAGCATGCTCGAAGAAAATGATCACGATGACTATGATAGTGACGTGTGGATGGTGGACGGCGAAGATACAGCGGGTTCCCGAAGGGTTCCCGGGAGACGTCTTCGAGAGAGGACCATCGAGGAACAGGCCGTCCGTAGGCGCAGGCGGGAAGCGATGGTGTTAAGCGATGGAGGTCGCCCTCTGGGAAATGACGACATTATACAACTGCCTGTTTCCGAATGAGGGGCGGCTGGCCGAGCGAGGAGTGAGTCTGGCTACTTCGACTACAGTCGAGGTGGCGATTATTTCGTTGCACATTCTTATGATACCCTTGGTTTAAGTAGGAGACCGCTATGCATGATGGCTAAGACTTAATATACAAGACCAATCACAACCCCATCCATGCGCTTTTAGCGACGTGGTCAGCCTTTTTCCGGCTGCTTTTCAACATACCAAGAGCCTTAAGTTCCGACAAGGCTCGGTAGAACAAGGACATGACAGTCCGCTCGTCGCAGGATTGGCCTTGCTCGCTTTCAAAAACGGCGTAGAACGCCTGCCATAGGTCAAAAACGTTCACGAGTGACCCGGACTCCAGATACAGTTGATACAGAATCGCCGTGGCGGGCTGATTCGCGGAGACCTTCGATTCAGACTTGTCCGCCGAAGATATGAGATAGTCGAACGGATTGGACAACGCCCGCTCGACTGCGAAGCGTGGTCGTGGGGTGAAGATTTCTTTCAGGGGATTCCTCATGTCAAGGAGGAAGACCTCATGCAGGACCAGGTCCTGGGGGCTCACCAGAGTCTGCCCAAGGTATGCCTCGAGCAGCGCGTGGAAACGATCGATAATCTTCGTATACTGAATGTGCTCTTGGGGCAACTTGGCTTTGCCCTTGCTGAGCTTCACCCGCTGTTGAACAACGGTTGTTGCTACAACGGAGTTTCGCTTATCATGTTCGGTTCGGAGCGGTTCAGAGCCGTTGTATGCCTGGACCAATGCTTCGAACTCGGCTCGGATCTCGCTCAGCTCTGGACGATCGGCCAATGTGGTAGGAAGCATGGAAAAGACTTCCCGGAGCAGTGTCGAATCTAGCGTTTTTACGGCTAGAAGCACGTCGTCCACCAAGGAAGAGTCCGGCAGTTCTCCCGACAGCGCGCGGATTGACAAATCCGATATGCTCGTCTTCTTGACGAGATTTAGTTTCTTCAGAAGCAGATGCATTAGTTTCACACATTGGAAAATATCGCGCATTTTCTGCTGCCCCGCGGTCAGTTGCTGTAAACTGTGCTGGAAGAGAGTTCCGTCGTCTTCTAGTAAATCGCGTACTATCGCGACAGAGCCTTCATCAATCGATTCCTCGCAATACCTGTGCCTCGTTCAGTACAGCGAAGATCAGGTTGGGGAGCTTCCTTACCTCCGGAAAGACGGAAGGTTTCTGATCGCTTCACAGACTTTATCCCGCCGGATATCCGGGACAGACTCATCCGCCAGGAGCACTGCCAACGGATTGGCAAAGAAATGGGACATGTAAGCGTACTGTGACTGTCAGAACCGACGGCCGACTCGTTGGACAGATTAGGAATCAAAAGGTACCTTTACGGTTCGACTGAAGGCTTCGGGAGTCTGGAAATAGTCGTTCGATTTCTCGAACAGGGCAGCGGTGATATTGCGCCCCAGCCAGAACTTTCCATCTGGCTCGGCTTGTAGCTTGCCGTAGATGCGATCAACGCAATTGCTCGCTTCGTGAAGTTCGAAGTACCTTCCGCGAAGCAAGGCGACACTTGCTCGCGGGAGTCTCCCTTCGAAGAGTTCCACGGATGTTGAGATACCGAATAGGAGCGTGAACGGTATCCGATCAAGCCACGAGCTGAAAGGTTAGCTGAAATGCCCTAGTTTATCGGTAAGTAAGTCTCACCTCAATAGAGACAGGAGATCCGTAAGGATGCCCGGATCAAAAGCTTCGCTGTCCCGGAATGCAAGAACCAGCTTCTTGGCGCCTTTCCGCTTGACATAGTCGCCTAACAGGTCGAGATCGTAACCGAGAACTCTGGGCCCCTACATTGATTGCCTCTTAGCGCGGTCCTTTCACTGATAACTGGACAGAGCATAACCACCTCTCGATCAGTAAGGAAATTATGGTAGCCCTCATTCCCTTCGGTATTCGTGATGGCGAATCGGATAATGTTTTTAAGGGTCGTCTTGAGGTTAGGCGCATCACCCGACTCCAGCACAATGACTCCTCCGTCCCCGGCCGTGCTCAATTGATCGTTGAGTCTGGCGAGAAGTCTCGCAAGGGACGAGACGTTGGAGCCTACTGTAACCAACGCCGCCGGGATGCAGCCATCATAGCTGCGCCGAGTCAGAATGATGCCCGTACGACGTCGAACCTGGGGATGGGGTCCTTACGTTTGAGGGGAGGTTGATTGGACAAAGGACGAAACACTGGCGAGGACCTCGGCATCGACGTCATGTAGGATTTCCTAGGGCATGTGTCAGAGGCTTCTCCGCAGTGTCTTCGCTGGAGATGTCACACGGACCTGGATCTTCGCTTCCTGGCCGGACCATAGTTGTTGGTAGGTTGTATATCGCAACTCGACGGACTTTGCGTCTTCGTCCCCATTCAAGAGCGGAACAAAGGGGTGGCAATTTCTTTCCTTCTGTCCATTTTCTGACACGACCTTGCGCCGCTTCGAGGGCCGCTCTCCGGAAGGGTTGCTCTGATCTGCCGGCGTGTAGATATAGACACCCTAGGTGTGTCGTTAGCGACGGGGCGGGTGACGACGGGGGGTGGACGGGGGCGTACCTGGGTATTGGAGCCATCCTTGGGGGCGCTGGCCGGCTCTGCGTCCAGCAGGTCCGGATCCATGGGGATCGATGGGCAGGGCAGCAGCAGGGAGGAACCGCGACGGGGAGATGGAGTTGGAGATGGAGATGGATGGCAGCAGGACGACGGGGATGAAGCCCGCGTGGACGCTAAGCCCGATCGGGGGCCAGATTGGTTTTCCGCCGCGGAGGTTCTTCTTCGCTTTCTCCACTTCCACTTCCACTTCCACTTCCACTTCCACTTTCCAGCCAGACCACTCAAGTCATCGCCTACTTCACGACTCTGTCGACCCCCCTACACCCCGCCCTCCGATGATCTAAGCGCCCACACTTCATGCTCCGCCAGGCTGTCCGAGGAGCTCGGTGGTATCAGCAGGTGGCCCGCAGAAGCCCGCGCGTGGTTTCCGCTGCAGCGCCACGCTTCCTCCACTATGGCCCCAATGACAAGGTGAATTTCTTCGAACAAAATACCCGCGGCAGCGAACAAAGGCGGAGTGTCGACCCGGATGCCGAAAATGAGGCCGAGCAGGAGGAGGTGCGGAGGGAGATATCCCGCCTGGACAAGGAGCTGGACGATTTGAGCGACCCTTACGGCCCGGACGGGGAGTTCATGCGAGACTTGCCAGCAGAGGAGAAAGCCCGGGCGATGGAGGTGCTTCGGAAGTATACGGAGGAGGAAGGCAAGGATGACTCCAATCTCAAGTTGAGTGAAATCTTCGACAAGGAGCTGGACGACATGTTAAAGGAGGAATTCGACGGCCTGGCGAAGGAGGAGGAGGATATGTGGCAGTCCAAAGGGGAAAAAGAAGATGCGCCCAAAGAAGTGGTCCGAAGCCCTTATGACGTCGTGGCGAACGATCCGGGGATGCAGTCTTATGCCGACAAGTTCAACCACTGCCTCCGGCGAATGGTGAACGGTGACACCAAGAGGCGCTGGGACCAAGAACTATGGAAGTGGTATCGTCGATGTCAACGGGTTGTCCCCGGGTTTCTCGAATCAATGCCGGAGGAAACGTTGGGCCTATTGTGGGAATCCCAAACTGCGAGAGGCCCCCCGAAACCCCAGGAGACCCCACACATACAAATCCTCGCCCAAGACGTAATATCGGCCGGTCTTTCCCTTCCGACTCCTCGTCTTCTTTCTTACATCGAGATACTACATGAAACGGGGAATACGAAGGCGGCGTTGGATCAGTGGGAAGCTCACCAGTCGGGTCTCTGCCAAAGCAAAGAAGATCTGGAGGCGTATTGGAAATTAGGAGTACGGCTCTTTGCCGCGGAGGATGACCCTCAACGAGCCCAGGACATTGCTCTGGCATTCCTGGCAAATGATAAATCGCGTCAACCTCATATCCTGATCCCGGTCATGACGGCCTGGGGTAGGCAGCCTGGGAAGGAAGTGGAGGTCAAGGCGTGGGCGCTGTATCTGCAGCTCAAAGCGTTCCTGGGGCAGAGTATGACCATGGAGGAATACGACCAAGTCAGCATCGGCTTTCTCAAAGCAGGCCGGCTCGGCCTCGCCATCGCCGTGTTCAAGGATATGATGGTGACCGGTCGAGACCCAGCACACGACTCAACCTCACTCTACCAGGCGGCACTCGGCCTGGTCGGCAACCTCCAGGCATCCAGCGTGTCGGAACAGGATTTGAACAAGGTCTCCCTCTCGACGCTCACCGTCCTGCCTCGGAAGTTCCAGAATAAGTTCTTCTACGCCAGCTGGATGAAGAAGCTGATCGGAATGGGAGAGGTCGATTCGGCTGCGATGGTCATTGAGCTGATGTACGAGCGCGGGGTGAAGCCGGACCCCAAACACATCAACGGCGTCATCGCTGCCTGGCTGCGTGAGGGCAGCACGGCTGGGCGTCAGAAGGCGGAAAACCTGGGATGGGCCATGGTCCAGCAGCGGATCGACTGGGTTCGGGCACGCACCAACCCGCCAGAGAAGTCCCCTCCACAAGACATCAACCCGGACGAGGAACCCTCGCGTATCCCCCAGTTTATGCAAAGGTCGACGCCACCCGCAAGTATCGAGACTTTCTCGATCCTCCTGCTTCACTACAGCCGGAGGGGCGACGACAACAAGACCCAATACCTCGTCAAATGTCTAAGCGATGCGCGCATCCATCCCAACTCCTATTTCATGAACCACCTGCTATACGCAGAGCTCCGGAAGCAAGATATCGCTTCGCTATGGAGCAAGTTTCTGAGCATGTCCGCCTCCACCCAGCCGGACCTAGAAACCTACGCCTGCCTCTGGGACTGCGGCAAGCTCCAGTACGACCGTGGACGGACCGCATTCGTCGCAGGCTTCCCGACGGCCCGCGAGCTCTTCGCCAATATGATGCGCTGGTACACTCACCTCCCGGTCCGGGGGCAGACCGCCGCGCGGGAGGAATTTTCCAAGGAGCTATACGACCAAATTATCCGGTGCTTCTGTCTATCCAAGGATCTCCCCGGCACTTTGGTAGCTCTTCACATGATCCAGGCTACATTCGGATTCTACCCGGACGACACGACCGCCCGCCTGATCGTGGTGCAGGTGGCGCGGATGGCGGGCGTCCCAGCAGGCACGCCGAAGCACCGCCTTCGCCGTCTCGCCTCCACGCCCCGGAGCAAAGAGAACATCGGCCACGTCAACCGCCTCGTGGAGATCCTCAGCGAACGCAAGGCCGCCGCCCTCCAGGCCCGCGGCCAGGAGATTGACGACCTCGAACTCGAGGAGCGGCAGCGGTACCAGCTGGAGATCCTCGCGGAGCTGCTGCGGGTCGTGATGGGCCGGAAACTGGGCGATGCGAGTCGCGTGGAGATGCAGATCGCGGCGGTTGCTGACGAGCTGGGCGCAACCGGACTCAATCTGGGGTCGTCCGTCGAGGACGACGATGGTCTACTTCAGTGACCCTCCTGTACGCGCGGATATCTGGATCTGTGTTCATTCCTTCAAGCCCTGATCTCCCTCCCCCTGGGGAGGGGAATGGAAGAGGGAGCATTTGCAATAGAAGCAGGGTAGGGTTGGTTGGTTGGTTCAACTTCCCCAGCATGGCCGGCGTTGCGGTTGGTGGCAGTGTTCTTCACTTTTACTTGTATATAAAAAGGGTTACCTTTCGGTATACTATGCCTGTATGATAATAGATTCGGTCCTCTCTGGTTTGCATGTTAATTAGCTATTGAAGAGCAGTACATACCATACCCCTTCTGTCACTGTACTTGCCAGATCTAATATTTCTTCACCGTCTCAAAACACACATGACAGATGGTTATGCATCCATCATCTGTAGGAAACCCCATAGATACAAGAGAAATCCCACAAACACAAACACAGGACCGTACGCCGCGTACACCCAGCAGTAAGTAACCCAAACCAGCAGCCCATTCTAAGCAATCAATAACATGCAATTCATCCATCCCCAAACAAGGAGAGTAGAAAAGGGAAATGCTTGAGAGAGAAAAATGGTATGATTTCAAAAAAAAAAAAAAAAAAAAGAACAAGAAAGAGGTATAATTTATGATAAATGAAATACACCCACACCCATGCAAAACCAACCTAGACACATCTATTTCTTCGCACCCTTCTCGGCCTCCACCAACACGGCATCATCCTCCTCACTGCCGGCAACCGACGGCGGCGCCCCCGACGACTCGGGAGTCTTGGTAGCCGGCGTGGAAGCCGACTCACTGGTAGGCGTGACGGGGGCGGCGGCGGCGGCGGCGGCAGGGGCAGCAGAGTCCTCGGGTTTCTTAGCGGCAGGGGCGGCCTCGGCATCCAGCTCCTTGAGGTAGCCATCCTTCTTCTTCTCCCACGACTGCTTCTCCTCTTGAAGCTTGGCTTGCTGCTTCTCCACTCTCTCCCGAAGGATGGCGTTGTTGAGCATCTCGTTGGCGGATTGGAAGATCGTTTGGCCCCATCCGGGGGCATAGGCGTTGGCCTAGATGAGAGCATGGTGGGTTAGCATTTCCATTCGCATCCACATTCAACCTCAGAAAAAGCCCTCCGCGCCAATCGCTTCCTCCCTCGATTCCTTTCTTTCTTCGTAGAAAAGAGTGACGAAAAGAGAAAAACCCACCTCAGCAACAACATCCTTAACCTCATCCTCCATTTCCTTCTCGGCCCTGAGGAAGCGCTGCCAGAGGTCATCACCGACAGAGCCACGCTGAAGCAGCATGGCAAGAGCGGGTTTCTGGACGCGCAGGGCCATGACGCGCTTGATGTCTTCGATGGCGCGACGCAGGAGGGCGGCTTTGAGAACGGAGTCCGGGACAGCGGGGGCCTTCTTGTCCTTGCCGCCGGAGGGCGAGGCGGTGGTCGGGTCGAGGTGCATGAGGGAGAAGTAGATGTCGCGGGGGGCGTGCGGGGGGAACCAGGGTTCAAGGGTGAAGGATTTCACTGTTTCACGGGGAGGGGGGTTAGTTGGTGGTTGTTTTATTGTGTTCATTGGGGGGGGTGAGTGGTGGATTCGAGTTGGGGTTGAGAGGAGAGAGGGACGAACTGGCTTTGCGCTTGCGGTATAGAGAGGAGAAGGTGGCGAGGGAGCCGAGGAGGACGCCCAGGTAGGCGAATGGGACCGCGAGAGTGATCCAGTTTACCATTTTAGCGGTGTTGGTGGTGGTGATGTTGTTAGGTGTCGCGGAAGGGATTGGGCGGGTGGGTGGAGGTGGAGGTGGAGTTGGCGAGGAGAGTCCGGCTCAGATACGGGGCATAGTAGGACCAGGAGAATGCGCATGCGCTGGTGGAAGGAAGTCGCTGGGTCAATGGCAGACTGCAATCAATGCAGAGTGGAAATGGAAATGGGAGTGGTGGTGGTGGTGGTGGTGGTGGTGGTTATTGTTGTTGATGAAGGGAAGGGAAAGGAAAGGAAAGCGGAAAGGCCAGGCTGGTGTCTTGGCCGCGTCACATGAGAGAGCGCTCTAAGTAGTAGTAGTAGTAGTAGTAGTAGTAGTAGTAGTCGTTGTTGCTTATCTACAAACAAACATCCAAAACAATGCAGAATCGGAAGGAAATAATGAAAAAAAATAGAAAATAAAAAAATAAAAAAAAAAGACCCATCAGACGAAGGCTTCCTCCCATGTATATCCACAATCCACACATCCCTGTCAAAAGACGAAGAAAGAACCACAAGGTAGGTAGGTAGGTAGGTAGGTAGGTAGGTATAGAATGCAAAATGCAAAATGAAATACAATAGAAAAAGAAAGGAAAAAGAGAGAGAAGAGCATCCACCATCGGTCTCATTACACAAATCCATTGTCGCTGCAAATCAAGGTATCCCTGGAACCAAACCTGGCACAAAATCACAAATCACGCCAACGAGACCATATCCCCCCCCCCCCCCAACAAGTCTACAGGGGATACAGCGATGCCCCCAGCTGCTCCTTCGTCTTCTGGCTGATCGGCCCAATCTCCTGCATCGCCTGCATGTCCTCCAGAACCTCATTGAACGTCTCCTGGATCCCCGCCGCCACCTTGCTCCGATTCCATTCGCCCCGCGTCCGCCAGAGGTAGTCCATCAGGTTGGTGTTGATCTGCTCCAGTTGCTCCACGCTGCAGCCACTCGTCCGCTGCGTCAGCTGGTCGTGCAGCTTCTCCACGTATTCGTGGTCCAGAACCAGTTTGGGCGACAGGTCCTCGTTGTTCAGCAGGGACTGCAGAGTGGCCGGGCCATGCGACGTCGGCTTGTTGGCGTGGTCAAACAGGGGCACAGGGGGCTGTTGCCGCGGTTGGGAGCCGCCGGTGTTGATGGCGCCGTTGTCCAGGTCGGCGAGCCCGCCCGTCGGACGAGGCGACGGCTGGCTGCTGTCCCCTTGCTGCGTGTCGGGCAGATGCTCCTCCTGCGACACCCGGTCCGGATACTGCGTGAGGTCCGGGAAGTCCTGTCGCATCCCGTGCGCCGCGACGGGGCTCTGCGTGTACTGGTGCGGGGCAGACAACTGCTCAGAGGACTTCTTGTCGGACGTCGTCTGCGTGGTGGATGCCTCGTTGGTGTAATCATGGGGCTGAGACCCCGGTGCCATGGGGGTAACGGGCCCTTTCTGCGAGAAATTCGAGATGCCCGACTCCCGGCGCACCTGCTGGGATGGCGCCGTGTGCGAATACGGAGGCTTTGGCTGCGCCGACGGCCCGAAGGAGCTCGTCTGCGTTTCCCTGTCGCCGGACTGGTCCGAGTTGGTCATCAAGGTATCGCCGTCGCCGTCGCCGTCGACCCGATAGTCGTGAGAGCCATTGCTGGTGAGCGCATGCGTACTGAGATCGTTCAGATCCGAGCCTCCGCCGGTATGGTAGCCGTTGGTGATGAAGCTGACGGCCGAAGGGCGCATCGGGGTCCTGGGTCGGCCTGTCTCCTTCTGTGCGCTGCCGGGGAATTCTTCGCCCAGGACCACTGGACCGCTCGAGGGCCCCGATTCGGTGTTCCCATGCGGGACCCGGTCCAGCATGCGACCAGCGAAGAGCCTCTCCTCTTCTTCCGCTGCCTGCCTGGCCTTCTCGATGGCAATCTTTTCCCGTTCCAACTCGCGAAGATAGACGCCTTCGCACTCCGTCACAAGAGCCGGCTCTGCTTGCTCGATGGTAGCAACATCCACCTCCACATTGGACAGGAGTTCATTGGCTCTCAGCAGCCGCTCTTGCTCGCCCAGTTGCCGGGCATCCTTGGCCAGCCGCTTGATATCTGCCAGGAAGTCCTTGGGGCGCTTGTAGTAACCGTTGGAGAGACGCTTCTCGATCGTCACGATCTCCATGTTGTAGAAGAACTTGCCCGACACCGTCTCGCGGAGCCCCGGCGCACCGTGCTTGTCGTAGGCCTTTTCAAACGGCCGGAAGGTAGTCCGCTGCTCGATCGGCAGATCGCTCGTGACGACGTTCGGATCCTCCTCCTCCCAGAGGTACCGGATCTGCGACTCGTCGATCACCCCGGTGCGGAACCTCTTGTACTTCTTGATCTGATCCATGATGGGCTGGATGCGGATCTTCAGGAGATTGAGGGTCTGATGGTCCTTCCTTTTCTGGGCCTTGAGCTGCTCTTTGGACAGCGGCGTGGCGGCCTTCGGGGACGGTGGGGGCGCAATCGCCAGTGTTTCCAGCTCCCTCCTCTTGCGGTTTTCGGGGTCAGGGAAGTGGGCGGGGGATGTCTTGACGTAGTCGACCACCTTGGTGAAATACTCGTAGCGTGCGTCGTTGGCCGGTGCTTTCAGGTCGTAGAAATTCTTCTTCGAGAAGCCAAAGAGATTCCGCATCACGCCCGTATCCACGTCCTCGCCACCTGTCTCTTGAACGCCCAGCAGTAGCACAGGATCGGTAGGAGGAACCGACCGAAGTAGGCCGAGGAACGTAGATATCACAGCGTGTCCGACCGTTTCCGACCACGCCTCGATGTTGGGAATGTATATCACGCTCGGCTTATGTCTCTTGACCTCGGCGAAGAGCTGTATTACGGCCGCTTCGGGGGACCGGGTGGAATCGCTGAGAAGGGTGGGCAGGTCAAAGGCTTGGACATGGAGTCCCTCGAAATGGTTCAACAGGGCGCCCGCCAGATACTGCTGGCCCATGCCGAGAGACCCACGGATCAGCATTCTCGGCCTGAAGATTCGCGACCTGTCGAATTCTTGCTGCATCTGTTCGCGCTGGAAACTGCCTGATTCCTCCGGTTCCTCAAACTGCGCCTCCTCCAGAGCCGTGAGTCTCTTTCTCTGGGGGAGGACCAGAGACAAGAGGCTTTGAATCTCTCCGAAAGGCGCGCGCAGCAAGGGCTCAACCGAGCCTGGTAGTGGTGAGGCACCCGACGAGGTCGAGCGCTCTGATGACGGGACCATTTTCTTGATCGCCAGCATGAAGTCCTTAGGGGTGACGTCGATTGTCTTTGGATCGATGAGGAGCTTCTGATCGGATTTGTAGATCTGGGGGTATCTCCTCTGCACTGCATTGAGGGCGGCTTCCGTGCAGAGAGCGCGGAGATCCGCTCCTCCGTAGCCCTTGGTAATTCCCGCAAGTTCGTCCTTGATGTGACCACCAAGCGGCGGCTCCCAGCCCTTGGTGTGGATGTCCAGAATAGCACGACGGCCTTCGGTGTTGGGCAGAGGGAAATAGAACTCGCGATCAAATCGACCAGGACGACGTAGAGCAGGGTCGATGGAGTCGGGGCGATTCGTGGCACCGATGACAATCACTTGTCCACGGCCATCCATGCCATCCATCAAGGCCAACAGTGTCGACACGATGGATGCATGAATTTGTTCTTGCTTGCTTGACCTCACGGGTGCCAATCCTGCAAAGACAAAAAAAGTCAGCCACGAGACGCTTATACCAATGGAACCTGTATCAAGGCATGATTGCTTACCGTCGATTTCGTCGAAGAAGATAATGCTAGGCTGCGTCTTGCGGGCCTCGTCGAAAAGGAGCCGAAGTTGTCGCTCAGCCTCGCCCACCCATTTACTCAGCGCATCCGCTCCCTTTCTCATATAGAAAGTGACCTTGCGGCCATTGGAGCTGACGCTGTTCGCCAGGGCCCTGGCCAACAGCGTTTTGCCAGTTCCAGGGGGGCCATGAAAGAGAACACCCCGGGGAGGTGTGATGTGGAATCGTTGAAAGATCTCCGGGTACAGCAGCGGCAGGGAAACCATCTCCTTCAGCTGGTCAATGTGTCCTTGCAAACCACCAACACTGTCGAAATTGACACTCACGTCCACCCCCAGTGGGTCTGCGTCAGCGAGCGTCTGCTTGTCCTTCATCTTTCCGAGATTTGCAGGTGTTCCGGAAAGACCCTGGGCAGCATCAGCCCCGTGGGTCTGGGTGCCTAGGATGCCGGCGCCATGCTGCCCGGGCCCAGATGACAGTCCCTTGGGACGGTGCATGCCTTCATCGTCACTGCTATCACTGTCCACGCCGCCAGTCGCAGCAGGAGCTCCCGGGGGACCCAAGATCGCAGACGGCCCGCCGCCTCCAAAAGGCCCATAGGTTGGGAACAGGGTGCGTTGCCAGCTGCTACCGCCACCTCCGCGGCCACGGCGGGAGGGGGATTCGTTGACTTCATTCTCGGCCTCCTCGATGGGCAGGATCAGATCAGGGCGGATGATACGGTAGTCGACATCCTTCCTGCTGCGCCGAGGTTTCTCGTAGACAATCTCCGGCTGGACTCGCCGACGGGGACGGCCGCCGCGGAGATCTTCCAACTCTTCCGCAAGCTCATCGGCGATGTCGCCCCCGGCCTCGGACTGTCCCCGGGATCGGGATACCCTCTTGCGTAGACCCGGACGACGGCCGACGGCGCTCTCTTCATCATCGTCTCGAGGCTGACTCCCTTTCTGTGGGGACGCTTGTGACTTTCCAGACCGTGACATCTCGTCATCATCGTTTGATTCTTCCTCCTCGGGCTCGAAATCGCTCTCCTCGTCGCCTTGGCGCTTGCGTTGGGAGCTGTTCGGTTTCTTGCGGCTAGAGCGACGCAGCTCTGCAGACGCCTCTTCTTCCGGCTGCTCGACCTCCTGGCTGCGGTTCGGTCTACTTCTCCTCCGGGTTATCGGGCCTTCATCCTCGTCATCATCATCCTCATCCTCGCCAGCCCCCTTTGCATCACCGTTTTCAGACTCCGGGACAAAGCCTTCATCATCCGCGCCGGATGCATCCTGGGCCTGGCCGACGGCAGGCGGGACCCCTTCTTCGAAGCTGCCCTGCACGTCGCTTTCCATAATCTCCAGCTGCGAGCCTTTGACCTCCATGGTTGTTTCATCGATCTCGTCCTCCTCCTGCTTCGGTTGAGTCGAGTCTGGCTCCTCCTCCTCATCCAGCACGGGGGCACGCTTCATGCCACGAGAGCCCCGACGACGTTTGGATTCCATCTCCGGGCTCTGGGTGCCTCGTTCGACGGTCTCCATATGGCGGCCGGACGTGGTCAGGGCATGGAAATCTTCCGACGGGTCCCGCGTGCGCCGAGTGACCCGTCGAGTACCCTGGAAATTATCCGACGGAGCCTGCCGCTTCAGGGCGCTGCCCAGCTTCAGCGTCACCACGGTACTTTTGCGCTTTTTCGGTGGGGACCGGTCGATATCATCGTCTTCGGAACGGTCCTCGATGCTGCTGGATTCGCCTTCGTTGTAGATCGGTCGGTTGGTGGCGGCCCTTCGGGCAACAAGTCCACGGGCATTGCGTGCCGCGTTAATGTCATCTTCCTCCTCAGACTCCTCAAAGGATAGCTCGTCAGCCTCGTCGAAGATGTCCTCGTCGGACACGATGTCATCGTCGGAATCGCGACGGGCCCTCTTCTTGACGGGCTTGGCCTTCTTTTTCGACTTGGATCGGGAAGCCGAGCGGCGGGAGGAGCGCACGGGATGGTCACTGTAGTCATCGTCATCCGAGTCGGACTTGTTGGCCATCTCCTCGATGGAGCGCTTTGCACGAGGCATGATTCCGCGCCAGACAGGGGGTCTCTTGGAGATCGCCATGTCAGCAAGGGTTGGGACAGGTACTGAGAGGGAGGGAAGGTTGGAAGTGAGGGTATGGAACGGGGGGGAGGGGAGGATAGGAGGGGAAGAGGGGAAGGGAGAGAGGTTGTAGGTGAAAGTGACCGAGAAAGTGACAGCGCTTGATGTCACGACCAGGCAACAGAGACGATGGACAAAGAAGGAAAAGCGGGCACTCACTGAAAACAAAGTGAATGATTGACAGGGCGGCTCAGATGGCTTGGTCCCGGTGGACAGAAACCCAGACAAATGCCTCGCACTCGACGAGCGACCCAGAGGCTACTCTCATGAAAACAAACAATTGACTCGGGTTTCTTAGTCGAGATCCAACATCGATGATGGAAGGGGCGGGTTGCGGACGAACAGCCCCGGTGTGATCCCTGTCACCCACGAAGTCGTATATATATAGGACGTGTGGACGGAGTGGTGGAGAGAGGAGGAGGGCGAAGCGCAATGCGCAGAGTTGTCCGGGCGAGGGAAGGGAAGAGGCGGACTGGGAGCGAGGCTCACGGCGGATTGGCGCAGCGGCAGAGACGCGTCGTCACATGCAGCAGCAGGAGCGAAGGGCAAGGGGGAGGGGAGATGGAGAGATAAGGAACGACAGGTCGAGGGGAGGAGGGGAATTGAGTTGGGTTGATGGGCAGGGAGGGAGTAGAGAGTAACACCGAAGATGCTTCGCAATGGAACGGGAACCGCACAGGCACACAGGCAGCATCCGTAGTAAGCAGCAGCTGTGGCAGCGTCTCACGCGCGCGCGCTTCCCGCTCCAGCCACAGCGCACTCCAGCCACAGGCGACGCTGGCCAGTCCCGATCGGGCCTAGCGCCACCACGGGGCCGCTCACCGGCGGCGGGGCACGTGCCTCGATCCGGCTTCGAGGCCAGCAAAACCCAAAGCAAAGCTCCGCTCCATCGGTTGTCGCAGCGGCAGCGCCGAACCACTCACTCCTCCCTCCTTTTCGCTCAGCGGCCGCCAACCCACGGCCAAACATCCCACCATCCCCGTACACGTAGACGCCGGCAATGTCGCCATCCCTCGTAGTGCTGCGGAATCCGGTTCGTAGCAAGGGTAGTATTTCCGACGCCGTTCGCGATCCGCAGGGAGGGGAGCCAGGTCGGGTCGATTCTCAGTCGGGGGGAAGATTGCAGAGGAGAGAATGAGTGGCAGCGATCAGGCACGACGGACGAGCTTTCCCCAGGTCCTCGAAGCTTATCGCCTTTTAACTCGAATCCCCTCCCCCCCGCCTGTTCGCCCTTCGCCTAACCCGCTAACCCCCCCCCTTCTGATTCGACCCCGTGCCGCCCGCTTGATATGCCTCACGTGATGGCTGAGTCAGCGTGTTGCCGCCGCGCTTTTCTCCGCCCGTTCGGAGCGCATCCTCCTATAGCCAGCGATCATTATATATTGTTGTTCACCTTCCAATTGACCTCAATTCCTCCCGTTCCATAGTACTACTATCCAGTCTTGTGAACAAATCCACCAACATGCTCTTCTCACGATCTATCACCCCCCGTTCCCCTTCCACCGCCATCCCCGCGTCTCTCTTCCCCCGCAGAGCCCTTACCACGACTCGCAGCAGATGGAATGCCCCCAACCCCAACCCCACTGGATCCAGTTCCTACAAGGACGGGGTACGTCAATAACAATGGATCTCTAGCTCCTCCACGGGGCGAACTGACCAGCCACATACTAATCGAATGCCCGCAGATGGCCCGGTACAAGATCTTCGGCAGCCCGTTTGCCAAGGTCTTCCTGGGGGCGATCTTCACCTACCAGGTGCTGTACTGGACGTGGCTGAAGTTGGAGATGGTCGAGTCTAAGGCCGATAAGAATAGTACGCGCTCTCTCTCTCTCTCTCTCTCTCTCTCTCCCATTTTTGTTTGTTTATTTGTCCTCTGCAGACATATCTAATGGTCCCGTAGAGGAGGTGGCCGCGCTAGAGCAGAAGGTGAAGGAGTTGACGGCGGGCGCACAGAAGTAACCTTGACCGGCTAGGCTAACATGGCTCTTCTCTGTCTGATATGGGTTACATTTCTGTTCTTTTCTGTCCTGTTCTTTTCATTTTCTTTTTTCGAAATAGTATATATACCCCGGACGCCCTGGTGGAAATCTAGTCTCTAGTCTTGTTCTAGTCTGATGCGTGCATGCATGGCTTCGTTCACTATATATCCAAGTCGCTAAGAAAGTAGGTGGGTGGACAGATTTACAATGGGGTCTACTCGTCAGGGAGGGCCCCCGACCATATATTCATCCGGGGCCTCGATGCCTCGCTCCACGCAGTGGTCGCAGAAGACGTGGCGGCAGCCCGGGCATTGGCCGCTATGGGCCCGGGAGACTCGGCCCTGTCTACACTGGCACTGCACCGTCCACGTCAGCTGGCTGCGCGACAGTCACCGCTCGTGGGAGGGGAACTTACGCAGGAAACGCCTTCTTGCTCGCCAGGCAGCATATTCTGGGCTGGTAGCACGCCGTGGTCTGGCTGCATGTCATGGGCGGCTCTGCTACAGAAAGGCCCCGAGGATTCCCGAGGAACGTGGCCTGTCCTCGACATCAGCGGATCGACTCTGGACCTTTTCTCCAGACCCGACCCTTCCTGCTCACTGCCTGGATAAGGGTGGGCGGGGAATTTCCTCTTTCGCAGGTTGAACGGTTCAGCCAAAGCCCGAGGACCCGGAGGCATGTGTTGGCCCGGCATGGGTTCCTCGTCAATGGCCATCATGTCCTCGTGCAGGGGCTCATTCTCGGACTGATAGTCGCTGCTCACGGACTCGTCGTCGCTGTTCTCATCCATGGCGGGCTCGCTCTCGTATCCATTGCCTTCCGCCCGGATACCCTGTTCTTCTCGGTCCCGGTCTTTCGTGAGGTGCCCCGATGGCAGTAGCCAATCTCCGATCCGCTCGCCCTTTTTGAAGTGCTCGACGTCGATGTGATTGAAGCGTTCATTTCTCGCGGCAAGTCCCTGACTCTGGAGGGGAACGATGTCCCGACAGAACCCGCACCAGAACTGCGACTGTCCGTTTCGCCCGATGCGATTCTTGCACAGCGCCGTCCGAACTTCCTCGTCCTCGTCGATTTCGTGGCGCTTCTTTAGGTGCTGCACATATTCATCCTGGCGGTAGAACAGACGCGCGCACGATAGACCCCCCTGCGCGGCATCCGGCAGAGTGCAACGCCAGCTCTGGAGAGGGAAGTGCTGGGAGTTCTCGTGTCGCTTCCAGTCCGCTTTACTGCCAAAGGTCTTGTTGCATTTGTGGAACGTGCAACCGTATGGCCGCTCGTGGCGCTTTTTGTGCTTCCTTCATGTCGCCCCGTCAGGAACATGCACCATTGCAACGGCAAGCGAGCGTGGGGCCTAACTTACTTCATCTCGCACCGCAGACGCGTGCGCTTGGTGCAAAACTCGCATTGAAACCAGCTTTTTTTGTCACTTTCATCATCAGGAGCTTCCTGAGAGGCGGTGTGGCTGGGACCCGGGTTCCCTGACAGTTGGTCCAAGGCGGCGGAGAAAATCCTCTGAAGCATTTCGCGCTTTCGATCAGACAGCTCGGCATTCTGATCCAAAAGCATCCCCACGTCATCCGATTGGTGACTCTGTCTTCGTTGATTGGTATTCATGGACTTTGTCATGGCGTTGATCATGTTGACCGCCGCTTCGTTCACCATGTCGTCCATCTTTCCGTTCCTGGAGTGACCGACATGAGCAGGGATGGAATCCAGCCGGCCCTGCGAAGTTTCTAGATTAAAAGCTGTCAAGGGGGGCAGCTCGATGGGCCGCGCTTCGGCAACAGCTGATGGGGCAGGTGTATCGTCGAAGCCGCCTTGATCCCCATGCTCTTCATGGACCCCTTGGCTAGTGTGGAGTGCCGAGAACCTAGGAGATGGCATCGCTGTCTGGGTGCGAAGCGAAGGAGAAGCGTCCTGACCAACATCGCTGTCTTCTGGTCCGGAAACCGGCTCGTCCAAGGTAGGTGCCTCCTCCGAGAGACGGTCGATAAGACTCATCTCTTGCGGCTTCACACAGGTTTCGTACCACTCAAGCGACCTGGAAGGAGGATACGTTCAACTGTCTGTAGCTTCGGTGGTAGTGCGAGGGGAATGAAGGCACGACTTACCTTTTGAGCAACTCATCAGCATCCTCATCGTTGTGCATGCGAGCGAGGTGTTGGCGAAAGTTATCTAGCCGGGGCCATTTCTTCGTCCTACGCGGACAGTTATGTCCAAAGCACAGGTAGAGGACCTTAGGGCCTCGCTCCGGCTCCTGTTTATGCACACACTTCTTGTGACGCGCAAGATCATTGATGGTGCCAAAGCCTTCCTTGCGGGTACAGTTGGGCTCGTCGCACTTGAACAGCTTCTTGTGCCTCGCTTCATGTTTTCTGCAGAAGTCAGCTCGTCAGCCCTTCCCAACCAGCGAATGACCTTGGCCGTCAGAGAGCTTGAACCCACCTCTTGTCGGAGGGGCACTTCCCCGTCCATTGGCAGCCTGGGTAATCGCACTTGATCACGTCCTGGCACAGCAGGGATGGAGACTCCATTCGTTCCATCGAATCGATGGGCTCACTGTATTGCCCGGGATTGAGGTCTAACGTCGACACCCTATCATCCTGTTCGGGATCGAGAGGCCCTAGGTACGGGCTGCAGGTCGAATCGAGGGCATACGATGCAGCAACCGAGCGCGTGGCGCAGCTCCTGGTGCTATATCCTGAATCAGACGGGTGAAGGCTAGTATACTGACTGCCAGTCTCTGACGGCGTGCTGTAATGACCATTTGAAAATCTGCGATCCAGTCCGTACAACGGGTTATTCCGAATTACCTGCGGAATCTTATATGAAGTGTTATTGATGGACAGCCCGGTCAGGTGGAGCGGGTTCCACGCCTCGTTTTCGTTTCGGAATCGTGAGAAGGTATATGGGGGCTGGTCTAAATTCAGAGGGTTTGCGGCGGCGGAGGAGGAGGAGGAGTCCGCGTGCAACGGTAACCAAGGATGGAGGATGGATCCTTGACCGGGAGTGGGGATGGCAGGATCAGACGCGAACTGGAAGCCCAGGAAGGATGCTGGATCCCCCAGCATCAGGTCGGATGGCGTCAGACCGTCCGGTAAAAGCTCGGCCTGCGATGACAGTGGTGGTGGTGCCCGGGCGCCCATGATGCCTTGTAGGATATCACTGGAGTCACTCCAGGGCTTGTTGGAGTCGGATGCCTAAGTGCCTTGAAGTCAGTTCGTCTCTTCCCGTGTATCATGCACCACTCCATAGATAGATAGATAGATAGATATCCCATCTTCCATTGCGGGACCGAACGGGAAGAAACATGGCGACATACACTCATCTCAGCCACAGTAGAAGGTAAGAAGGGTTGAGAGGAATCGGGTCATTCGCCGGCCGACGGTGTTATTGCGGTGGGGGGAGACAGCGTCCGGTGGGATAGAAATCGTCGATCGACGCCCGGCGGAGGGTCATCATATAGTACGCGACAGCCGATCGGATTATATGCAGACGGACCGCAACGCTTGGGCGATGATCGTGATCGGCTTCCTTTTCTGACCCTCACCAGGCTCGCCGCGGCGAGGGAAATGAAGGGGAGAGAGCCGGGCGATCGTCCGCGTGTCACCTGAAGCAATAGATTCGGACCAAATCAGCAAGCATCGACGAGCAGAAGAAGCCGGTCGACACGAAAGGGACAAAAGACCCCGGGCTGAAGAGAAAAGAAAAGAAGGGAGAGGGAAAAAGAAAAAGAAAAAGAGAAGAGAAGAGAAGAGAAGAAGAGGGATGCCAAAGAAAGAACGCAAGACAAAAGAGAAGAAGGCTGAAGAATGAGGGGGAGAGGAGGAGGAGGAGGAGGAGGAGGAGGAGGAAACACGATGCGTGAGGGCAACAATAACCGAAACAACGAGAGACAATAATGCTGACCTGCTTGCGACATGAGCCGGGGAGGGGGGGGAGCAGTAGCAACAACAGCAGAAGAGGGAAAGAAAAAAAAAAACAAAAAAACCAAAAACAACAAAAAAGCAACGAGATGATCGCCCGATATTCGCAGCTGGTCGACCGAGACCAACCCCACGCGATAACGTGTCGAATGACCGAGTTGGGGATGGGATGACAGGACGAGCTAATCGAGGGATGGCTTTGGCATGTCCCACGTCAATCCCCCATGCAGCCAGCCAGCCAGCCAGCCAGCCATCATTCACCATCATCCCAGCAATCCCTCGTAATCAATTAAGCATCAGGGGGAATTGTTCCCCCGGTAGCGCCAGAGAGGCCCTGTCCGGTACTTTTGTCGAGATGGACCAAATTATCAGACATAATTTCTTCCACCTCGTCCCCGTTCTGCTTTTGCATCCATGCATGCATCCATCCATCCATCCATCACGCGGTCGGTGGCTGTGGCTGTGCCTGTAGTACTTACGACGTACGACGTACGACGTGCGACGTGCGACGTACGTACCGTGTCGAGGTAAGGAGAATGATGATTATGCATCACACAGCAGCAATAATATACGATCTATTATGCAGCTTCATCTTTCGTTCGGCTCTCGTCGTCGATCGTCCAGCTCAATGCTTTCTGTCCCTTTTTCCACCCAAAAATATCCTCTCTCTCGCTCTCTCTCTCTCTCTCTCTCTCTCTCTATCTTGTCTCCTTCCAACCACGGCGCTATGTCTGTCTACCCAGAAGCCAGCAGGGAATCAATCCTCCGTCCTCGCTGGACCTGCAATGGCCCGTGAAGCCGAGCTGCGACGTGCAGCCCCTTTGCCCAATCACTGCCCTCTGCCCAATTGACAATTCGGGCCCACGCGTGCAGCCTGCATTCCGTTGCACCCCCGGCAATAGGAGGCTAAATAGTCCCAGCCAGACTCCGGCCGGCCTATCGATGTGCTACGGCCTCCTGTCTAGACCCCCGGATCATTCGTGGGAGGGAAACTGAAAAGGAAAAAAAAAAAAAAAACAATGGCATTCATTATTGATTCACACCGGCGACCCAGCCGGAAAAAGTCGCCGGTCCAATGTCCAATCCAACGGTGGGTATATAAAATATAAGTTCAGTGGCTGCAGATCGCGCCATACGGTGCCGAACACGAAAGAATAAAAAAAAAAGAAAGAAAAAAAAAAAAAAAAAAAAAAAAACACACACAAGGGATACGGCTGACATCACATTAGTTGATGCGCTAGTTACTATGTATGGAAGAAGAACCCCCCCCCACGATCTGCAGGTCTGCTGCTGCGCCCGGCAGGGTCGAGGATTAGGGCTGTTCTCGGTAGCCTCCCGGAACGTAAGGCATCGCCGGGGGCAGGGGCATTGCGCTCTGGTAACCGTAGCCGTTCTCCGCGGAGGATGACACGTACACCGGCCCCTGATGATCGTACCGCGCCTGCATCTCCCGCGGCGATATCGCGAACCCGTACGGGGCCTGCACCACCCCGAGATTCTGACTGGAGGCTCGCGGGCGAGGGCCCGCGTTGAAAGGGGGCGGGTAGGTCACCGAGTTCTGATGGACGGGCATCAGTCGCGTCTGGTCCACCGCCCCCCCTGGCAGGCTCGAAAGTGGCCGCATGGCGGGCGCATCGTCGTACGCGTCAATTGACTCAGGCTCGGCGGAGATCCATCCGCCAGGCATGGTGGTGAAGGTGCGGGGATGGGACGGGGGGAACCCCATCATAGGCTCCCCACCTCTCTCGGCATTCTGCGTGGGATTCATCGACATCGCGGGTGTTCCCTCGACCCCCTCTAGCCTGGGCATGAAACGAGTGGCTTCGGGCGTGAGGGAGCCCCGGTGGGAGACGGGATCGCTCTTACCAGCCGGGCTGATCACGTCGTTCGATGAAAGATCCCTCTCGTTTACGAGCGCTAGAACCGGCATGGCGATCTGCTCCATGTGCTTGGCCAAGTGCACGGTCAGCTTTTTCCAGCTGCTACAGACGTTGCCACAGAACCGGCACGGCTCGTCCCTGGGGCCCTTCTCCGTGTCGTGACGGCACCTTTCCACCAGATCCCAAAGCTGTTCAATCTCCCGTTCCCGGTTGGCTTCCTCCTGCATCTCTGGAGTAACCGAGTCGCCCGCATTTCTGGCTGCCGATCCCGGGGATTTGGTTTTCTTGACTTTGGGCTCCGGCATCTTATGCTCACGAACCAGGTGCTGGACGAAATTGTCCTTCCGGTAACAGGTATGATGGCAGTCGGGAACCGTACACGTCCACCATTCCAGCTGTCGATGTCGCTCGCTCTCGTGCCGGACCCAGTCGGCCTTCCGCTTGAACGACTTGGGGTCAGAGCAATTAGGAAACGTGCAGGTAAAAGGCTGGACATCTTCGTGAACATGCTTGGTCCAATCCGATGGCTTCTGGAACTTCTTGACCTGGAAACACACCGGGCATTCGAACTCCGCCGGTAGCCGCTTCACGGGCGGCAAGGGCACGCCGGGGGGGAATTGCGCGGCCGTGACTGCCCCCTCTCCAAGCTTCGTGGGATCGTCCTCAACCTCTCCATGCCCCGGAATGTGGAACTGCGTGTGCGCGGCCTCAGGGTTTGCGCGAGGACCCAGCGATTTGGCCTCGCCGCCGAGTGCAAAGCAGAAATTACCAGAGGCACACTTCTTCTGACCAACAGCGCCCATATGAGCCTGCTTGCCTTCAACCAGCTTTCGGTATCGGCGAAGTTGTTCGTGCGCAAAGCGGTCGATCAGTGCCGGTGGAAGTCGAGGGTTCAGCTGGGTAATCTGGTGCTTAAAGCCTTCAAGCGTGGGCACCGGTAGGTGCGATGGAACGGGGAACTGCATCACCAATCCTTTCTCATCTACCAACTCGTCATCCTCGTCATCTGCGCCCCCCCCGGCGCTGTCTTTATTAGGGCTTGCCTGCTGGGTTTCATGACGGTCGGTCGGTCGCGGCGAGTAGGCGATGTTGGGAACAGGCGGCCCGCCATGACTGGTCATCAGGTCGATCAGTCCGGGCACTGAAGCCCTTGGCAATTCGCTTCTACTTCTACCACGACCCTTGAGGGATGGCCAGGGGCCAGTGGTGGCACTCGGCGATGCAGCCCTGAGGGAGTCCTTACCGCCAATGGCGGCCATTTGACCGGCAATAGCGATCACGGCGCTACTGGTATTCAGACTTGGGGACCTGGATCGGCCCAGATTCAGTCGATGCGGGAAGCTGTCTTTCCTCAATGGGGGGCTTTTGACCTCATCGCCTTTGCTGGCACTGTCCGTGCTGGGAGGGATGATGGAAAGGTCAGATAGCCGTCGCTTCAAGTTGCTGGACGGCTTTCTGTGCAGAAGTTTACGGAGGCTACTTCTCCTCTCATGCTTTTTGTTGTTATCGTTACTGATGAACAGGCTCTCAAAGGAACCCCCTGGACCCATGATACTGTTGACTTCTGCATCGTTCAGGTACCTTGTGCCCCAGGTTGCTGAGCGGGATGCTGTGTCAATGTCCTTCGCTCGTCGCTGGTATTCCATCATGGCTGCACTTGAACTTGAAGGCTGGATCCTTATTGTTCGGGGAGATGGGTCGTGATCCGAGTCCCGCCATGGATGAGTCCCCAGAAACTGATGGGGTGATGGCTCTTCATCCTCGGGCCTGGGCTGGTCGAGAGGAGGGGTAATTTCCGTGTCCCTTTGAGCCCATAATGCTTCATTCACACTGACAGCCGGGGAATCCGACTTGCTTCCTGCACTTCCCAATCCATCCTCGCTGAGTTCTTCAGCGCTACTCTCGTGGAGAAGAAGCCCAGGACCTGGGATGGCGGGCTCTAGCAACCGAGTTTTCAGAGTGAAATAGTCCTGCTGAATTGAAGGATCACCGGCACTTTTCGCCCTACGTCTGCCCCCCATGTGACCATTATGGGCGCGATGCATGGATGTCTCATCATCCCCTGCTTCACTGTTCGCCGCACTTACGGAGACTGACCATGACTGGATGTCAGCGTTCTTCTCTTGCATCCGCCGTTGTGTCTCCATATCGTTTGGACTTGGGACATAGATGTCATCCCGGGATGAAGGCTCGACGCCTGCATGCCCGGTAGCTATGTTTGGAATCCAGGAGCCGTCATAAGCTCGCGGCGCTGAATAGTTTGCGCCGAATCCCTGGTGGTCGTCATCCAAGCCATCCCCGTCCGATTCACTAGTCATGTCGTTTGGCGACAGATGTGTGGAGGACATGCTGCGTCGTCGCCCGGGCAGAGAGGGATCCCTGACTGGCGAATCCCCACGAGAATAGCTCTCAATTTTGACAATTGGGCTTCGCGCCCTGGCCGAATCGGGCACTGCAAGGACACTCAGGTTATCGCTCGGAGGGCTTGTGATCAGCGAGAGGCCTGGAGGATGGCGAGAAAGGGGTCGAGGTTGCGGTGGGTTCCCAATACCACCAGTACCCGGGGAGAGTCCCAGGTTGTGGTTTGGATCCCAAGTCATTGATTGAGACGGCTGCATGGTTGATGGCGACGACATTATCCCGCTTGGCTTGGGGCCGAATGCATCATCCATGGTCATATTCTGTATGCCCAGAGCCATGCCATTGTCGCGTTGCAAGCCACCAGACCCCAGGTCCATGTCCATGCTGAAGCCTGCCGACAAGATCTCGGCGCTCGGGGACGTGTGGGCACTCATGTCACTTGAAAAATCTTCCGTTGGGCTGAGGAACTCCGAGTAGGACGATGCTTGGTTGGGGCCAGTAATATCATCATGTGTGTGGGGATTGAGAGGGGAGGACGAATTTCTTCCGCCCTGGTCTTCCCCGTTGACGGGAGTTAATCTGATGGCGGAAGACTTGAAAGAGGCCTCATCCGGGTCCAACGGGGCCGAAAGATAAGGATCGTGGTAATTGGGATCGTAGAACGCCATCTCAGTCGGCGACTCATTCTGGACGAGCTGGGGGGATAAAGTGGACATGGTTGCCCTGAGTCCAATGAGTTGCTCGGATGGCCGCACGCTGACACTGGCAATTCAGTAGACGCACTCGAGAGAGCTGGTGAATGCAGCGCTTCAACGCAAGGTCTCCGGATTAGAAAAGATGCTGCGTATTGTCGCCTCCGGCGTGGTTTCTGGTGGCCTAGGTGAGCCGTACTGCACACAGAGACCGGTCTATATGAAGTCGGGGTAGCATATCTAGCGAGACATAGACGAACGTTTTCGCGCAAGGATCTCCGCGATCGCAATCCGGATAGAAAGCAGGAAAGGAAAGAGGCGTCGCAGGGCAGTGGTGTAGACACCGGGGGAATCCGATCGCGCAGGAACTATTTCAGCCTGCCCCTTTAATGCGATGTGGTGCCGCAGGCGCAAGGTGGTGGTGGTGGTGGGTGGGCAGTAAGCAGTAGATTGCAGTGCGCCAGGAATGAGGCCAAGACCCAGGGTTAGATTACCCGTAGGGCCAGAGATGGGGAAGGAAAAGGATGACGGGGGAGGGGGGAATCCCGAAGAAAGTTCAACTAGGCGGGAGGAATCCAAGTGGAGTGAGAGGGAAGCGGGAGCAATTATCAGGTATAAATAAAGGTGGAGGAGGAAGAAGTAGTAGTGGTAGTAGTAGCAGTGGAAGTAGTAAGTAGGTTGGCAAGTTGTTAGATTTGGAGGAAGGGTTGAAGCAAGCACGAGTAGATACGTGGGGGGGAGGCGCAAGTGCCTGCCTGATACTGATAGGGCCGAGGGGGTGGGCAGGCGGCTCTGCGCTGAGAGGCGAGGGAGGGAGAGAGAGAGAGAGAGAGAGAGAGAGAGAGAGAGAGAGAGAGGAGAAAAAAAAAAAAAAACCGAGGATGAGGCTATGACGAATCCCGGAAATAATAGGAATTGATATAGTAGCCAGGGATGGAGGGAGAAAGAAGGAAAGAGAGAGAGTGTGTGTGTGTAAGTCGGAGGAGGGGAAGAGGGTGAAAGAGTGAGTAAGAATGAGTGAGTGAGTGAGAGCGGAAGAGAACAAGAAGGGAAAGGTGCCTTGCGGCTGTGATGAAAGAATGAATGGCGAGGAGAGGAAGAGCCAGAGCCAGAGCCTGACTGAGCCACAGTCTCAGTCTGCAGGGAACAGAAGAAAAGGGGATGGATTTCTTGAGTAATCGGAAGAGTTGGTTCGATGCAGTTAGTTTGACTGTTCACCGTTCACTAAGAGTCAGGAACCAGAAAGACTACCGGTAAGTAAGTATCTAGCGCAAGGCCTCAGCTCTGGCGGGTTGAGGAAAGTCGGGAAACGAGGATAGGCGCCACGATGCTGCATCGCGGGCCACTCACAGGGCGGCGGGGGAGTTGGGCTGGGTGACTAAATAGCCTAAAGAGTTAGTAGATATCAGTAGTGGGGAGTGGGAATAATGGACTCGTTTAGGCCCCCGGAGAGGAGGGTTGCTTAGTGTGAAGAATGAAGAATGAAGAGTGAAGAGTGAAGAGTGAAGAGTGAAGAGTGAAGAGAGAGAGAAAGAGAGAAGGAAAGAGAGATCTGAGTGTGTCTGAGTGTGTCTGAGTGTGTTTGAGTGGTGTATTCTGCTAGATGGTACCTCTCTCTCTACCTATGATTGCAGGTACTCCGTACTGTCTGTCAGTGGTACTGTGTCAGGTATAGTAAGTAACAAACACTCCGTACCGTACGCCTGGAGTACTAATCCTTCCCGTACGTCAGTCATCTCGGACAGGCCGTCACCATCCATCTCATCCATCTCATCCATCTGCTACATCTATCTATCTCTATCTAGTTATTCATTCATCCCAACTGGCAGATCGCGGTTCGGGTCCGAGCAGTTGGACTAGTAGCATCTAGCATCGCTGGAACCATGGATGGGGAGCAGGAACGAGGCCGGGAAATTCGCAGGGCTCGTCCCGTTCCCCACCCCCATCGTGGCTTGGCTCGACAAGAGGTCAGGAACTGTTGAACATCCTCCGAAGAACTCTCCCAACTCGTGGAAAAGAGGAGAGGCTGCGCACTGCGCACATTCGAGTCCCGACCAGCCTTCTGTTCACCCGTTCCTGGTCATTTCTTTTCTCTCGTGTCACCGTGTCGCGGCGTTGCTCGGCGGTGGGTGTGGGACCCGTGGTACGGTTCACAATAGCTTCCTGCCTCACATCTCTTGAAACCGCCCGGGCGGTGCAATCGCATTGCCGCAGAAGGGTCGGGTCGGCTTACCATGGTATCACACGCAGTGGTGTGGTATCCATCTACTAGATACTAGTAGGGATCAAGTCGCGACAAGCTTTGCATGCTCGCCCACCCTTCTGGGTTGGCGCTGACATCATGCCGGTGGCTGTGCTCATCCTTCACTTCCCCCGGCTCACTAGGGCCACCCGTTCTGGGCATGGCCGAGGGAGGGGGGTATGATGCTATAATTGATACTCTAATGGCACAGGACAAAGGCAAACATTCATTCCATATCATATCCGTCATCGCGCCAGGGGCGAGGGGAAGGGAAATCGAACAGCCTCTTCCTCGCCTCGCAAGCCACGCTCAGTGCAGGCATCCCGTCGGCGCCGCGACAGCCATCGGGCCTTGGCTCAAAAGTAGTTCCACATACATTGTTACACATCGAAATATCAAACGCTCGCTGAAGTTGCAGGAAACACAGAAAATACACACAACAGACACCCAAAAGACATATGTATAAGCCCGAAACGAGGGGAGGGGCACATCGAACAGAAGGTAAAGGTAGAAAAGGTCATGAAAATACAGTGGTGGGAGAAATGAACGTGAGCTCCGAATAAACCCTGAGCGTCATCCAGGCCATCATGAAGGAACCACAAAGGAAACAGAATGAAGGGAGTGGGGTGGGGGGGCACTTTGGCCCAGAACAGAAGACAATTAAAGGTAGAAGAAGAGAGAAGAAAAAAAAAAAACACTAATATGCAACACAGAGAGGCTATTAAAACATTTATAGTCAATGCAAGCACTCACATTACCCTACCCAGGAGGCATTAGACATGTCTCATGGAAAGCTCATGCCGTGACCTCAAAGGAGCGCTTATCATTCCGCGGACTTCTTCGTGGCGAGGGGGACTTCCCATCGGTCCGGATCGAGTCTCTCGAGCCACGGCGGGGGGACTCATCACCCGAAAGCGCGTCGGTGGACTTCTTGGCCAGTTCCTGCAGCCTGGCCATGACCACCGGGGAGTCGGAGTACAGGACACAGCCTTGAGAGTAGGTGCAAGGGCTGGCCTTCTCTTCCTCGCCCGCAAAGTCCTCGTGGGCCGCCTCTCGGGTGATGCGCGGGAACGTCCGCAAAATGACATGACGAGTGGGGTCTTCCTTGGAGCTGAGACTGCCCTCCTTGGGAGTGCCATACTCATCCCAGTCGTCGTTCGAGACGGCGTCAGCATCGGGGGCCGGTAGCGAAGCCAGAATGAGCTCCCGCTCAACGCGTGCAAGTCTCCAGGTCTCGGCAGCCAGCTTCACAATTTTCCGGATACCGATGAGGAGAGAATCTAGGTTCCGAGGGTCGGCGAAGTGCTTGAGCTGATCGATGATTTCGTCGACAATGACAGCAGCCACCACGTTGATGGACTGCTTGGCATCCGATGTCGTGTACGCTGCCTTGAGCGTCTGTTGCCTCCAGAAGGCTTCCCGTCTCACGGACTTGCGTCGGATGTCCATCGACAACATCTGGAAGAAGGTATCGGCCTTATCGTAGCGTCGGCCGAGGGTGAACAAGAAGGGGTGGAAGATGCGGTAGGTCAGGGTCTTGGAGATGACATGCTGCACATAGGCCGAACGTAGATCGCGCGAGGCCGGAGTGTTATCAAGGAACGACGGCAATTCCGATGGAAGCTTCGCTAGGATGTCCTTTGGAGGATCAATTGGAAGGTACGAGAAGTGCTCCTTGGACAGGGAGACAATAAGACGAGAAAGCTGGCCGAAACAGTCCAAACTAGATTTCGGAATATTTATCAGAGCACGTACATTTATAACGTTATCAACAGGTCATAATAGTCATCATCATCATAATCAGTCTATAGAGAAAAGAGACAGACAAAGGAAAAGACAAACAAAAGATTGTGTTTTGGTTCTGGTTCATGCAGGTGAAAACAGGCAAACATGAAGACGAGATTAAAAAGCCGGGCGATGAGAAGAGATCATAAGGAAGTAAAGAAGAAGATAAAAAGAGAAAAAGTGCAGAAACGAAAGTCGGGTACTAAAACACAGTCTCAATGCACTGGGTCACTTACAAGAAAGAATCACCCTTCGTGCTCTTGAGGTCAGTGGCTTCTCCAAGACTGTGCAAAGTCTTTCTCAACCTGTCGCAATCTTTGTCCAAGTTGTCAATGGTGAGGCGCATGTTATCCACCGCATGCTGAACCTGCTTTTCCTTGGAGAGGTTGTCCTCTTCCAATTTCCTGTTCTCACGCTCGCTGATATCCAAAGCCTGAATCTTGTCCGACAACCGCGTCTCCAAGTCCGCCTTCTCATCAGCCCATTGTTGCTGCTTGTCACTGTGGTCCTTCTCCATCGCAGCCACCTTCTCCTCGTGACTGGTGGTCAGGGCGTCGATTTCATTGGCATGCGTCTGGCGAAGATCCGCCAGCTCATTGGCATGCGCCTCACGTGTGTCTTCCAACTCCTTCTGTTTGTCCGCAAGCTCAGTGGTCCTGGTCTCTAGTTCCTCCTTGGTCGAAGCCAGCTCCGTGACCTTGGAGTCGAAGTCAGACTGCAGGGCATCATGCGCCTCCTGCATCTCTTGTTTCTGCTGCTCGTAGTCGGCCTTCATCGATTCTTGCTGATCAAGCAGTTCTCGCTCGCGGTTTGCCAGAGCTTCGGCTGCTGCCTTCTCATCCTCCGCCTTGATATCCTCGAAGATCTCGGTCAGCTCTTGCTTCTGACTGGCAAGGGCATTCGCTTTCTCTTCCCTGGCCGTTTCCATGTCCTTCTCGTAGGTCTCATTTGCCTCTTGAAGGTTGGTGTTCAGCGTCTGGACTTCCTCCTCGAGCTGGGCATTCGACTGCGAAAGTTCACTGTTGGCGTTTTCCGTGTCGGTCAGCCTCTCCTCGAGGTCCTTTCTCTTCTCTTCGAGGTTCCCCAGCTCCATGCGGAGTTCGTTGATCGTATTCTTCAATTTGGTCGATTCCTCTGCGCTCTCGTTTGCTGCCTTCCGCATCTGGTTCTGCAAGGCTTCAATGTAGAACTCCTTGTGCATTAGAGCCTGCTCATGCTGACTCTCCATCTGCTTGAACTCGGCCTCACGTGATTGCAGCTTGCCTTTGGTGCTCTTGTAGCTGCTGAGCAGCCGGCCAATGTCTGGAATGGCATCCTGAATCCTCTGCAGAAGCTCGATGGGCTCTTCATGTTCAGGGGGCGACATGATGCCAATCTTGCCATTGAGGCCATGTCCGTTGAGGCCATGTCCATTGGCGAACCCGAGGTTCTGCAGGGCCTGGAAAGATGCGGCTGAACCCGGGTCGATAGAGCCTCGAGGAGTGGGATGGACATTGGGGGATGGCTGATAGTAGGCGTACTGGGGCAGGTACCCATTGGCACTCATGATAGGCGAAGAGTAAGAGGGAGGGTAAGGGGTCATCGCGGGGGGCGGGGCCATGCGGGTCCCCATTTGCGGGGGCGCCTCCGGAGACATCATGGGAGACATGTGCCCGTGTGCGAGAGGACTGCTGACTTTCGGCACGGGCGAAGCGGGCTTTGCGACAGGAGAAACGTGTTTCTGTACAGGTGATACGGTATTTCGCGCGGGTGATGCAACCTTCTGGACCGGGGAATATTGTTGCGCGATGGGTGAAGCTGATTGAAATACAGGAGAAGCAGCTGGCGGTGTAGGCCAGGCAGTGTTCTGCGGCAGAACCATAGCCTCCTGCACCGGGGAGGTAAACTCCTGTACAGGAGAGTATGATTGGGGCACGGGTGAGCCGGCACGTGGTGTGGCAGCAGCACTCGGTGGGGCCGACGAGAGGGACTTGAAGGACGGTGAGACAGCTCGTGGTATTGGTGAGCTGGCCTGGGGAATCGGAGAGGCAGGCTTTGAGGCGGGTGGAGTGCTTTGCTGGGTAAACGAATCAGAAACGGGGGTAGGTTCAGCAAGCACTTCTTCGGAGACAGGCTCAGACATTGCGGGAATTTGCGAATCAAGCACCGGGCCTCCGATGTTGGAGCGAGGGGATGCTGCCACGAATTGACTTTCCGGCTGAGGCTGCGGTTCTTCGAAGGGCACTGAAGACGGCGCCTGGGTGAATGTAAGATCCAACGGCGTCTGTGGTGCTGTGACTGTCGCCTCTTCGTAGGTTTCCGCACCACTGGTAGGCTCGTCCAGGAATTGATTGTTCTCGTGGTTCTCTTCAGTGTCCCCTGCGTATGGCTCCGAGGTGCCTGTTTCCTCCAAATTCGACTCTAGTGGTTGCTCAAAATAGTCCTGCCCATCGTTCGCGTCTGGTTGTTCACTTTGGGCAATTTCAGGGCTGGCTGGCTGGTCAAACCAACCCTCCTCGTTCACTGATGGCTGGATCTGTGCCTCGGCGACAGGCACAGTCGAGTCTTGCTCGACAGCAGCCTGTGGTTGCTCCAGTTCCGGGTCTTGGTCTGGCACCGACTCTGGTTCCAAAGCAACTTCTGGCTCGGCTTCAAACACGGGCTCTGCCTCTGTTGGTTGTGATTCGACGGGGACTTCGGTTTCAACTGGGGCTTCAAGCTCCGTTGGTTGCTGTTCCTCTTCCTGTGCTTGCTGCTGCCCCTCAGGTGGGATGTCTTGCTGTTCTTGCAGCCCCTCCTCTTGTTCCGCTTGTTCGGTGGGGGTTTCTGGCTGAGCTGTCTGTGGCTCTTGGTCTTGTTGTTCTACTTGCTGCTGCTCTGGCTCCGGAGCGGAGAGCTCGGGCTGAGGTATCTCTTGCTCCGGGTCTTGTTGTCCCTCTTGCTCAGGGGTGGAGAGCTCTTGCTGAGGTGTCTCTGGTTGTTGTTGTTCTTGCTCCTCCAGTTGTGTCTCTGGTTCGGGGGTAGATAACTCAGGCTGAGGTGTCTCTGGTTGTGGTTGTTGTTGTTGTTCTTGCTCCTCGAGTTGTTGTTCTGGGTCAGAGGTAGATAACTCAGGCTGAGGTGTCTCTTGTTGTTCAAGTTGTTGTTGCTGTTCTTGCTCGGTGGCAGAGGGGTCCGGCTGAGGTGTCTGATTACCAGAGGCCTCTTGGTTCTTCCCCTTCTTATTCTTTGGTTTGCTACCGGACTTGCCTTTGCCTCCTTTCGCCATGGTTGGTAATGGAAATGCGTGCCCAAGTTAAAATAAGGCTGAAAGACGTGTTCCCAGTAGACTAAAGAAGTAGGTCTGTCAGCGGAATCTCGATTGGGTGGCGGTGGATTTAACACTGTACATTTGCAAGCGCCTTCGGCGGTGTCGTGATATATTCCGAGTTGATATAGGTACAGAACGAACGCAGGGGCCTGAAGATGATCTCAATCGAGGCGAAGTCGATCACACGGTCAGGCCGGGGAAATGGGAACCGGAATGGAGGGGAAGGAAAATTAGGAAAATAGGGGGGGGTGGAAGGAAACTCGAAACAGACGCGGGCCTGCGAGTAGAGGCTATGCAGGTGGGCGCAAATGGATGGAATACACGAAGACAAATCACCGGGTGTCAAAGGGCAACTGTGCCAGCGGGTATACACTCCGGAAGGCCAGGATGGATTTCCACACGCTGGCTCTTAAAATAATTGATTTCTGAGGAATGAGATTCCAGGAGAGAAGAGAGGTCGGGGAAAAAGAGGGCAGCTAATAACGGGTTCCCAGTCACTGCCAAACAAGAAAGCCTGCATGGGTACAAAGCAGACCGACCAGCCTCAGGGGGGCTGGGCGAGGCGCAAAGCGGACCGAACCTTAGGGAACCATTGATACCCATCCATCACTACGGTCATGAGAGTCCGACTAGGCGAGAAAGGCAAGAGGACACACTGGGATGCACGACAGGGCCCTCGAAGTGGACCGAAGCGCTCGAGTCCGGACTTGGCTCGGGGCCAATCAACAGGCGGAGCGGCATCAGCATTGGGCATCAACGAGTGAGTGGCCTTTGGAGGTGGCAGGGTGAATCAGAAGACAGGCGGCGGCGCGGCGGACCAGGCGGACGGAGACGTTGCTATTCAAAGAACAGTAGCCTGAGCAGTCGCAAACACTCCAACACCCCAACAGCGTCGGGGAGGGGAAGGGACCGAGGGAGAGGGGGGGGGGGGCAAGTGGAAAGTGAGTGGGGGGCGGACAACGCTAAGTCGCGATCGATGACATGTCGCCCTTGATATCCAGACGTTTGAGGAGTCCACATGAATTGGCAGAAGATGAAACCCAATTGATGCCGCGCTAATCGCAGGCAGTGGGGAGGGCCATGTCGAAGTGAGGCAGTTAGCCATGCATCGGAGCCAGCTAGGGTGCGGTGTAGGCGCACCATTCAGGATGGGCAAGCCAACGCAGCAGCTCGCGACCCGCCTGTCGGTCCATGCACCTGGCAGTGGCACACGCCCACGGAGGGTTCGGGGAGGCCCCAAACCCGTTTGAGGCGAGGAATCGCTGGCATGATTCCATGGTCCCTCCCGGATACTGCAGGCCAGACGAGGGCCCGAGGGTGAGATTTGCCCGACATGCAGGAATTATTGCAGAGAATTAGGCTGTCAGGGAGGGGAAGGATGGGAGAAGGGGAGGATGACAGGCGGAGAGAGAGGAGAGGAGACGGAGTAGAGACGGTGAGACGGCCAGACGGCCAGACGGCCTTACTTGCTTTACTTACCTGACATGACAACAACGCCCAAACGGGGAAAGGCCCAACCCGCGGCCCTAAACCCAATCCAGCCCCGCGACCACCCAGCGCTCACGTGATTCCCTCCCGGCCGCACCGCCTTTCTTACGACTTTCAACCTCCCCCGAGAATCCCCAGGCGACGCTATCATATCCCCGATCGATTCGGCGCTGCCAATTGTCTACCTCCACACCATGTTCTTCGCCAGGCGATCGGTGGCTTCGGCGCGGCTCCTGCTGCGGAATCAGCAGCCCCGGCGATTCGCTTCCTCCCACCATGCTGAGCCCGTGAACGAGTCCTTCGGCGTACGTCCCCTCCCTTCCCCTCCCCCAATGGGAGCTAGCAAGCAACCATCACATCACCCCCATGGCCACGGAGCTATGGCAGATGGCAGATGGCACTGTTCCTGCTTGGAAGGCGTCGCCCAGTGATCTCGCCCCGGGGAGCTAACGAATGATACAGCGCAGTTTCTACGTCACCGTCGGCACCTTCGCTTCCTGCTTCGTCCTCTACCGCATCGTCAAGAGCACCGAGGATGCTGGCGCCCAGTCCTGGATCTCGTCCCTGATCGAGAAGTACACGCCCTCGCAGGAGGTCTTTGAGCAGCGGAGTGCTATCCGCACCGCCGCCATGGAGAAGATCGCCCACGACCGCCATCTGTTTGGCAGTCAGGGCCCCAGGGAGTCCTTCGACCTGAAGCAGCCTGAGTACGTCGCGGCCCTTCCATTCCCTGCCCTGCCTTGCGCCCCCTTGCTCTCCCAACCCTGGAACGCATGCATTAACCCAATTACCTACCTGCAGGGTCAGCTTCAACAACTCACCCCCCTACAATGTCATCCCCGGCCAGAGCGCCAACCTGAACCACGTGATCGCTCACTACGAGCAGAAGAACCTGGAGCAGGAGCAGGCCCGTGTGGCCCGCATGAACGCCCAGGGTGGCTCTCTGTATGACTAGAGTGAACAAAAGGCATTTTGTGTGTTATGAGGTTCGGGGGATGATGTCGGTAATAGACACCGGATAGCAGCGTATGTTTGTTGTACATATAACAGGTCAAAGTCCAAGGTTTCTCTTTTTTTTGTTTTTTTTTCCCCCTATCGTTCTTTACGAGACGGTGGCAACGTCATCCCATCTTTCAGCTTGTAGATCTATCAAAAATCCATCCAAGGATACACCCGTCGAGCCCGACAGACTGTCTATGTCGATCGGGTTGCGACCGATATGATAATGCAATGCGTGTACACACTACACAGAGCGCATGAAACCGCTGGCCCAATCAGATTGTACGTTTATCTAAGCGCCGCCATTACTATTGCCTAAGGACAACCTCCAAGATGACTCTTCCGACACCCTCAGACTTGACATCCAACCGCTCCTCGACCTTGAGCTGGTCGCCCCCGACGACTCCTCCCAGCACAGCAAGGAACTCATCCACTCCACCGCCAACCCCAAAGTAAACCTTCTTGGCCGCGACCAACGCGCGGCTCCGGGCCCCCTCCGCCACAGGACGACGTAGCAGAGCGAGCAGGGTTTCGGAGAACGCCACCAACGACGCAGGAGAGTAGATCGTCTCGCTGGCCAGGATCAACGCGCTGCGGGCCCCCGGCTGGCCAGACGCGAATACCAAGTCCACGAACGCGGGCGACCAGGCCCCGGAGACGAAATCCACTGTGATGCCTCGCTTGGTCAGGTCTGTCCGGAAACTCTCGACAAGCTCGGGCGTGATGTCGAGCTCTTCTTCTTCTTCTTCTTCTTCTTCTTCTTCTTCTTCTTCCTCCTCCTCCGCGGGACGGTCCTCCGTCTCCGTCTCCGTCTCCGTCTCAGGCGAGAAGGCGGCCTTATCCCGCCGAGAGACGATGTGATTCCAGGTTAGCAGCAGGTTGGGGAAGGTGACGAGCCGGAGAACGGCGGAGTTGTAGTCCGCGAAAGTGAAATGGGTTCTCCGTGATGAGGGCGCATCGTCAGATAGAAGCTGTGCAAAGAGCGCAAGCGAAGGGACTGCCGTTCCTGCGCCGAGCTGTAGATTGGGGCGGTGTTAGTGACCCATAGGATGCGGTTCCAGTCGTCTGTCTCACATACCTCGATGATATGACGGTCTTCGACGGGGTTCGCGGACTCGTCGGCGTTGACGAGTAGTTTGGCCAGGTCGAGGGCGCATTCCCACGTCTTGAAGCCGCCCTCGTAGAAGTTGGGCTTGATGTCGCCCTTCTCCAGGCCGGCGATCAGTTCCTCGTTGTCCTCGTCGGGGGTGTCTTCGGCCATCAGTTGGGTCCGGATGTCGAACACCTCCCGACGAGCGAGGGTGATGGGTTTCCCCGAGTTCGCATCCTGGGGAGATCGGATTGCAATCTTGTTGAATGAGATTAGGGATGGGAGGCTTGGGACCTGTAGGACGGTTACCTGCTGTCATAGATGGGGGAATTGATGTGTCGCCCAAGTCGAATGTGTTCACTCGGATGGATGGTCGAGTATATGCAATGCATAACCCAGTGAGTAGACTTACCCATTGGGCCATATCATGTTTTCTGGGTGCAATGAGCTCCGGCAGAGAAGCACTGGCATCTGTGGACTGCGCAGGGTTGGTCTCGACCGTCTCATTGACCTCGGAATCGTCGATGTCCAGGTCGATGTCATCCCCCGCGAAGCCAAAGCTGAACGTGGAAGTCATGATGACGAGGAATTTGGCGTCACGGCTACTTCGGACCAGCCTGAGTATTCAAGATTCAACCTCCGTCGAAGGCTGGAAGCAATTCGTCCGTCCACTATGGTGGGGTAATAATCTTCTAGTCTACTTGAGATGTTGAAAGAGTGAGGGTCGAGGATTCCAATCGCAGGCAGAACATCCGCGGTGTAAAAGCCAGGGGAGCTTTTCGATGCTATGACCGGTTATTTCGAGATGAGAGCGAGTTAAAAGCCCGTGGCCAGGGTCTGCAGCTCGTGGTTGAAGCTCTTGTCCAAATTTTTGCCATCCATACATAACCAACTATCATTGATGACTAAGCATCGCGCTTTTAACTAGTTATACAGACGCCAATGCTCTCTATGCTCGATGTCGACTCTACGCATACTATAGCTTGGAAGCAAGTGCACTTGATACATCCTAAGCATCCAGGGTTCCTTTCGTACCCAATTTGCGCTTTGATCATATATCATCTCTCTATGGCATCGTGCTGAGCTTACTAGTACCATCTGCGGGAATTCACTCTGATCTCTGGCTGTCCTTGGCAAGGTACTTGCAGTCTTGATGGAATCAGGGTAAATGCGATTGAATTTTTGAAGTGTCATGAAGGGGTGAGCCGACGTTTTCGCCCAGCACCCTGTGTCGTCGTTACATATGTCTATAACGTAGAACGCTCTGTCTATTATAGTCCCAATGATGCCGGATACAAAATGTTCTCAAACATTTACGCAGTGCCGTTCTCCTGTTTGCTGGCCGCCACGGCCTTGTCGAGAGCCTGCAGGACATCGGCCGTGAGATCCTCCGCATCCTCCACACCGCAGGACATGCGGACGAGATCGTCGAAGACACCGGCGGCCTCGCGCTGGTCCTTGGGGATACCCGCGTGGGTCATGCTGGAGGGAACCTCGCACAGCGACTCGACACCGCCCAGACTCTCCGCCAGGGTGAAAATCTTGGTGTATTTGCAGAACTCGTGGGCACCCTCCTGGCCACCCTTGATGCGGAAACTGAGCATACCACCACCCATACCCTGGCGGTGTTGCTTGATGGCGATGGCACGGTGGGGGTGAGAGTCAATGCCGGGGTAGTTGACGGAGATAACGTGGGGAGAGGCTTCAAGGGCCTTGGCGACAGCCGTGGCGTTCGTGGTCGCCTCGCGCGCGCGCAGGTGGAGGGTTTTGAGACCCCGGTGGGCGAGCCAGCAGTCGAAGGGGGAGGGGACGGCGCCGATGGCGTTCTGGAGGAAGGTAAGACGCTCCTTCAGGCTTTCCGAGTTGAAGGCAGCCACACCCATGAGGACATCCTATCTCAGAATTAGTGAACCGTCTTTGTGTGGCAAAGAACACGGCGCGTACCGAGTGACCGTTGATGTACTTGGTGACGGAGTGGACGACGATGTCGGCACCGTGGTCCAGAGGGTTCTGGACGTAGGGGCTCATGAACGTGTTGTCCACCACGACCAGGATACCATGTCTGTGAGCCACCGCGGCGATCTTCTCGATATCGACCAGGCCGAGCGTGGGGTTGGAGGGGGTCTCGATCCAGACCAGCTTGGTCTCGTTCGGGCGGATCAACTGCTCGACATCGACCTCGATGCAAGGGGAGAAGGTCACATGGACACCGTGGGCAGAGGCGACCTTGGTGAAGTACCGGTGGGTTCCACCGTAGACATCGGAGACGGAGACGACGTGGGAGCCGGCGGCGAGGGACTGCAGGACCACGGCGGTGGTTGCGGAGCCGGAGGAAAAGGCCAGGGCATATTTGGCGTGTTCCAGAGCAGCGATCGCCTGCTCGAAGTTATCGCTAACCAAGAGTCAACATCCGCGCAAGTATTTCCAGCAGTCCAGCGATTCATTCATCATTCATCCCACTGACCGGTTGGGGTTCGAGCTCCGGGTGTATTCGTAGAGACCGACGGGGTTTCCGACGCTGGTTTGCGCAAAGGTGGTGGAGAGAGTGATCTAGAGTTTGGGATGGGGGGGGTCAGCCTTCCTGCTTTCTGCGTGGAGAAGATGCGAACTAACAGGAGCAATGACAGCGCCGGTGGTGGGATCGTGGGGAGAACCGGCGTGGACGGCCAGAGTGCCGAAGCGGCGATCCTGAGGGGTCGCGCCTCCGTTCTGGGAGGGGAATTCTGTGTGGCCGACCATTGTCACGGGGGGGGGTGTGAAGAAGATGGAGAGAGAGAGAGAGGATGGATTGGAGAACTGGCAGGGGGATGAAGTTTAAAAAAAAAATTTAAACAAAAAAAAAAAAAAAAAAAAAAAACCAGCTACCACTGAGGTTGCTTTGTTTCTAATTGCGCGCGGGTTTGATCTGGTCTTTGTCTTGGGGTAGGTAGTTGGTGACAGTTAATAATAACAGGCTGACGATGAGATCACGGCACCCCTGCAAGGCGCAATCAAGCGGTTATATAAAGTTCATTGCGTCTGGGGTTACGATTTGTAAGTGCAGGCCGGAACAAGCCCCAAAAAAGATCGGTGAGCATCACGTCCGGATGGCCACTCGCAGGGGAAAACTCGGATCTGCCTGGGATTTCTGTTACGTCGTGCGGACCGGATGCTGGAGAACTATAGGACAAGGAGCGGCTGGAGGACCCGCGCCGGGCCAGAAAAGGCCCCGAAGCCTTGAAGAGTCCCAGTTGGAGATTTCCCCCCCCACCGGCGGCTGCCCTTCGCCGCCGTTAACCGTGGCCGGTGGGGTGGAGGCCGTCGCGCTTCCGGATGTAAATAGATAGCACTAATAATACTACGCTGTGTTATATCCATCCCTTGATTGCGCCTTTGAAATGTCATCGGATCTGCACGTGCAGCAAAATCATGTCATTAGTATTCATCCGGGGTAATTCCCCCCCCCCCCCCCAATTATTTTTTTTTTCTTTTTAAGAAAAAATAATATACATCCCAGCGTGGTATATCCAACCCCACATACAAAAATTCTATCATCCTGTGCAATAAACAAACCCACAGCCATCAATCACCACCATGACGTAGGTCCCAACCCAGCCATTTGCATAGATCCCTATGACACGTGAGCACGTCTTCGGATGCAAGGGACACTCAATGGCAATAGATCCAGTCACTTACTATAATAGAATACGGCGCCTTGCGCTCAATCGTAGCGCCATCCCCAAGATCGGGGGCATTGGGGATCTGATCGTGCCATTCTTCCATCTCAACCCGGAACCGGACGATTTCTCCGACATCAAAGTAGAATGTGGAGCCGTCTTCATTCTCCCAGATCCAAACCTGGTCGGCGTAGTCGCTGGTGCACGTCAGTAACCGGGACAAGAGGTGGGGGAAGCTCCAGTTCACTCACAACCGGGCGCCATCCAGCAGAAGGTCCGGGGGCACAAGGATATCGTTGAAGAACTCGACGGCAACTAGGCACAGTAAGCATGACGGTCAGCTGGTCGATATACCCGCACTGCTTACTTTTGATGCCGTGCTCGGTAGCACTGGAAATCTTGCCCAGCACGATCTCCCCCTTGAACGGGCGGAAAACAATCAGGCGGAATTTGACTGTAGTCCATGTCAGTTGCGCTGCTAGCAAGGACTGACTCTCGAGTTCAGAGAGGGAAAAATTACCGTTCACATTGACCAGCCCGGTGCCATGGCCGATCAGACCATCGGACGACTCGAGTAGGTCGTAGAACCCGATGCATAGGCCGATTTTTTGGATGACCTGCGAACGAGCGTCAACCAGGGCTCATGTCGAAGTCCATCATTTCACAGAGGTTCCCGATCGGAGTCCGCGTTGGGATGAAGGCGACGATGTTCCCACATACCTTGTTGGCATATTTCTCGTTGATGTTATCCTCAAGAGCCACAGCGCTATATTTGGAGAAATCCTCCGGGGAGATCTGTATCAGATCGGAGATCGTAGTCTAGAGAACACCAGTCAGCACCTCCTCTGCGGGTTCCCAGGGACCATGTAACTGACAAGGATAAACATGATTGGGGGGGGGGGGGGGGGGGTGGAGGTGTCGGTTGAAGCAGTAGCGCTGGACCGGAGACGGAGAAGAATCTTTCTTTCTATACCAGCCCGGATACACAAATGGAACAGTCAAAGCGAGCAGGGATCAATTCCATGTTCAGGATCCAGTCCGCTTGTCTCGCATAGGGCAGTCTTTCCGGGTTACACTTTCCGCAATCCCAGATGCATGCTACGATTCTCCAGCTGCGACTTGACGAGGGCCTCGACCAATGGCAGGCGGCCGATCGGCCTGAATTTTCGGCCTGAGGGCGCGGGCCTCACGCACGTGATTGTGCCACGTGACCATGGCGCGATTCCTCTTTCTGCCCGGAACGGAACAACGACGCTGTCACTCATGCTCCGCCGGGCCTTTTATGCGCTGGGACGTCGCGAAGTCTTCGCCATCCTGTGAGGATGGCGTACATGCTGCCTCACTCTGAAGGTCGACTGAGATCTTCTCGCCATGAACTCCCAGGGGTTCTCGTTTCCCCCTCCTCCTCCCCCTCCTCCTTCCCAGCAGCACCAGCAACCACAGCAACCGCAGCAACAGCAGCAGTACCATCATAATGCTACTTTCAACTCGCAGTATGGAGGTCAGGCGTACCATGGCCAGCGAGGTGGCCGTGGTGCCGCCACACACTACAGGGGCCGGGGAAGAGGGTATGGTAATCGAGGAGGAGGCGGAGGAGGAGGTCGTGGGGCTCATTTCATGACCCCCGATGCCAGTCGTGCATATCCTACTGCCGTACCTTCAGGCGTCGGCTATAACCAGATGAACTACTCGGGGTATACTACGCAGCCTTTGTCGGCCACTCCACAGGCCCTTCCGACGACCCAAGTCACGCCTTCGACGGCGTCAAATTTTCAGCGCCCTCCGAATGCCGCCTCCTTTGCCGCTCCGCAACCTTATACACAAGCTCCCACGCCTCCTGTGCCGCCCTACCAAGCCCAACAAACGTACGGAAGGACTTATGCCCCGCCTACTGCACAGCCTGCGCCTACATATCCGTCTGCTATGCCCACGCATCAACATGTCAACCCGCCAGTTCAACCGCCCATGATGGGACCGCCCATGCGCTGGGGGTTTGAACACCAGGGACCAACAGGCGCTTTCAACGGCCCTCAGCGTGGCCCTCAGCGAAATGGGCGTCCTTTCAATGGCTACGGTGCACAGTCACCCACGGGAGACAGGCCAATGCACCATGCGAACAAGCGTGATCACAATTCCGCCTTTGGCAAACCCCAATCAGTCGCTCCGCGGATTCCAGCACCGCCCGCGGTCCCGAGCTTTGGCAACCCTCTGCCCTCCAAACCGCCTCCGCCAGCCGATGCCGCGCGAAAGCCGAAAAAGAAGAAGAGAAAGCATAACCAACTTGGCCTGACACCGAAAACGGAGGATCACGAGTCGAGCGATGAGGAAGATGATGCGGACGAGGAATCCAGACTAGCCGCTGGAAGTGCGGGTGCTTCGGCGCCTTTGCAGTTTACATACCGCGGGCGAACCGCCACCCTGAAATCGCCAGAAGAGATCGCCGCGTGGATCGAGGAGCGGAAGAAGCGATATCCCACCCAAGCGCGGATCGATGAAAAGAAGAAGGCTATGGAGGAGGCAAAGAAAGCTCGGCAGGAGGTGCAGCGACAAAGGGATCAGCGCCAAAAGGAAATGAAACAAGCCCAAAAGGATGCTCGAAATCGGAAGGATCACGACAAGCAGCCCCCCAAGGAGCAAAGTCCAAAGCCCACGGATCCAATTGACGCGGCGGCCAAGGCCAAGCAAAAGGCCGATAGGCTTAGGCGGAAGCTGATGAAAGAAGAGAAGCGGGTTGCCAAAGCGGAAGCCGATGCTGAAAGGGCGCGGATCAGAGTTGAGGAGCTACAGAAGGGAGCGTCAGATGTCAGCGGGGAGCCACCATCAGCCGGGCAAGAAACCCCGGCCCAACTGGCCTCTACTGATACGGGGCCGCCTGCCTCGGAAATCACCAACAGTGACACCACGCCTGCGACGCATATCACGACAGGTCCAGCGACCTCGGAAGAGGCCCACCTGTCATCTGCTGCCTCCGACAGTAGCGATTGGACATCGTCCAGTGGTTCGGATTCTTCATCTGATGAATCGGACAGCGACGATGATTCCGCGCCGGAGGAAGCGACATCTCGACGGGAGGGACCCGAGCGGGTGCCACCCCCAGCGCGCGAAACCAAGCGCCAAGTGTGTCGACACTTTGCCCGAACCGGCCGCTGTAAGCATGGGAACAAATGCAAATTCTTGCACGAGACGCCGGAGCGAGGCGTGAAATCGAAGCCGGTGCCGGTGGAGCCCAGGGGACGGAAGGGGCTCCTCCAAGCGGTGAGTTTAGCCAACACCATCTGAGATATCTCTCTTAGGGCATGACTAACGAGCACGATGACTAGCTTATGGACCGCCAAAAGGAAGAGGAAGACCGGAATGTGATGGAGGCCATTGTATGGCTCGGGGAGAACGGGTTTCTGGACGCCCCGAAGAAGAAGTCCGAGGAGGCCAACAACCAGGCCTCGGAGATGGATGGCGCCAAGCTGGACGAGCCCCAGGCAGCAGGACCCGAGGGAGCCATGCCCGGACAGGAAGCCGATGCCGCTCCAATCACCGCGTAGCATATGCGCAAAGAGTACAAAGAACCATCGTGCCATGTACATAGACTACTTGCTTCTTGTCCACCACTACTATACTACTACCTACTACATACCCGATCCAAATTCAAACCCAAGCATCCACTTCTCGTGTCGAGCTTTTCGGTCAATGCTCCCCCCCCCCCCCCACCCCACCACAGCCCGAACTATTTGTTTCCTTTCTGGTATAGATAGCACTTTCTTGACCCTTGACTCTTGACTCTTCCCATTTCAGCCAGGAACCAGCTAGAAGCAGACAGAGATTTTGGCAATGGGGTATTTTTAGAGGGACGGCGGCCCTCCCAGCGAATGAAGGGCAATTCCGCAGCGGCTCTTCGGTTAAAATTTCGCCCCCCCTCCCTTCCCCGCCCGCTTTGGGTTTGCGCTCGGAAGTTTGGTTCCTCGAAGATACGGAGTGTCTATCTAGTCCAGTCTAGTCTCAGTTGCTGTTGAGGACTCGAGTGGCGGAATAATGAAAGTTTTATACGGGGTAGATACCCCTCTAGCAGCCAAGTAGATAGTCGGAGGCTAAGACCGTTCGGATCCGAAGATCCTTGACGAGTTGGGCGATGCAGCGGATTCCTGCAAGAGGCAAAGGCCTGGTGGCCTGGGGACCGGAGTCGGTCGGTCCTTAGGCAGCCGGCATAAGTAAGTAGATGATGGAGAGCCGGAGAGGTTCGGGGACTTCATTATAGGTCGATCAGCTATACTGGAGGGGCGTTATACATGAGTATCTAGATAAGTGCGAGAGGATCGATGCAGGTACGAGGTGGGTGCCCGAGGGTAGTAAGATGCACGATATCATTTTCTCGACCGGTAGGTAAGGTACATAGGTACGGAGTACTGCGTACTGCTGTGTAAGATATCAAGATATCATGAATAATCCCGATCGGCCGCATCCACACGTCAGTCGTCGCTCAGCACATCCTGATGTGATAAGATGTGTACTGTGTAGGTATCTATCTAGTAAGGATGGCGAATCCTGCGAGCTCAGCTGATGATCCTGATGGCTGGCCTGTATTCTCGTGACGGGTCTTAGCAATTTCCCAGATTTACCACTGATGATGGATCCCTAGACTCTAGCGGGCTAGTCCCAAGGCTAGTCCGTCCGTCGCAGACCCTGAGGTGGAACAACCGCGAGGGTTTAATTTCAATCTTGCCCAATGATCGCCCACGCGCCTTGGGTTGCTCTGCCGGGCGCCCGCGACACCCCTGATCTTGATCACTTCTCACTTATTTGATGGCGGCATTGGCATTGGCATTGGCATTCGTATTGCGGGCTATATTTAAGCACCGAGTCGACTCGACCCTGAAGCGTGGCGTCCGGGGCTATCGAAAAGTATGTGTCGAGTATTGTTGCCACACCAGGCGATGCGATGAGTCCAAGCGTGCCGGTGGAGGAGGGACGCTACGGCGGAGTCCGGCCCAAGAGAGGGGTCGAAGGGGATTAGCGCAACCCCCCCCTCCTTTCCCAAAGCTGAGGATGTGCTCCGATACAGCAGGTACGCCCGGTACGCTAGCCTGGAATCCTGCCAGGAACAGGAAGACCCGCCACGCTAGTGCCTTAGCCACTGGGTAAGGTTCGAGCGAGCCATCCATCCATCCATCCATCCATCTACACCATGCCCGCTTATTGTGTGTGCCCTGCTGCCATAGTAGTAGTAGTAGTAGTAGTAGTGGTGGTGCTGGTGCTGGTGCTCTCGCCCTCACCGGCCCTCGTGCCTTCCCGACTTGTACATACATAGACAACGGTTCCCCCGGTCGTTCGTCCCTTCCTTTCTTTTCCTTCTTCTCCTCCCTCCCTCCTTCCTTCCCTCGTGCGAGTTCCTCATTCGAACACCGTCCATCGTTCCCTGTCACTCTTTTGACCGTCTATCTATCTGTCTGTCTTTTACTTCCAAACATCCTTTGCGCACCCCCCGGTTTACGTTTACGTCTGTATCGTATATCCTGTCCAGCTTCATACTACCACTGTCTCGAGTCGCTTCGTCATTCGTCATACACACCCCAAATCTCCATCCCACTCCATCAATATGCGTTCCATCTTCTACCTTGCGCTCAGCGCCATTGTCACTCTCGCGGCTGCGTCCGAGAACCCCTTCAGCGTCCCTGAAGGTGGTTACGAGTTTGATGCCGGTAGCCCGACCACCCTCTCCTGGGACCCGACCACCAGCGGTACTGTGACCCTGAGACTCCAGTGGGGTGCTGTCTTCACCACCAGCAGCGGCGATCTCATTGCCTGTAAGTCACCCCCCCCCCCCCCCCCTTCTCCTGCCCGGATAGGTCGGGATATACTGACCTCCCCCAGCGAGCATCGACAACTCGGGTAGCTACACCTGGACTCCCTCTGCCGACCTGGTCAGCCGCTCCGACTACACCGTGGAGATCATTGACGACGCCGACACCAGCATCGTCAACTACACCCCGCGTTTCTCCATTGCCGGCACCACTGGAACCGCCACCACCTCTGCTGCCTCGTCTACCACGAGCTCTGTTGCCAGCACCTCGTCCACTGAGCAGACCGGTACCACCACCGCTACCACCGCGACCACCGCGGCCACCACCGCTACCACCACCGCCTCGGGGACTAACTCCACCTCTTCTGCCACCGACCCCGCTGCCACTACTGTCAGCATGGCCTCGTCCTCTGCCAAGTCCAGCTTTACGGTCTATCCCAGCACCAGCTCTGCCAGCGCCAGCGTGACTGGTGTCTCCACCAACGCCGGCATGGCTAACCAGGTGTCCATCGGGATGATGGCCCTTGTTCTGGGTGCTGTTGCCCTCGCCTAAGCGCGTGACGACCCTTTCCGTGCCTACCGATACCATGGTCGGACGAAAGATACCTTTTCACTTTCTGGTACATAGATTTTGAGCGCCTTCGATTATGTCTTCTCCACCACCGTTTTCTTTTCACTTCTTACGCCCTCTTTGGACTTCACTTCGTTTGCCCGCATCGCGGTCTGGGATTGCCTGGGACCGTCCGTCACGGGGGTTGAGCCTGTGTCGGCACGAACGGTCCCTGGTCAGTTCCCGTTCGGCACTGGTGTGGGCACTTCAATTATTACTACGACTTTGTTTTCTTTTTTTTTTTTTAGCTCCGGACCTAATGGGTTGGACAACGGGCATTATGGAGTATGTAGATACGCATCGTGTAATGAATGATTAGTCTAGCATGCATGCCGCAAGCCGATTGGATTGAACCAGCCTCCTGGGCTGTAGGGCGTCGAGCGAGTAGATGGGGTGTAGGCCGAGCCTGCATCATGAAACGTTGAAGAATCTAACGGAGTGGGGGCGGGCCTTGTGCCTTGCGTGTGGACGGCCCACTGGGATCTCGACTGCCAAAGACCGCCTTTGATGGGGAGTGGTGACAGACGGGAGAGGGATGGGTTGATGGCAATTCCAGGGCGAAGCAAGGATGCGACTGAAAGGACTTTTGCCTGGCTATTTCCCCGAAGCACGCAGCATCCATGGAAGCGCTCCGGGAAGAAACAACAAGCACGGCTCCTAGATGTATCATAAAATGCAACACCGACATTCAAAAGTACAATAATTTCCATTCGGTCCAAACGTCTAGGTAGGTAGCTATATAGTATACCTATCACGTGGTAGATACCCTGGGACTGGGACTGGCCAGCCGTCTAGAATCTGAGACGGGAAGATCCAAGGACATCATCATCCCAACATCCCAGATATATAATCCCAAGACCGTTGGGGGTTGGCACTTGGCAGGTGAGTCCCGAGTCCCGAGAGCCCAGTAATCAGTAAGACTATAAGAGCCAGACAAGGGTCCCCACGCGACGATGTGGAGGGAGGGGAAATGACCATCAGCATGCGGCGTGCGCAGAACAAAGCCGGAAATTAAACGGTCTTGAGAGACTCTTGGCTTGCTGGTGACGGTGTAATGAAGGGGAATTAAATTAAATCCGGAAACTTGAAATTGGGGATTGGCGATTGGAAATTGGAAATCTCGGGAGAGGGCGAGTGGGGATTGAGATTGATTATCAGCAGCACACTCTGCTGTACGGTATTTTGGTAATTTCTATTTCCGTAATGATCAAACACTGACGGAGCAATTATCAAGGAGGGGTTCTGGGCAGGCAATTATGGAGGATTGTAGGTTATTCCTTCAGAGTAAGACGGATAATATACAAAGTTGACTGATGAGGAAAAATAAGAAACGAAAAGAAAAGAAAAGAAACAGTCAGGGGATGGATATGGTTTGCATGCTGCAAGGCACGGTGACACTGTAACTACCTTACCTGTGGTTCGGGGCGCATACAAGCTGGGATCTGGGATGGCACGGGTGATACGGTTAAGTTGAGGGATTGTGTCAGATGGTCTGTCAGTATCGGTATGGTTAAGACAAGAGACACCCCGTACTTACTTACCTACTAGGTACCCCTGAGACTACTGTACAGCATACAGTGAGTAGAAACTGTGGAAGCAAGGAAGACAAAGAAAGACATGACTGACTAACTAGTTATGAGGATGAGGATGAGTAATATTGCGATCAGACAGACACCTGTTATGGAGTACAGGCAAGCTCCTGGGGGGATCAACGGGGCCTCGGAAATCCGACCGGCCCTTCTGGTCTCCAAATTTGGCAATTACTGACTGCCTGAGGAAGTTGGCGGAAGCTAGGTTGAATGCGGGCTAGTGGCAGCCAACACAGTATGGGGTAACCCTCTGTAAGTACACTGTACAGTGTGCGACAGTAGCAGTAGTAGTAGTAGTAGTACCTAAGCAATTCCGAAGCTGCATGTTATCCCCGAAGTCCGCCTTCCCCAAACAAGCTTTCTTTCCCACTGCCCACTTCCCAGTTCCCCAGCACAGGCGACAGCATTCTTTACAGAATACAGAATACAGGTGAAATGGTGGTGGTTACTTGTGTACTGGCTGGGAGCTGGTACCTGCACGTAAAGGCAGAGGTCGAGATGATCACTCGGATTCATGGTTCAGTGGCCGGCGGTTCCGCCAGGAACAAACAAACTCCTTGAACTCCTAACTCCTACTGACTACTGTGGTTGAATCTAACTTCACCGTCTATCTAGACTGGCATCCGAAAAAAAAGGCAATCCATGCAAGTACGTATCATGACCAATATAAACACCATTACATTCATGATATAGTCGGGCTGGTCAACCTACCAGAGGTGACAGCCAGCCTACCGCTCAGATATTAGACAAAACACATGGGGAATCACAAGAACCACGCAACCATCTCAACCCTACATCGCCCACTGCGGAATCACCCGCTTGATGTACTTCATGAACTTGAAGAAACCCACCGCATGCTCGACGTTGCCATACGGATCGACCACCCGCTCCGGGAACGCGATCCCCGCGCCGAACAACCCCCGGACGGCGCGGCCGCTGCCGTCGCGGAAGCCGCCCGATGCCGAGTCGAACTCGGGCTCCAATAAGACCCCGTTGACTGACAGCTCGGGGAGCGCGTCCCGGGTGAACCCTACGGCTTGCACAATGTACGAGCACGAGGGCAGGTGCCGCTCGTACTGCGCCTGTTCCTGGCCCCCGCCGCAGTCGACCTTGGTGATGAACCGGCCGGCTTCAGACGAGGCCAGCTTGTCATCCTCTAGTTGTTGCCGAGCAAACTCGGCCGCGTGTCCCTTGAGCCCGGTGTTGTCCCGGAGGATCCATCCGTCCATGTACTCGGCATACCGGAGGGGATGGCGAGTGAACCACTTGACGCGAAGCTGGGGGTGCGACGTGCGAGCCAAGTCTACCAGGTTGAGGAGCGCGAGGATGGCACTATGAGACGCCCCCACTACGGCGACGGTCAACGGCAAGTCCCGAGGGAGGTGTGACATCAGCTCGCTGGGTTTCAGCACTACATCTAGGTCCAGACTCTCGATGTTGTGCCCGGGTACGTGGATCGGGACCTCTGTCGGGTGCGACCCTGTGCAGAGAACGAGTCGGGGGGTCAAGACGACGACCTCGTCTGCAGAGTCTCGGAGCTTGATCCTAACGGTCCACGTGGAAGTCTATGGAGTAGGGCGGATATATTAGCAACGCGGGGAACGGGAACCTTCTCCACGTCCGGAGCTCAATCTGCACTGACTTTCTCGGCCAGGTTGGCCGCCGTGATCACCCCTCGACACGCCAGAACCTGGTCCATCTTGACGATGCCATCCGTGAGGGCCCGAACCATATCGGCAGCATGGTGCAAATGGCAGGTTTTATCCTGGTCGAGTTTGGCCATGGTCGAGAATGGACTGGGGATCCGGGTGTTGTTGATGACGGTGCGAAAGGGCTGAACGGCCGTGGCGTACGCCTGGAACAAGGCCACTTTGGTGTTGCTGGTGAACCGACCGCCAGTCAGCAACGAGCGCTCCTCATCCGACGCCTTGAGGGATCCTCAGACTGCCAGACGGAGACACTCACCTGGGCACTTCACGGTATTTGCGATTTACGCGGCCTCCCTGGAATAACGGGTCGACCCAGGCAATCTTTCCTCCCAGCTGCTTCTCCAGGAGATTTCCCATCACCGCCAGACCAGCAGGGCCGGCCCCCACGACGACGGCGGCACATTTCTGGGATTGAGTCATTTTTGGAGGAGCCGTGCACGCGGAAATAGGGTTGATAGGGCAAGAGGTCACCAAGTCGAAATGGTGACACAACAAAAACGGGGGGTTTGTTTGGAAGCGAATCCGGAGCGGGAAGCCAAAGGGGAGGGAGGGGGATGGGAGGGATTTATGGGACGAGCCGGGAATCCAGGGGAACAGCGACGTATTGGCGGCGTAATTCTCGGCGAAACAGGCGAACGAGAGTCACCGCAGGTTTTGGGCGGGAGAGGGGGGAAACCACCTCAGACGGTCTCGAGATAGCCAAGAAACGTAAAAGCGATGGCCTAGATGGCCTAAATGACCAGATGGCCGTTTGGCCAGTCATGGATTCCCGCCGTTCAGCCAGTCAGGGTGGGCGTCGCGGTGCTGCGCGAAGGGCGGACGTGGCCGATACCGACGCTCTCGGGCGAGATGCGCATCATTCCAGAGCGACGGTCGGTCATGCGCTGATACTGGCGCTGCTCACTGGCTCCCACCGGCGTATCACCGCCTCTCGCGCGACGGATGGGTTGTTGCGCAATCGCTGCGGCCAGCCCCACCCGGGGCCTCTGAAAATCCTGGGCCGCTTTCCGTCGGCCGTCACATTTGTGCGGTGCTGGCTGGGGAGTTGGGGGAGGGGGACAGGGCGACGGGGGGAGAGGGAGCAGGGTCACCGTCGGACAGTGGGCAACATCATGTCCTCATCTGGCCGACTGACGGGGGTTGCTCTCCTCGAGTTTGGTCGAAAGGGAGAAAGCAAAGGCAGCGGTGCTGGTCGTGGAGGAAGAGGGCGACTTATATCCAGGCGCGCCGATGACGAGATTGGGGGGCTTGGCGAAATGGCGTGATTGACGTGGGCAATGAGGTGATGCTGCCCGGCCTGATTCGGCAGGCTGCCACCACCACCAACTTGACTATCCGTCTGATATCTGACTAACCAGTCCTTGGATTCTAATTGATCAACTACCATGTAGTCATGCAGCATGCCCATTATCATCTTCCTGTGCAAAATAGACTAGATCGCCCAAAACACCCGCACCGACACTCGCTGCACGTGGTTCAACCACCCGCCAAACCGTGCCCGCCCCCAAACCGCAATCGCATCCCCAGCCTCCAGTGCACGCACTTGGCTCCCATCCAGCGTGGCTCGGCCCCGACCTTGACTACGTTCAATCTCCTCCGCCTCGCCCGAGTCGGCTGCAACATCATCAAGATGATCCCAGACGATGGTATGAAATTGCCAGGTTCCCACGGCAGTTCGGTTCGACTGTAGCCGGTGGGCATTGGGGAGTAAGTGAGGATGGTCAGGGCCAAAGTCAAATGGACCCTGCTCCTCAGGGGCCACAGGCTGGGGCCGTTGATGGGCTGCATGCAAGATTTCCGCGTCAAACCACGAATAGGAGCCCCCATACTGGCCTCGGCTTCCAGCGCCTCCGCCCCAGCCCTGATCGTGGGACGAGATAGTGAAGATAACCCTGCGGCACGGGTGCACGGTTCGGTGCGGCAGCGACTTGGGAGAGGCGGAACCTAGCGTCTATGACCAGCGTGCATAAAGTCAGCAAGACGGGACCGTTGAGGAGTCGTCCGTAAACCGGCCAGTATAAGCATACCTGCACATCGTAGCACAAAGGTACCGTCGTGAGAAGCACCTGATCCTGGTCCTTTCGGATCACCGTCTCTCCTTCCAGAACGGACTCGGTTGAGGCCCAGTATTCGCCTGCATCCACGATCATATCTACAATCTCAACGGGCAGCAAATCGTCGGAGTTTCTCGTCCACTGCCAGATGTGGTGCAGCAGGTACCGGACCTTTAGCACATCCATACAGTTAGGGTAGTAGGTGACATCATCTGCGGCTGGCCGTTGTGCATTCTCGCCGGGGGGATTGCTCGACTCGTTGTTGGATGAAGGTGGTAGTCGCCGAAACCGACGGATAAGAGGCAGCATCATTGCGAGGGGTAGCTTTGGCGGCGGAAGATAGAGTCTTTCGGAAGAGTGGCCGGTCGTAACTGTGATGACAGGGTCCTTATGTGCTGAATGCCCGTACAGCGCAGGCTCGCCAGGCCGGGTATGAGCTGAAGCGCCAAACTCGGGAATTGTCTATCCTGAAGATAAGTGGATTGGCCAGGGTCCACGATCAATTCGCTTGTAAGAAGAGCATTGGTGGCTCAAGCTAGCCTCAGTGAGTTGTCAGCTCACTGCTTTGTTTTGCACCCCGCCTTCCGGGCCAAGACAACCAGTGGGGTGGTTGAGTGGGAGATGGAGTTCAATTGGTGGGAGAAAGCGGTGATTAAAGTCCCTGAGGATAGACCAACTTGAGTTGGATTGAGAAGAGCGCGGGGGGGGGGGGGGGTGCGGAGGGATTGATTGATTGATATTGTGGAAGAGCAGCTGGTGATGTGACGTCATGGCGTTGTTCCTGGAGTCAAAGTTACATGCCCCGTAGTAGTACATGACATACCTGACATACCATACGGCATCTCAGAACAGGCCCTGGAGTAATCGCCTTTCAGAAAAAGTCCCCCAGCCTTAACGAGGGCCTACCATTAGGCGCCTAACCGAGGAGGGGAGGCAGCGAGCACGCGCAGGCGGTGAGGCTGCGGTCGGGCGCGGCAAAGATACGACCGGCAGAACGCGATACGGGCGGTATACGGGCGGTATGACGCCCGTCGGATGCGAAGAAGAGCAAGCAGACAGAGAGAGAGAGACAGGCAGAGCAGAGCAGAGCAGACAGACAGACACAGACACAGACTCACTCACTCACTCACTCACTTCCCTCCATCTCCTCCTCTTCTCTACTCGTCCCTCCAAAGCAACCATCGCCCTCCACTCCCTCTTCCCCCCCCCTCCCCCCAATCCTAACACCCAAAGTGCTTCGCTTCTAGTACTTCCCATTGCTCAACTCGTTTCTCTACCTCCCTCACCCGCATCCCGTCGGTTCCAGATTCCCTCCCCTCTCTTCCATGCCGCCCATTCTCCCGCTACGCTGCACTGTCGTCCTGCCCGCTTCGTGAACGTCGACGTCCACATCCCTCCGATTTCCTCTTAGAACGATTACTGCTCGCCTGCGCAGACCTCCCAGGGACCCGGATACATACTATTACGGCCGGTGCTTCGGAGTTTACCAGGTTGCATCCTATCTCTCCTCCGCGACCGCAGTCGTTTACGGAACCGGACTCGGTCGCGGCAGCTGGGCTCGTCCGGGTTTTGCTGCTGGCGCATTACTGAACGGTACGTTTTGCGAGGCATATAAAATGGCGAGTGGGACGGATCTAGGCTACACGCGATGGTCTTGGAGCTCCAGGAACCCGAGCAGGGCCCTGAGCGCTGCTGTTGGGCCCGCGCAGTCCCCCAGAGCCCAAGCCGGGAGCGAAGTGACTTTCGCTCCATCTGGGGTGTGATCAAACCTCCGCACCGCCTTTGGCCCTCTCCTCTCCCCCCCCCCCCAATCCCCTCTCGCCTTCTCCCTTTTCCTCCCATTCTCCTCCTCCACCGTCGATGTTTTCCATTTCCATCTCGCACTGGTCATATCATGGTTGTCCACCTGGGTTCTGACGTTTCGCCTTCCATTGTTCTAGATCTACAACCCTGATCCTGCCGTCATCCTCTGGCTTGTCTACCCCCCCCCAACAAGCCTCCCGACCACAACGTCCGCTCAATCCTTACTCAATCCCCCGACTCTCCCCTTGTCCCTCTTGTCTTCGCTCGATCTGAGGTTGGCGCATAACTATGGAGGTCGCCGAAAGCAGGGAGTCTGTTCCAGTGGGTGCGCCGACTGGAGCAGACTCTGCCGTCACCAACGGAGAACAAAATATTCTGCTGGACGACTCGCTTATGGATGATGACCGATCGAGCAGTTTGAGTGAAATCGATGACGTCTCTGAAAATATTCCGTCCGACTACGAGTCTCCCAAGCCCGAGAAGGTGGCGCCGGAAAATGACTCGGAGGCGGAGACAGAGCGCATCGAGGACTCCCCCAATATTCGCTCAAAAACAAACATCGTCGTAAGCGCTACTGGGTATGAGCCAAGCCCCAGCAAATTGGCCCAGTCGACGACCTACGAGGACGTGGAAGATGATGAAGAGCACGTGGCGGACGATTCGCCCAGCAAACCTCGCGCCAAAACAACTCGGGCAGCTGAAGTGGCAGATGAGACGCTCGGGCTGGACGATTCTGCACTGTCAGAAGCCATTGGCAAAAAGCGCAAGCGGCTAGAGTCCGGCGACGAGGCGGGCACTGAGATCGATGAAGACGATTTGCCGCCCCAGAAGCGCCGTGGCTCGGTCAAGAGCGATCTCAGCGACCCACCTGCGGACGATATAGTGCTTACCCCCGAGCCAATGGAAGAACCCCCCAAGATCAATGAGGAAGATACCGTGGTCGACGACATCACCGAATCGGCCTTGCCCGTGGCGCCCGCAAAAGCGAAGAGGGCCAAGAAGGGCAAGCGAAAGGGTCGCAAAACTAGAGATGCCGATGATGACGTTGATAACGGCGCACTCGAGACAGGTGCCGAGGTCGATGACCTCGGGGACGATGATACTGCAGAACGTGGTGACGATGCAGACGACGGCGACGCCACTGCCAAACTTGAGGAAGAATGTAAGACACGCGAAGCCTAGCAACCCCCCCATGGTGAGAAGACCTTCGATCCTGACGTGTACACTTTAGCAGTCAAGAGAGTCTCCGCCCTGGAGTCACTAGCCGGACTGGAACGGGAATTTGCCCTTCTACGAGACAAGTAAGACATCCGTCGTCGCCTTTGGTGCCAACTGTGTCCGGTCGCTAATCCTTCTCGCTGCTAGGATCTATGATGAGCGGATCTCGAAATTGAATCGGGAGCTTGAGATGCTCAACGGGCCTAATCCGACCCATACCGAATTCCTGCGGCAGCTCGAGGGCGTCAGGCAGTATCGCGACGCCAAGATCAAATATGAACACACGCTGTTCCAATACCGGGTACACTCGTTGCTGAACCGGAGCATGGCGGAGCGCGCTCAATCGCATAGCACGTTCTTCCAGCGGGCGCGAGATATTCGCGAAAAGCACTCGAGCGCCATCAGCAAGCAGTTCTATTCAATCCAGCACGATCGCTTCAAGACCGACGAAGTCAGCCCGCAGCATTACATTCCGTTCCCGATGCGGCGTTCGCAACAGATCTCCCACCAAACGGCGTACAACCAGGAGGTGTCCATCATGGCGGGAGTCGCCAAATACGTGGGCTTCCCGGCCGCGCCTGCGCTGTCTGCCGCGCGACCGGCCGAGCTTGAAGAGGATCTGGAGAAAATGGGGGTAAGTGCAGGTTCCCAGCTGCGACGCCAGATGCTAATGAATGTCCCGTGCGCGCAGATCTCCATCGAAACAAGAGCTCCGGCCTCGCAACCGCCGCCGTCGACCACGTCCACCACCCTCCCGCGGGGTGCCATGCCGGCCATGTCATCCAACTTCCGCACGGCGGCGGAGGAGGCGTTCCTGGAGCAGACGCCGTGGGCCAACCCGCAACACCCCATCCATCAGCACCAGCAGATGCCCCCCCGGCCGCAGAGCCGGGTGTTCGAGCACCCCCGGGCCCTGCATACACGACCCCGGCCGCCCAGAAGCGAGTGGTCGATATACACGCCCCCAACGGCTCCGCCTCGACCATTGCGGAGAACTCCTCGGCCAATAACACCCCCTACGACCAGGAACAACATCCCCAGACCCTCGGGCATTTTGTAAATCCCGAATACGATGCCGACCGGCGCTCGGGGTTCCGGTCATTAAGCTCCTCGCCCCTCGACGTCCGCAAACCCCATCCAGCCTCCTCGTACGGCAACCTCGACCACCGATCTCCCCAGGGTCCCTCTCACAACGCCTCCGCCTACTCCCCGCCCTCAGCCCGACTGGGTCTGTTCCAGTCAACGACCTCCAAACGGGATCCCTCACCGTCCATGTCCTCCCGTCCCGTCAATTCCATCCACCAGTCGACTGGGATCCTGGGGGGGGCCAGCTCCAACCAGATGGTCGCTCGATGAGCGGAAAAAGTAAAAGTACGCATCACCACCTTTCTCCCGGGGTTGGGGGTCTTCGCATTGTACAGGGCTTCGCTTCAGGTGTTGTAGAGTGTTTCTTCTAATGTATGTACGGATTTGGCATGTATGACTGGCAACCACAGCAGGGAACGAAATCAAGTGATTTATTCTAACCAAATTTGCGCCGGTTCCCCCTTCCATCATACCCTTTTTATTCGATGGCGGAACCAACTGTTAGCTTTGGGCATGTGTGAATATGGGCGAACGGATCCAATGCATCGGGGTTAATCTTTTTTTTTCTTGGGGTGTTGCTCTTTTCCTTCTTTCCTTTCTTTTCTCTCCTTTCTTCCATCTTTTTTCCCTCCGCTACTCACGATACATACATATGCCACGGTGTCATGTCATGCTTACTTACTTGCTCGGTTGTTTTCCCATTTCTTTTCTTTTTTTTTTTTTCCCTTTTTCTCTTACTGTCTTATTTGCCGGTGTTGCGGGGGTAGTCATGTATGTGGCCATGTATTTTGCTTTTGCTCTTTTTTTTGAGGATAGCTATCCCTTGTGCATAGGAGAAAGAGGTCTAGAATAGAAACATCTTCGCTGCAGTTCTCCGTCTAATTATCATCATAGTAGTGGGTGATTTGCATACTTGTAGAACATAGATTATGGCCGTGCTTTTACCTATAGACAAGCCACAAGGAAGGTACGTACTAGGTAGGTACTCGATAGACACTACATCTCATAGATAGAAGCTATTATCCCGGCCCATCTACGCCAACCGCTCACAGAGCCAGCTCTACGACATAAAAAAATTGCAGGCAGGCAGGCAGGCAGGCAGGCAGGCAGGCAGGTACGTAAGTAGGTATGTAAGTAGGTAGTAGGTAGTAGTAACCCTAGATTCATATAAACCAGGTAGGTATCCGATAGATAGATAGATAGAATACATCACTGTCTGTCTAGTCACAACATTCAGGGGAATCATTCATGGGAATCTCATCGTCCACCTTCCCTCCCTTCCTCGTTCTCTCTGCCCACTCTTAAGAGAAAAACAAATGAGGGAGAGAAAGGATTCTCGAAAAGGAAAATACAAAAACAACTAACTAGTTACACGACCTCGTCAAACAACTAGGTAAGTAGTTGGAGTAGGTAGGTGGATTCGATGCGACTCGCTTAGGTGGCAGAGGTGGTGGCTTCATCGGCGGGCTGCGGCGTGGATTCCGTCCGTGCCGTTGGCGAGGGAGGTGTTGTTGGTGGCGGATTCGGGCGCGACGGTACGGGAGGCTAGAATGGTTTCTTCTTGTTGCTGTTGGTCTTGGGGCTGCGGCTGGGTTTGTAGTTGTTGTGGGGGTTGTTGGTCTTCTTGGGGTTTCTGGGGACGCCACCTGGCGAGGACTTTGCCGGCTGCGGGACGGGATTCCTCGTCTATTTTGTGGTGTGGTTAGTTTTGTGCTTTGGGGAAGAAGGAAGGGCAAGGGTGGCCTGGCTTACAGGTTTGGTAGACATCCTCGACGGCGTTGAGACACATCTCCCGCGCCGGGGGTCGGAACATGATCAGATATCTGGAGGTTTTGTTAGGATTTCTGGAAGCCGTGCGACAGCGGGGTGGAACGTACAGTAAAGACTGAACACACAGGTTCACTCGCTCCGGGTCCTTCGCCAGGCTGGCCACTCGCTTCGTGATCGGGATCGTCACCTCGGGGATCTCGCTGAGGAATCGGATGAAGATCTTGGTATCCCTGGAGTCGAGGTAGGGCAGAAACCCATCCAGAAGCCGCAGGACCCAGTGATCATAATGCAAGGGCACCGTGACGTCCTCGTCCTCCTCGGTCCGTTGAGACGCAGTGAACTGCATCTGTATGCGGTCGTTGTACCATTCCTCGTTGAGCCACATGATGCCCACATTCACCCGCCCCCGGAAGTCTTCGAGGATATACCGATAGAGGGTTTCTCGGATGGAGTCCGATATCGTAGGCTTTCCCCGCTCCTGCTCGGATTTCACGGCTCTCGGTTCCAGGCCAGCTGGTGCTCTCGTGGCAAGTCTGGTGAGGAGGGTCACCCAGGCGTCTCGATCGAAAGTGCTCCCGGCCAGTCGAGCGAAGCCTAACTGCTGTTGGCTCTTCCCCTTCGCCGGGGTGGGGGTCACCCCGGTAGACGCCAGCATGCCGAATACCCTTCCCACTGCACTCCGGCCAATGTCTGCGGCCTCATCTTCTGTTAGCGGTGGAGGCTGGGGTAGCACAAACGGCCCTAAAGAGACGAGGTCCGGTTGGAGGTCCGCCACTTCGGTCGGCACGGCATCCTCCTGCTCCGCTACGGGCTCTGGAATATCCATGGGCTGGTACTCGGGTTCGTAGTCATCGTCGTCATCGTCGACAGGTGCTGCGGCGGCGGCGGCGGCGGCAGCAGCAGCAGCAGCAGCTTGTTTTTGCTGGGCAGCTTGTTGCTTTTGAATGGTTTGGTAGCGCCCGCGTATAGCCTAGCTAGTCAGCATGAAATGGTTTGATTCCGCGAGTCATACATACCTCGACCGACTGGTTCATCATCGACTGGTCGACACGGGCTAGCAGAGGAACCACGATCTTGACCAGGAGATCCGGGGGCAACTGCTTCACGTCGAATGACGATAGCCCAGCATCCTCGGTCAGGGTGAAGAGCTGTGCATAGCTGATCGGGCCCGGGGGCAACGGGGGCACCTTGACCAAGGGCGGTGTTTCCACGCCCAGTCTCGCCCGTTTGGCGTGATCCAGTCCGTCCGTGGGTTCAACGGGCAAGCCACGCTTCCGCGAGGCGTCATCGACGACTTCCAGGCGGGACTGCATCAACCGATCGATGTACTGCTGCATCTTACCCACCAGGGGGTGATTCGGGTTCCTAGGCCATCCATTAGCTCCTTCTCTCGCGGATCCCACACGGCGACACCGGCTCACCTCTTCATTATATTGACCATGACCGCTCGGGCGGTCCGTTCCATCGACTTGACACCCACGCGGATCGAAGGGGTAATCGGAGGTCGGACTTGTCGCGCGGGGAGGAAGTTCATGATCGCGTTGATGATCTTGTTGCCAATGGACTGGCGGGTTCGAATGAGGACTGCCAGGCAGTTCAATGTCGCGTTGACGAAGAGAGGGTCACTTTGAAGGCATTAGCACACCGTCAAGTTCCCTTTCGGGGGGTGCAATCAAGTACCTCGAGTCCTCCTGGAAGACGGCCAGGAGTCGATCTAGCAAGCCCGAAGCTTCTGCCTCCAGGTTCGGGAGGGAAAGGACGGCATGGGTGCGAGGCACGATGGCTAACGAGGTCTCGTTCTGTTCCGGGCGCTAGAAAGAAGGCGTTAACATCGTCGCAGGCGCTGCCTGCCCGGCGGGATCTTCTGGGTACATACTCTAGGGTCCGAGATCGAGCCATGCGTTTGCACCTGCACGACCCGCTGGACGAATTTGATACACAGGATCTTGACGGCGAACGGGAAGGCGTCCCATCGGCGTAGGATATCCTGCTTGACGGCGGTCATGTTCTCCCAGACCGCGCCATCATCCGGGTGATTGACACTGCAAGATCCAGCGTTAGTAACAGCGAGACCCAGCGGAAGCTCCTCTTAACCCCATGCGCATCGCGGTGGGATGCGACAATCTACGAGAGCTCTCCGACAAGGGGGGCAAACAGAAGCGAGCATCGGTGACCTACATATGCCTAAACACCAGCGGATACAAGCTGGCGGCGTTCTGCACTATCTGTTTCAAGACCAAGGGATCCCCCTCCGGCAACTCCAGTATCTCCCGTAATGTCTGCAGCACTCTCGGGGCCAGCTGCTCCTTCTGGGACGTAGCCAGCGCGGGACTGGCGAAGGTCTCGGCCAGGAACTCGGTCCCCCATCGCCGCAGCTCCACCCGCGCGGTGGCGCCGATGAGCGGCAGGACTCCGTTCACAATCTGCGGGTAGAAGGCGGCATCCCCCAGGACGAGGTTCCGGGCGGCATTGAGCTGCGCGATCTGGTCGACGAGGTGATCGGACGACTGAGCCATTACGACTCGATTCAATGGCCGGTTGGGCCGACGACGCGGATGGCGAACGAACGAGCTCGGGAGACGGGATGCGTCGCCCGAGGTGACGGTGTTTGTGTTGGTTGAACTGGTCTACGCAGAAGGTGCTGCCGCAAGCACCGGGCTTATGATGTGACGGCTAGGTGATGTGCCCACGAGGCGCATATAGCGGGTGGGAGAGGGGGAGAAGTGGAAAACCCGGGGGGTGGGAGGGGGGATTTAGAGAATGTAATCCAAGAGTAGGATAGCTTGGGGGGGTGAGGGGGTTTAAAAGAGGGGGGGGGATATCCACAACAAACAACAAGAAGAGGACGGATGGGAGATGGAGGTGAAGATGGAGGAGATGGAGATGGAGATGGAGACGGAGACGGAGACGGAGAGGGAAGAGGAGAAAGACCGGCGGTTGGACAAAGTCACGGCGCGGCGGACCCCGGGTTTGACCGACCCGGGCGGGCCTGGTCTTTCTGGCAACCCATCTTTGTCTCCAACAGTCTCTTCTTCCCAGGCGAATATATGTAGTCGGTGGCTCTTCTCTATACTTCTAGATCTAGATCCGGGGGTGTGATCCATCAGATCATATTCACTGGCATCCAATACTATGCGAGTGGTCAGCCATGGTTTGTTTCACTCGGGGTGTTGGTCTGTCTACCACCGGTACTACCAGTATGAGGACAGGATGAGGACAGGGAATATATTCATATACCAGCCGTGTCTGACAGGTCGTCATGCCTGAGTACTTTCACTACTAGTATTTCGCATAACAATGCCATAGAGGTTGAGACAAACCTT